GGGAGAGTTTAGCCTAACCCTACCGATAGAGTATAGCTAAAGATAGGGAGGGTATACCCTAACCCTAAGAAGCATCAAGACTTCTAATCGAAAGTCTCTCTATTCATTAAAGGTACACTAACCCTCACTCCCATATAAATATGGGACTGTGATACACTCCGAGGTCATTCAATATATTTTACTTTGAGATTATTTACTGGGAGCACTGTTCAGTGAGAGAGAAAGATCTGATAGCTTTGTTTCTTTTGTCATAGAGATTTATAATCTTTCAGTTTTCTTCTCGTAACAATATCATTCGTGACCTACAGTTGAAAATTGTGGTGCCTAGTTTTTCGTTTCTTTTTTAAAATTAACAAAAACTTAAACATATTTGTGTAGAATGTAGACATATACGTCAGAAGTGATAGAGGTAGAAGATTTATGAGAGATTTAGTTAAAATTTGCCTTTGGCCAAAGATCTTTGGACCTTCGGCGCATACTTTCTGGAGGATGCAATAGCTTGGTCTTCGGCGAATACATGAAGATCAATTTGAAATTCCAAAAGGATCAGACAACGTTCACATGCATCGAGAACACTACTAGGCACGGGAGGAGAGAATGCTAGGGCATCGAGGGTAAAGGCAGTGCCAGAAGCATGCGCGCCGACATTGCGATATTGAGGGGGGGAACAAACGAGGAGAGAGAGAGAGAGAAATCGATTGACATTTTTATCCGTGACGACGCAAATTGGAGACATGGCGCCGTCCAAGACGAATGACAAAGTGCGGAAATTGGTCCCGATAAAGATGCCTTACGAGGAATTGCGACCCTTTAGGCGCGAGCTCAGCGAATTGCATCTTGATTTACTCCTATGGAATTGGAACTGCATATAGGCGAGCATTTGCAAAGAGATTATGGACAAGAACCGAAACGATGATGATAAGCTTTGATGCAATCCAATGCTGTGGACGATTGAGCATTGGACGAATGTGATGGAGACATGTGCAGGCAGCGACGGAGATCTCATGTTCGAGAAGAATAGCGTGGGGATCACTGGCGCGGAAGAGTTCACCTTCGGTCCACTCTTCAAGAACGGAAGATCGGGAACAAATGGATGGAAGACCGCCGACTATAAGGACTCGAAGAGTTGTGCGATTGCATTGGGCATTATGCATATCCTGCGACCGTAGCGAACGACCTATATTACGGCTTGGCGGGTTGGATTTTTCGAGCGAGTTATGAAGGGACAGCGGGTGCACTAGGCGAGGATCTTCTACGATCTTGTCTGGGTGAATGCGAGCTTCCTTTGGACAGGACCTTTGGCGAATCATTTGACTCCTTACCTCGTGAACTTCTATCGAGGCATGGGATTACTTACGAAGGAGGAGAAACGATTTCCGAAGGAGAGGGAAATATTAGCAATCGAGTTCAGTGAAGGTATCGAAGAAGAGGATATCAGTCGACCCCGAATTCCACCTCAGACGACAGCACGCGGACTTGTGCAGGTGGATCATCTGCCAACACGAGAGAGACCAGAACAGCGATTGGCGAAGAGGCGGAAGGTGGTGACTGATGACAAAGAGTACTTGATGCTAGAGTCACGAAGGGCGGAAACAGAGAAAGAGAGAATTTGACAGTCGAGAACTCAAGCTAGACCAAAGAAGAAGGCGAGTCGAGGGTTGGTATTAACCGAAGCTTCGGATAGCAGAGTGGAGAAGACAATTCTCCCGCCAATGTTTTAGCCGAAGAGGCAGCTAACGAGCCAACACAACCAATGATGACAAGAGGATCTTTGGCGGTAACAGTTGAAGTTCTAGCAGACGTAACAGTGGAATCTTCGGAGAAGAGAACAAAGATAGCTAGTCCGAGTTTTCTGTCTTTGGAGCAGACGCGGTATGTGGGGAGTGAGGACGTGACTCAACCGAAGTCTGGTGAAGAAGTAGCGAAGGAGCTCACGTTGAGTGAGGCAATTCTAGGACAGATTGTTGCTGAGGTTGATGGGACTGTGGGGAACATCATAGAAGATCCAGAGCCGTCACCACCTGAGGAGGAAGTGAGATCCGAGATCAGGACGAAGACTTCGGAGGAAGGGCCGAAGACATTGGAGATTAACTTTCCCAATTTCTTGCAGGATAGCGTAGTACCTTTACTAAAGTATTTTGATACGAAGAGAGAAAAGTATATTGAGAGAGGGAGTCCAAATCGTATGTTGGGCTGATTAGGAACAAGACAAAGCTCAAGAGAGCGGTAGTAATGAAGAGGGAGTGGGATTCCGCGACTGCGAAGGCAAAGGAGCGAGCTGCAAGCTTGGCAGCCAAGTGCACAGCGGCAAAGGCGACATTGCAGGAGCGAGAAGGCCAACTTCGTGAGAAGAAGATTGAGTGTGAAGTGCTGCAGTTGAACTTAACCAAGAAATCCGAGCGTTGTACAGAGTTGGAGGAGGTCTGCAGCAGTTTCCGTGTCACTAACAAGAATGCGTAGAATGCGACAGTGGACTTGTGCGGAAGATTGGAGAAATCCAAGGAAGCGTAGGAGGTGGCAGTCCAACGTGCGGAAAGGGTGATCACAACTGCAGAGAAGCGGGAGAAGATGCATGTTGAGGCGCTTGCTAAGGTTGAAGAACGAAGAGACGAAGAAGCTCGTATCGCCGAAGAACTTCGGGGGAAGATTGCAGAGGCGAAGACGGCAGAAGAGGAACTTTGCAGTACGATCGCAGAGCTCACGGGTGAGCGTGAAAGGAATTTCAACGCGCGGAGGAGCTAACGGCGAGTCTGGCGGAAGAAATCCGGAAGCACGAAGGGGAATTGACGGATTGGACCAAGAAATTGGCAAGTTGCGGTTCGGCCAGAACTTCGGCGGTCGAATGAATATAAAAAGTCAAATCGGAACGTCAACGGTTACATGAGTAGTTAGGGAAGGCGGCCATGAGATCGGAAGAGTCGTGGAGGAGAATGGAGAAGTCAGAGGCAACATACCGTCATCTACGGGATGAGACGACCGACGAGTTGAGATTGCGTGTTGAGAAGTGACTGCGTGGATTCGCAATGTGGGAATTGCAATCGGTGAAGTGGCTGAAGTTAGATTCGCTAGAGCGACGTTTGATGAGTACTAAGACCAGCGGATCCGTAGGACACAAGCAGATAGTAGAGTTAGTTAATTCTTTTTTTGAGGTATTGGAAGAGGCGCGACAGAATGTAGAGATAGAAATAGTAAACGTTTTGCGTAGGTTACAAGTAGACGACGTTGTAACCGCTGCGTCGGACGGCACTGCACCTGAGAGTAATTCACCTCAAGCGGTTGAGATTCCAGAGCTACCATTGTGAATAAAGAGGCCCAAGGCTCTTTCCTTGGGGGGGGACTTTTCTGTCAATTGGCTTGTCTTGGCTGTGAACCTGTATCCACTGTGTGTCTGTGTGCTGGTGTGTGATCCTGCCATTGAGCACAATGCGCCCTTGTTTGTTGAAGCTACTGCATTAGAAGTTGTGAGTATCCAGCCTGAATGTTCCAAGTAGTCGGGGGTTACTCAAATTTGAGTATTCGGATCAGTAAGTTTGATGTATGCAATTCTAGGAAGTTTTTTCCCTGAAATCTGATTGTGTGGTCGCATGCGATTTTCACATGTGTTGATTGGATAAATTTCAACTTGTGAGGGTGAACATACTCTGCTCTTCGGGTCTTCGGCCGTAATTGAGCATTGTCTTCTGGGAGTGACATGGGACTATGAAGTAAAACTCATGAATAGAATGTTAACTTGTGAAAAATTGTGACTTTTGTTGTTGTTTCTATCCTCGTGGAATCGCATTTGTACCATTATGCTCCATTTTGGTATTTGTTTGTCATTACAAAAATGATATCCAAACATGTATTCGATTTCTCTTCTATCACCGTGATATCTTTACCAGAAATTCGACACAAAATCACCATGAAGTATTGATGTATATGAGCATGCATGTTAGAAATGTAGAGAAGACAGATGGCAACACGTGGAATAACGGTAGACGGAAACGCTATCGAAAGAATCAAAAGCAAAGCCCTTCAAAGTCTATAAGGCACCAACTCCCTTGGCCCAAATGAAGAGAGTACTGGTTCTCTCTAGTGAAGGAAAATTGATATCTCTTGCCTTTAGCTTGTAAGATCTACAATGAATGGGATACCAATCCATCATCACCTATCTCAGTCACCATCGTTGATTCAAGGTTACTAGTAATTATTTTGTATTCCAGTCTGGTTTATAAACTTCTCAACCACGGACATAAAACAAATTATATCTCAGAATGGACAATTCTTTGGGGTTATGATTGATATGAAGGGTTCGTTAAGGGGGAAATAATTACTTTTGAAACTACCATTTTATAGCATACCATTTTGATCTAGTAGTTCAGAAAAGGTGGACGGTGATGTGAATTGTGCCTGCTTCAACCCGAATATGAACGTTCAATCCCATAAAAAAAAAAAGTAAATATGATTTTATCAAATAGGATATCCATCTGACAAGTGTACTATCAAGACCTTAACATATCCATACCATAACCATCAGCATCTACCTATGTCCACCCATGCTATTCAAAAATGGTGTATTACTCGCCTATAACAAGTAAAGCTTTTAGTTCAAATTAATTTACACATTCATTTTGGGAGTCCGTTCTTGAAACTTCTAGCGTTGTTGGGGTAACGATTTTCCCCACTCTAGGGCAGATCCTCATGTACCTAGATTTTGACAATCACGTCATGGTTTCACTTGTAGTATTCTAACTCTCACGGTGTCTAGGTCTCAAGCAATATTGATGGGAATAGGTTACTACCCATTCTGAACCATTCCCATCCAAACCACGAAATAATAACCACCCATGGAAAAATAATATCAACCAAAACCCATGGACATGGACACCCACTGTTGGGCTCTGCTACGTACTTTTCTAGGGAGGAGTGTGAGTGAGCACTGAGGTAGAACCAACCTTGCTAGTTTAGCAGGTGGCTTTAGGGTTAGGGTCCAGGTCTGGGATCTCTGCTGTGTACCCATTGACAATTCACTCAAAGCCAATGACAACTCTTGGACAGTGTTCGAAGAACACGGTCGACGAACGGAGGTCTCTTGACGCCCGGATTCCGCCTCACTGACTTTCTTTGTTGCCGAGCTCGTGTCTCGATTCTTCGTCCCTCATAATCTTCCCGATTTTAGAGGTTGCAATCAGCAACCATGTCCGGTGGTCTGAGAACAGCCGATGGCCTCCCGGTGGAGAAAGAGCAGGTTCGATCCATTACGAAATTGCCGGTTCAGTTTGATAGATTCCTGCTTCAGTCGTGGGTCGAGCCTGGACCCCGTGAATTGGACAATAACGTGTAGTCTTTCAGTCATTTTCAGCCTCTCGGACCAAGTTCCCTCCCACATGGATCATTTCTCTGATCGGGGATAGCGATCGCGGAATTTTGACTTTGCTTCGATCTCACAGAAGTTTCTCTAATGGTTGCCGATTTCTGCAGATCTTTCGGATGGCTCAACAAGAAATGGAGTACAGAGTCGATCTATTTAACAAGTTGGCCCAAAAGCAGTCCCTCTCATGCTTTAAATTTTTCTGATCCATTTTGCCACCAGACTCTAGAATTGCCTCGTTGAAGACGATTAGATCGTCAGAGCCTCCTGTAAGCTGATCTTTTCCTGATTAATTCGCAGATTGACTCAGACCTGCTTCGAGAAGTGCATCGAAAGAAAGTGAGTTTTCTTGTTGGTATCGAATGATGTTGATATTCACTGTAGCTCTAGGTTAGTGTTCTGATTCATACTGGAGGCTGAATGTCAGTAATTACATTACGTTCTGAAATTAATTCGATGCGCCTGTTCAGGTACAAGGAATCAGAACTGAACGTGGGAGAAAATAGCTGTATCGATCGCTGTGTAGCGAAGTACTGGCAGGTTGGAATCCCTTAAATCGAATGATGTCTAGCATTACTGCTTGTAGTAATTTTCAGTGTTTATTCCTATCACTTTGTAATTTTCGTGAAGCAGAGGCAGCTTTCAGCTTCTAGGGTATGGTTCTGTCCTTAACTCAGTGTGAATGATGGCTACTCAGTGCACTTGATTTGAATGTGCCAAAATATCTCAATCCGTTCTAAGTAATTGTGGAATCCGTTTCTTGTTATTTTTCAGGTTACTGGCATTGTTGGAACAATGCTTGGCTCGAGCAAGCCCGGGGGCATGTAGAATAAATATATATAAAGATCAACAACGATTAAAATTTTGCTGATTTCGTAGCGCTTTACAAAGTTTTTTTGAGTTAGGATTAGTGCATACATACCAGGTTCCTGTCCCGGATGACGGGTGGATGTGTGGTTGCTAATGTGTCTTCAGGGCATACACGACTATAACTGCCTCTCCTAGAGTGGTGATCACACTACGGTATGGAATTGAGGAGCTTCTTTGTAGAACGCGCTGAGTAACTGGTTACATCATTGGAAACCATGGTCAGGACTTCTCCAGTGTGTTTCCTACTGATTAAAAACACAATGTTAATCACAATCATGAAATCATCTACTTGTCTCGAAATAATAACGTTCCCATTCGAGTTTTTCCTTTTCCAAGTTTCAGGATCTTTCTATATTTAGGAGGATGCAGTGTCTCGCTGTTTGACACAAGTAGGGGCAGATAGTTCCCACTGCTAGCTTAGGTGGGTTTTCTCTACCTCGGTACTGAAATTCAGATTTTGTATGTTGCCATTTGACTTCGTCCGAGAATAGGATGTCCCCGCCGTTGGGGCTGTGATCAATACTCAGTCATACGTTTGTGGACACTGAAAGTCAGTTAACAGCAGTTGGGCAGAGGCAAAGATATCTATTGAAACATAGATTTACGCGGAAGTGATGAGATGGTGATTTACTATGTAAGGTGATTATGCGAATATGGTTGCATAAATACAAGCTGGTACATCACCATTGAACAATGAAGCTTCCACTATAATCAGTTCGGACATTATTAGAATTGGGATTAAAAAAATCTTCGGGAAGCTCAATGCGTTACTGCGTGTTTGTGGTTCGACAGTTGTTAGTGATGGGATTCTTTCAGGCCTATTATCTGTGTTTGGTGCATTCACGGCTTTTTGTCCACGTGTCAGGTGTTTGCCCTTCATATGCCACAATGTCATGAAAATTCACGGTCCTTCAGTTACATATTTACAGTTCTCGTTGTCATGTGTAAACGCCTCGGGCCTTCGACCTCGACACTTATTCATCCTCAGATTGCATAGAATCAATGATTTCCACTGCCCAAGCCGTGAAGACTGCAATAGCACACGCGTAGCAAATGTATTCAGCCATTCCTCGAAATCTACCCCTGTCCATGTCCCTGTCCTGTCCCTGGGGACATATTAGATCCCCGATATGCTCTGAAAATTCACTTCTGAATGTTGTGACAGGCATCTGAGTTGCTGGAGGAGAATGTGAAAGATCATTTCTCCCCGCGAGGAAAGACAAGACCGACATGGATTTTCGCATGTGCGTAAGCGCCCTCGAGAACATTCCATACATCTCAGTACAAAATGCCCACGAAGCAGAACCCCAACAGAGATGTCATCCCCGGTTACCAGATCACGCGGGAATGATGACCGTCGCAAGCTTCTGGAACGGGGAGTCGTATGTGTCACCCAGTATACGTATCTATTGTACGGTAGAGTCTAGACTCAAGAAACTTCTCTGGTCAAAACGCGAGGACACCATACTACTCCTTCATGCTTTGGTAATTAAGGTAAAGGGCTAATTATTTGGCTCGAAAGAAAGGACGATCCGAGAGCTTAGTCTTCGCTTCATTATTAACATCCTTATTATACTTCTCACTAAGTACATCACATCGAAACAGAATAATATACACTGTGACACCTGGGAACCACGAAAGGTCCGACATCACATCGCAGTCCCGAAGAGTGCATTCCTCGTGATTCGACTCGGGAAATTGAACCCGAGGAGACAAGGAAAAGAGGGGAAGGAAAAATCCGTGAGGAAACTAGGAACTAGAGAAAAAGACGACAGAAAATGTGAATACACGAAAATCACGACAAATCAATGACAGTGCAGGAGACGGAGAGCGCAATGAGCCGCTAAATTTGGCGGATCGAGCTCGACTAGCAGGGCTTGGGTCGGGCGGTCAGCAGTGGCAGCGCGGGGTTTAGAGACGCTCCAAGGGTTTGGCGGGCTCGTTTAGGGTTAGGGTTTATTTCGGTTGGTTCGGTTCTTGGGGGGGAGGGGTGACTGGGATCTTGGGCCTCTGAGGTCCGTCTGGGCCCTTCCTTCGCTGTTCGAGAAGCGGGACCCGTCTTCGTCTGCGATCCGGGGTTCGAGTGCATCATCTTCCCGCGCCCGATCCGATCGCAGCTCGTTTTCCCTCTTTTTTCGCTTCGTGTGCCCGAGTCCTGCCTCGTACGCGGAGTGGGTTGTCCATTGTATCCCGAAATCGGATCGTTTATCCGATCGGGTGGAGTCGAGGCGCGAAGAAATCAGCGAGGAGTAGTGACGTGATCGCTGGCGGGATTGATTGTCGAGCTCTGAAGCTGTGGTTATCGGCAGATCGGAGGTCTCGCGTGGAGGGATATTGTCACGATGTCGTACATGATGCAGCCGTTCGGGATGCAGTCCATGCTGAAAGATGGGCACAAGCATTTTTCCGGGTTAGAGGAAGCGGTGATGAAGAATATAGATGCTTGTAAACAGCTATCGAAGATTACCCGCACCTCGCTGGGACCTAACGGAATGAATAAGATGGTGATCAATCATCTCGAGAAGTTGTTTGTGACCACTGACGCCGGGACCATGGTGAATGAGTTGGAAGTGCAGCATCCAGCTGCCAAGCTGCTCGTCCTGGCAGCCAGGGCCCAACAAGAGGAGGTTGGAGATGGGGTAAATTTGGTAATATCGTTCGCTGGGGAGCTTTTGCAGGGCGCTGAGGAGCTCATTAGAATGGGTCTTCATCCCAGTGAGATCATTGCAGGATATGCCAAGGCTCTTACCGAGGGTTTGGAGGTTTTGGAGACACTTGTAGAACCGAACACCGAGAAGATAGATGTAATGAACAAGGATGAGGTGATGAAGAGAATAATCCCCGTTGTGGCTAGCAAGCAATACGGACAGGAAGAGCCTCTCTGTCGATTGATTACGGACGCTTGCATTCAGGTGTGTCCCAAAAACCCCCTGAATTTCAATGTCGACAACGTACGAGTTACCAAGCTTTTGGGCGGTGGAGTCTCGGATAGTTTGGTGGTATCTGGAATGGTCTTGAAGGCAGATGCCGTAGGGTCGATCAAGAAGGCGCAAAAAGCAAAGATTGCAGTTTTTGGAGCTGGAGTGGACACCGCTGCCACTGAAACCAAGGGAACTGTGCTAATCAAGAATGCCGCTCAGCTTGAGTCATATGCCACTACTGAAGAGGCCAAGATCGAATCGCTAATTAAGGAAGTAGCCGAATCTGGGGCCACTGTCATTGTTAGTGGAGGTCCTGTTGGTGAGATGGCTCTTCACTTCTGCGAGAGATACAAGATCATGGTTTTGAAGATCATGTCTAAGTTCGAGCTCAGGAGATTTTGCAGGTCTACCGGGGCCTCCTCGGTAGTGAAATTGCAGCGTCCATCTGTAGATGAGTTAGGTTTCGCAGACTCCATCTCTGTTGAAGAAATAGGGGGAACTAGGGTGACCGTGATCAAGAACGATGCAGGCGGCAACTTGATCTCCACCTTGGTACTCAGAGGCAGTACCGACAGCGTCTTGGACGACTTTGAGAGAGCGGTCGATGATGGTGTCAATGCGTTCAAGGCCGCCTGCAGAGACAGCAGACTGATTCCAGGTGCAGGTGCTTCCGAGATAGAAATGGCTAGGAGGTTGCAGGAGTTTGGATCCAAGGAGACAGGTTTGAACCAATATGCTATTCTGAAGTTCGCAGAGAGCTTGGAGATAGTTGCCCGCATCTTGGCGGAGAATGCCGGTTTGAATACCCTGGATATCCTTTCTACACTCTACTCAGCCCATGCTAGTGGAAATCTTCACGCAGGAGTAGATATTGAAGGCACGAACCCTACAAAGGACGATGTATGGGATCTCTACATCACAAAATTTTGGGCTTTGAAGCTGGCCACGGATGCTGTTTGTACAGTTCTACGGGTAGATCAAATTATCATGGCTAAACAAGCGGGTGGACCCAAGCCCCAAGGAGGACACGGAGACGACGAAGACTAGACTGTGACAAACGCTGGGAAATGATATTTCCAGGTTGTTTGCAAGCGCAGGAGAAGGACACATGTGGCCCCAGTTGCGTAGATTTAGGTGCCTCCTCGTGCCTCAGCAGGGAGAAACTAGGGTTATTTCTGCCTCCTGTAGTGAACATTATGATTAGTTTATGTGGTGAAGAACCGTGCCTCTTATTTGCGAGCTGGGATCCAATGACATGTCCATCAGATGATCCTCTCTGGTTTTGTGACAGTGTAGAAGAATGAGTGCGCGGATTTTCACCCAGAGGGCCAGCAAAGGATTATCGAGAGGGAGCAAAAGCACTTGCTGTGTGTAGTGGAGGGGTCTTGATTGAAAGGCTGAATCTATAAGGCTCCCCAGCCTCCTGAGTTTTCCTTACTGTTTTGATAGTATCCCAGATCTTGTAACAAGGAAGTGTTATAGCGGGAATGTAACAGCATAATCAAAGAGCAGACTTCCAAATTTGCAAAGATTGCTCCAGTTCCGATCTAAAGTTGAGAAGGTTGCTGTGGAGAGGAACTTTTAAGACGTTTTGAAGACGTAAATACTTGTCTTGAATGTCGCTATTGTGAATGGTTGGCACTGGTGAGTTTTTTCCCTTGGACCGGTGTAAATTGACGATCCCCACCAAATTTCTCTTTTTATCTTGTATTTTTGTCCCAGTTTTTGTTCCTCAGGTCCAAGCATCGGATGATGCATCCTCATATGAATCGACGAGGGGATTGTGACTCGGCGTCGATAAATATAAACCGCAAGCAGACTGCTGGTGCGTGCTGCTATCAGTTTTCAGTTCTTTTCCACCTCCTTTTAGATTTGTCTCGTCTCTAGGATAGTGTATACATATCTCGTTGTAATTCCCGCTTGTGCAATGACTGTACTCGTTATCCCCAATGGGGCTATTCTCGTGCGCTGTTTACCCGCACACATGAAAAGAACATATGTATACATATGTTCGTGGTCGCCCACATACATATGTATACATATGTATGTGGGCGACCATTATTTTTGTGTGAAGTGAGTGTGACAAAGTGATGAAAAGTCATAATTTAAACCTCAGCTGGTTTCAAGCTATTTTTAGAAAAATGTGTCCTCCAATTATTATATAAAACACTATAATACACAACTTAGGTATGGATGACGCTAACGTATGAGCTTGTTCGTACAACTAGAACCACGATACAACCAGCATACAAGTCTTACCGTAGACTCATAAATCACAGCCTTATTGAAGCCTAGTTTATGCAGCATAGCTTATAAAAACCAATGGACACCTATATCCATCCTAAGCCATTCATGGAAACTGGATGTAGTTATCTAGTCACTTAATAGTCTAAGATATTCTCTTTACTGGATCATTTCTAATTAAATCTCAATTCAATCATTTCTAACCATTGTATCGCCCTGAAAATATGGGTGCTCAAATCGTATATACAGGGGAAAAGCCATTATCTTATGGCATGATACACTACACTTCAAGGAATACTCCACCATTTCCTTCTAATGAAAAATGCTCTTTTTCCACAGACGAAATAAGAGTAAGGATTATTTGATCTTTACTAAGAGACTCTATCCATAGCTCTCGGGATGCATCTGGTGGTCTACTTTCCCGTCTTAGATTTTAGCTTTTCCGCCTTGGAAGTCATCCTAATCTTACCATCATAGAATTCTCTCGCCCTTCAGTTTTTTATATAATCTTGGATCTCATTCTTGACTTGAACGGTAACATTCAATTGCCTTTGAGGTTTTATGTAGGACAGTAGTACAGAACATAGAGCGGTCTTCTTTCCCGTCTTAATTATTTGTCCGAACGAGGGCTGCTTTTGTTGCTTCATCTGTCTTCTTTGAGTTGGCGTGGTACAGACTTTTACAGACTTTTCTGCCCTCCCGTGACAGCCCGTGAAACCACTCACAATCATCCAATCATTCATTTTGACTCCTCTGTTTTGGATGAGAAATTTGCTTGATAGGACCCGATAAGAACGCTGAGTGCTTGATGGGACCCAATAATTTCTATTTTACCCGATGGGACCCTTCCGAAGGCAATTCAGTCCACCGACACCAATGTTCTACAGCGAGTTCTTGTAATTGCTTTCAATGCGGGTTAGGAAAATCACTTCGGCTCTTTGTGGATAAGTGACTTCTCCCCTCAGGCACTTCACTGACCAAAGTACTTACGCAACTTACGCCAAAAATTTTAGAAAAAAAAGTAAAGAGTAAGTAGATTACGCCCATACATTATAACTGTAATATCATTCTGGGACCTGAGAAATTGGGCTGAAGATTGGGAGCCATGGTAAATCTGACTAACTTAAATCGGGGAAGAATTTTAATTTTTATTGAAGTGAAAACAAAGCAGTTACAAGAACATAATTGACGGTGATCCGTAAAATAATCGGGTAATTTGAAACTTATTGGGTCACATCAATTAGTAAGCCTTCTGATGGGATCCCATCAAGCAAATTTCTGTTTTTTGGATGCTCTTCTGATATTTGATCCCATCAAGCAAATTTCTCGTTTTTGGATGCTCCTCTGATTTTTGTCAGGTAGTTCGCTCTCAAACTTCCTCGTTGCGGATGGAAGCAAATAAGATTGTTGTGTCGCATGAGTGCCTGAAGAATCGGAGCGAATGAGGTTCTTGAGAGCCGGAGGTAGGGTTAAGGGTTTAGGGTTAAGATGTTCTTAAGAATATTAACCGCTAAATATACACACATTAAATGAGTCAAAAAACTCATTTAGCCATTAGACCTGTAAATGCACTTCGTAGCTTAATCTCATAGTTGTTTCATAAGGACTGGAGAAGAAGTCTCAGAGTTTGCATGTTTGCAGCACTACGTTGCCTGGGTGTATCAAGGGGGGGCAGGCGGCTGAAGGTGGATCCTATGATATGTGAAGGTTCAAGGAGGTCATGAGCGTTTAGATTTATGGATGATGTCGTTACTGAATCGAGCTACAGCGAGTGTTTGTTGGAACATGTTCGAGCATGTATGTTGTGACCAATCCTCAAGTGGATGAAACAAAGATCAAGAATATCCTCAACTACTGACTCTCGCCTGGAAAGCAAATGCTACCACGTGCAGCAACTGCTTTCAGTGACGTCAACTACGTCAACATCATCGATTCTACGCAGTACATCTGACTTCTTTTGGGGTCAATGGATCAGGACGGCGACACGTCGTGGGGCTGAAGTGAGAGAGTAGAGTAGGTTAGAAGGCAAGAATATGTTTTTAGCTCTTTTAGGGATTTACTTTGACAAACATGGATAACGAGGAGAATTATTTCATCGCTACAATTGGGGTAAGTGGTGTTTACATTAAAAACAATTTGAAATTTGAAAATTTCTGTGATGTTAATAACTTAAGGTTTTTAAATTTTTTCTCTAAATTCAGACATAAATAAGGGGCTATTTATTCCGCTGGATTCATTTACTACCATGGTTTAAAACTAGGAGGTCTTATTATTACCAAAATTCGCGATGTAAGCCCAACGCCACATAATGGATGCCAACCCCCTTAAAAAGTCGTGTTTAAATATCACCATCAAGTCCTATGTCATCATAATATGGTAAATTGAGGTTCAAGAGGAAAATTATTTTTTTTAAGGGTACGAAGGAGACTTTTTTGGCATTACAGGGCTGAACCCTGTAAAGCCAAATTTTCTCCTTTGCCTTTACGAAAGGCAAAGAAGGAAATCTACAAGCCATGTCTAGTGGCTAAAGAATACTTCTCGATATGAAAAGTTATCACTATTTAAAAACTTAGGGTTTGATAATTAACATTTATTTGAAATTAGGTTGGATGTCAAGGAATTATAATTTTGAAAATAGAAGTAAGTACATGATGAAATATCGTTTTTTTGTTTTTGTGGTAGTTATAGTTTCATTATACCTTGACGTGGACATCCAAGAAGTGTGGAATATGCCATATTTGCTGTGATATATATTGTAATCTCAGCGAAGAGTATATATCTATGTGACAAAGACACACAAATATTAATGATTGGACCACTAGACATGATGATTACCTAGATATATGATATCTTGATAATGTTCAAAGTAAAAAATATCTTTTTGATCATTATTTACATGCATTTGATCATATTAGAACATCTTTCATAGTATGATCTTGTACATCTTCGGTTAGATGATAGTTTCAAACAGCGTATGATAAGTGTGTGACAAGAATATTGGCTATATATGGTGATATTTTTGTTAAAAATGTAGAAGAAATTACAATTATAAGCATGGGATATTTGCTTATTGATATATTCAATGTTATATTTTAGATAACAATTTTCAGCTGTTCCTTAAAAATTGTATGTTGGAACTCTCGATACAATAGAAATTATAGTAGATATTGTTCATGTATATATCTTGTTGTGTTGTCTGGATTGTTTGATTGCCATGTCCGTAATTATGTACTTAAAGTTTTCTCCTGCTAAGTTGCTCTGTAGTAGTCATATATACACTATTGCTCCCCGTGTGCAGAGCAAATTAGCATAAGTAAATTTATAGACAATGCATTTTACTGCAACTAACATATGATAAATAAGTCTTTATTCAAAGAAAACAATCTTACGGTAGAATATTGCCATATAAGTAGCCAACCTCAACTCTTACTTTGCAAAAGTACCGTATTCAATCCACCTAACAATTTGAGCGATCTATGGAAACAAACTAAATGTAATGAATCGGTTTTAATGGGCTTTAAATTCACAAACATTCTACTAACAGGAATCTGAAATATACCTTAAGGTATAATCATCAAACATAAGAATAACTAGTTCCGTTCAACTAGACTAATATGCACTTGACATTATTTATAAACTGTTCCGCTTATTAAGATTGTTGTAACTGAATGCTATGCCATATTATTTTTATTCTTCATTGACCGCACTCTCGAATTTTATCCTCTGAGCGAAGTAGTATTTGCTCGTATTTCTGGAAGTGCTGAGCAAAAGCTGAGATAAAAAAACATGGATCTCTAGTTAGTGCTATTGTTGCTCCTTCTTGCAATAAAGTAAGGCTAAGATGATGGAGGTCAAATGAAGTGGAGAGCGTGAAGAATGGATGTGGGCACTTGTGCTCTAATTCAAAAAATCACTTTATTCTCTGAATGTTGACCCTTGACGCGGGAGGCTAAAACAAGCATGACTACTTTTCATGGTTTCATCCTTGTAAGGCTTGATGGGGGGTTCCTTCTTTTTGCTATAATTGCTCAGCCCGCCGACTTTCGTTCTGGATGGGGAAGGCACAGGTTTTGACTTGACCTGAGACCGCGTTAAAGCAGATGTCTTAAGAATCTTCGTGATGTTTGGAATCTTATCACGTCTTCAAAAAATATCTAGAAAGTTGAATATCTGCAAAAACTATTTCCAATCATGTTCAGTCGACATTTCTGAATCTACTCCCTCATTGCTCAGTGTGTCTAGAATGACCCTTGAGGCTCATAGGCTTGAGCCTCCGAATAACTTTGCCCACGTTTGTTTATGTATTGCTCATTAAACACACAACCTTTAAAGGATGGATTGCCATGGGCATTGGTTGGATCAACGAGAGCAGCCCTGAAGGATTAGGGCTGTCCATTTTGTTATCATACCTTGAAGCCACACTCGGTTTGGGCAGATGTCATTGGAACCACTAATCACCAACTTGAACCTCTATTCTGACTTTCCAGCCTATCCATCTTTTCCTTGAATTGTGATATCTAATTTATGACAAATACGACAAATAAAAATCCTCAAATGGACGAGTTTCCAGTCCCTCGGGCACAGTGGCAAACAGTCCATCGGCAAATTGTAGACAGAGCAAAGCCCTCTCTTTCCTCCAGAGCTGCGCACCGGCGGCATCTTCAATTTCTGATTGAAGAACTTCGAATAAACAATGCAAAGAGTGACTTTTCCAGTGCAGCCCCACTCCTGAAAAAGCAAACTTTCGGATTTTCAACTCCATAGCTCAACTTTTTATTAATATTTTATTCTATATTGTATTTTATTAAGATTTTAGCAATAAAGATACAAGCCAAATACTGCATACTAAATGTTAAAAATAATTTGACTTGTATATATTTTGGACTGCATTATGTGCAGTCAATTATAAATGATACATAATTTATTTGCCTAGTTTTTTCTTTGCTAAAGCAATCAATTTCATCAACTCAGTTGTAATATTTTGATACACATGTTTAAAATTTTTTTTCTTAAGAGTGATTTGATATAAGAGAATTTCAATGAAATCACTATAAAATGAAAATCTTTTAATTCGGATAAGATCCTTATGTAAAAAAATTATTTTGAACATTTCCTTTTGATTTATATTGAAATTTATTAAAGAAAAGTAATTATATGCTACGCTAATTCTATGAAGTGCAGAATATATTTTATATAACACATACGATTCAAAAATGATCAAATTAAAAGAAAAAAAGAAAAGAAAAATTCAAAGATATTTTCACACTCACCTGAATTTTGAATTTACAGTGTTTAAAAATTACTTTTTATATAAGTTTATAACTTCTTTTTTAGTTTTATCTATATGAATTTCCATTGATTATTTTACTTTTGATGATAAGAAACCATTTATAGAATCTATACTACCTAAATCATCTAATAGTAGTTAATATATTTACAGAATGTCAAAATTTTTCGTTTTGTCATAAGTTGACAACTCTACTAAGTAACAACGGCATGATCTAAATTATCATTGCAAAGCATGAGAAAATTCTTTTATTTAATTTAATGGTCATGTTACACAAACCAAATTAATCAAATGTACTGATGCTATAATATATACATATGAATATTTAACAAAATTCTAGATGAAAATAGTGTGAGGTATTAAGTGACCTAAGCCTTCACATGTAAGAAGTTTCATGCAAATTAATCATTCACAAAAGTTCATCTCAATCGAGAGGTGATTGAGATGAGGTGAAAAATGATGTTGTTAACATAGATTGTGATGTGATTCCAATGGACATGTATTATGTCTTACTGTACGACAATCCACTGATTGGATACCGACAATGACGTCAAACTATGCGAAATAATTTAAGAAGAACTTGAAAGATATCATATTTGTATGAAATCTCAATCGAGAGGTGATTGAGATGAGGTGAAAAATGATGTTGTTAACATAGATTGTGATGTGATTCTAATGGACATGTATTATGTCTTACTGTACGACAATCCACTGATTGGATACTGACAATGACGTCAAACTATGCTAAATAATTTAAGAAGAACTTGAAAGATATCATATTTGTATGAAATTCATATTATCACGAAAAGGAATAAATATTTAATATCACGGTAAACATATTCAAGAGGTCTAGATCTAAAAAAGAAAAGAACATTTTATGTTTGTTTCCGTGTGATCTCGTAATAATCCGGCACATAACGAGTGACAAGCGTTCGTGGTGACTGGACAGACGAGCGACAAAAACTCGCAGAACCCTTCAGGGTGACCGGGTCACCGGTGGGTAGGGGCGAGGTCGCCCTGAGCCGCACCTCCTTCGCTCGTGCTCGTCTGCAGGCGCTCCACATTTCGCTCGCGAATTGAAAGTCTCTCTAGGCGCTAACGACGACGACTGCAGGAGAGTCCACGTCCCAGCACCAGGGCCAATAGCTCGCTGCGGATCGATGCCATGCCCGTCGTTCGTTCCGACTTCCAACATGTGGCCCTGCTCGTTTGTGTGGCTGACATTCCACAGAATCCGAGTCCATCTCGGTCGGGGTCGGGGTCGGGCCTCAGGAGCTCAGGAGCTCTCGTGAATTCCAGGTTCCAAATTCTCGGCTGCCTCCAGACAAGCGATCTGTACGGTACTGCGGTCGCGTAAAGTTCGCATGCTCGCCATTGCGTTGCGTTCTGGTTGGGTCGCGGTCCTCGAACCTCTGGCGCTTTTTAATGCTGCCTCTGCTGTGACTGCACCTGCTGCTGCTGCTCTCGGTCCTCCGCCTCGGACGGCCAGGCTTTTTCTGGATTCCGGTCGTTCCAGCCCGTAAGCTTTTCCAAGTGCCATCCTTTTCTGGATTCCACGCACATAGAGGGCTCTGGAACGCCGACCTCGCGGATCAATTGCTCATTTCTGCTCTGACGGCCGTTCAGTGGACCAGGACGTGCTCGTGCAGGAGGACGCTGTGAGAGTGCTCTCATTGTGCATGAACGATGGTTGGGTCGATGATGAGAGCAGTGAGTGAGTGAGTAGATTTGTGAGTTGTGCGCGAGAGGCGACTGCAGAGGACGAGAGCGAGAATTTGTGGAAGCGGATGGAAGAGTAGTTGCGGAATTGTCGACAAGATGATTGGAAGGATGGAACAGCGTTTGCCCAGTCTGCAACTGTGTGTGCTGCCGCTGTCGAATAGCGTCTGTCGTTCTGGTGAATTCTTTGGCTTGAGGCGGTAGCAGACGCAGTCGGATCTCGAAGATTTTGGGTTTCTTGATTGAGGTGGCCTCATTCGTCAAATGCTACCGTAGGAAGTTATCAGCTTTGTTCAGCTCTTGAGCTGAGCTTATCCCGTGGGAGATTCTTGCGTCTCAGTCTTTGATTCAAAATAATGGCACAATTTGCGCTTCGGTCGTCCTCAGCGATGTCCTTTTTATGGCCCGGTACTGGAGCCTCGAGCAGGAGTCCGTGTCTCTCACCTCGTAGCTACTCTCAGGGGTCCCAAATGAGGAGTGGAAGCTGCGGTCAATTGGGGAGCAATGTGCTAATTTTGAAAAGATGTAATGGTGGTTTACATCTAATTCAGGGTCTGGGGGATTCTTCTTTCTCCAGAGGACCATCAAAGGCGAGAGTAAGGAGACGGAAAAGTGTAACCACTTGCTCTATCGCCCTCACTGATGGCTTAGGAGGTCAGGAAAGCATTGGAGACGGTGACAACTTCAATGGGGCTGCTGTGGAAAAGGAGGAGGAAAAATTCACTTTGAGCAGATTTGGAGCGGGAATTTTAGAAGATGCGAAGCGGCGATACAAGCACTATTTGAGTGACTTTACAGATGGAGTTCACCCAAAAGCAGCTGCAGCGACATTCTTTCTCTACTTTGCTTGTTTAACTCCATGCTTGGCGTTCGGAGGGTAGGTACATTTTACTGTTGATGACAATGTCAAAATCATACACATGTGCAGGGCCATTCCAGATGCATGAAGTTTTGTAGTGGTCCTCAGTAAAACCCACCTCAGATCTGAAATTTACATCAATGATATAATTACCTCTTCGCATAACTATCGCTGGTTGTCTAAGGTGAAGTTTTTGCTCTTGGAACGAATCCAGACTCATGGCCACGGTGACGGGTAATTCGATCGGGGTTGTGGAAAGTCTGATTGGCACTGCTGGTATGTTCTTCAATTCAGTTATACTTGATACGCAATTCTTCACATTTTTCTACTTGAATTTGCCCATGCGGTACTTATCACGTCATCGTACCGGATCACCTCAATGCATTACTTATTTCGTGCGGGCAATTTTCGGATTTTGTGATAAATGTCACTCGTTATGTTCACTGGAAAGAAGTATTGTTCAATTAAGTTTATAATATGGAAAGTTGTCATGTTCATTTCCCAGTGTCTGGAGTTTTGTACGCTATGTTGGCTGCCCAGCCTCTGACCCTGCTAGGGCCCACGGGACTCATGGTTATTTTTACTGGACTTCTGTATAAGGTACAGCTTGCAAGAATGATATGGATTGCAAAAAGTTGTGATGAAATTTGTTTCTTGGGGACTTATTGGATGAATATCTTCGTAATGGATAGTCAACTCATATATTAATTTAAATATCAGTCAGGAGCTGTTGGTTTCAGTGTAGTGCTTATAAAAAAATAATTTCTTTAGTTTTAAAGTCTGCTGTTTAGCCGTGGACAATATGATGTTGGCATAGTAGCCACGCCTCGCTTCCGATAGGCATTGATCCACTTCAGAAAGTATCGAAAGTAAGCTTCGAGTATTGCTGACATACGCGCTAAATGTCCAAATATCTTTAGTTTCAAAGTCTGCTGTTTAGCCGTGGACAATATGATGTTGGCATAGTAGCCACGCCTCGCTTCCGATAGGCATTGATCCACTACAGAAAGTATCGAAAGTAAGCTTCGAGTATTGCTGACATACGCGCTAAATGTCCAAATGTCTCTGTGCTCTGCAGGCCACGGTTGAGCTGGGACTGCCATTTCTGCCTGTATACGGATGGGTTGGTCTGTGGAGTTTTGCCTTTTTGTTTGTGTTAGCCGCGGTTGAAGCTAGTAATTTGGTGAGCTCCTACCCTTTTGCCTACATAGATCAAGATCTTACACATCCTTGATGTTAATGGTACTTTGTCATTATACGACACAGCGTTGAAATATATGCATACTAACCGAGTTTCATGTGCATGCCATTTCTTAGATAAAACATTTTACTCGTTTCACGGACGACATCTTCTCGTCGCTCATTTCCTTCGGCTTCATCTCTGAAGCATGTAAGGTGCGCTTCCTGCTATATATCCGTCCTTTCTATCTTGCTTCGAACATTTTGTTCTCGCGTTTTGAAACCTACTCGCCTCTGGTCTGTGACTGATTGTTGACCATCAACCTTCATCAAAGGAATTCTTGCTTCCAAGAAATTGAGACTACGTAAAGATCGTAGTACAAGTCGTTACCGAGGACAGTTTCTGATGGTTTATCCTGCTTGAATGTTGCAGAGCATTGGTGCCTTGTTCAAGGCTTCGAGCCCGTTTTCAACTGCAACGGCGTTACTGTCTTTTGTTCTAGCTGGGGGCACGTGGATACTGTCCACATTTCTAACTCAAGTACTCTCTCTCTACACTTAGCAGTTAGTTTAGTAAAAGATTGATGTAGATTTATCATCTTTGGTCATTGAACTCGTATTGAAGAAGAACTGTTAGAATTAGCGAATCGATTCTGAATGTTTCTGGTGGTCATTTGTCTCCTCAGATGAGATCTTCGCGATTACTGGTGCCAAGTGTAAGGAATGCTCTCTCAGACTTTGGGCCACCGTTGGCGATTCTTCTGATGTCACTGGTGCCACCTATATTGTTCCCTGGTGTCGTCATCCCCGAATTGCCGATACCGTCTGGTATTGCAACAACATCTGGTAGACCATGGATCGTTCCTTTCTTCAGCGTTCCAGCATGGGTTATCGCGGCTTCATCTATCCCTGCAGCTCTTCTTACTCTTCTTATTTTTCTTGATCAGGTGAGGTAGTAACGCAACCAAAACATGTCACGCTCTTGCGAAATGGCAAAAATATTTTAGTGCTAGGATTACACGCAGCAGGTTACGTTCCACATTACAATTATGGATAGTTGTTTCACAGAACGCTCGAAATTGAAGACTAAGTCCTTCGAGGCATACCTGACTTTCAACCCATTGTGGTGCATGAAAGTCGATGAAAAAATCATGCTGATAGAGTTCTTCGTGCAGAATATTACATCTCGGCTCATCAACGATCCAAAAAACAAGCTGAAGAAAGGCGAAGGCTATCATCTTGATCTTTTTGTTTTGGGAGGTGAGTGTCTGATGTACTGCAGCCTTAACTGTTTACTTGAAGTAGAAGAAAATAATATAACATGCAAAAGTCATCGAAGCTCATGAGTCCAGTTTATCTGACCCACATGTTTGCGTGGATGCGCAGCATTGATGGCGGTCGGATCGTTGTTTGGACTACCTTGGATGGTCGCTTCAACAGTCCCCTCTTTGAGTCATGTTCGGAGTCTATCCACCATATCCAAGTCAATCAGTATCAGGTAGGATACTCCCGAAATAGCAAATCAAAGGAAGCTGCACATTCCTTCAAAATTTTCTTTTGAGATGTCATAGAGAAAGCTGAAGGAATCATGAAGTAGATCCGTATTTCTCAGTTTCATAGTATTCCAACCTAATGTGACTTGAAGCACTAGTTTCCAGCTTTAAAAAATAATGCTATCACTTTGCTTTATGTTATGGCTTTTTGCAATATGTTCTGACCTTATATTTCTGTTCATCAGCGGAGAAAACTCTGATATACCAGACGAGACGGTTGTCGGCGTTATTGAAAATCGACTAACTGGAGTCACTATCCACGTAGGCAAATTCGAGGGTTTTTCTTAATAAATGCTGTATTTTATGAATGCTACATGAATTCATACTAGTTCTCACTATGAGTTTCACTTTTTCGAAAGAGCTTTCACGAAGATCCGAAATAAAAGAAATGTGTTCCATCTCAGGTATTAATAGGAGCATCATTATTGCTTCTGCCAATTTTGCGGTTCGTCCCAGTTCCGGTACGACTCCCACCCATGTCATTTAAGCCACGTTACTATTGGAATTCTATCCATCAGAGATACGAAAGCCACATCACCTTTTCTCCCTTATGACTTTTCTTCTTTGTTGCCAGGTAACAAGCGGTCTATTTCTGTACATGGGATTTACGAGTCTATCTGGAAATCAGTTTGTAGAAAGGTACGCACACAACATATATTTCATAGGTCAATCAGTGGTCCTTTTCGCCGGTTTTCTGACCTTCTTCATGACTGGCATGTTTATCGTAGCTCTACGGTGTGCTATGATTGTGAATATTTTACTTCAGCATCGCTCAGCCACGGTGCGGGTCTGTGGTCTTTAGGCTGACAGGCACATGCTAATAAGTACAGTACACTTTCATGTTTACATGCATCCTCTATATCATCTGGATGCTGCGAGAGCTTTGCTTCGGACATCATTTTCAGTATAAAATATACAACACAATTATACAAAGTCTTGTCGACAATCCATTTTCTCTTGAAGCTGAAATTTGCCAGCCTTGTCCTTTCCGTTATTTGTCAGGTTAAAACTATGGGTATATGATCCCGAGCTCTACCCCGAGTACGATTTTACCAAATCGGTTCCCAGAGCCGTGCTGCATGGCTTCACAGCTTTGCAGTTAGTGTGCTTAACAACTCTGTGGACTCTGAAGAAAACTTCTTGGGGTATGAAGACTAATCTTAACCTTCTTATTTGATAGATTACGGTTAAGGTCTCATGTGTCACTTTGCATTGTTGTAGGATATACATGTGTTTTACTTTGTCTGATACTGGATTTCATAAGCACGTTTTATTGCCATATCATCGTCAATAGCATTTCTATTGGGCACTTATCAGTAACTGGCTTATTTTCTCATTAGTTGATCTTTCTAGCTCTCGATGGCTGAGTTTCGTGTGTATGGCTTACACTAGCACTGAACTTTGTACATGTTTTCTGCAGGAATCACTTTCCCACTTTTGATACTCGCTTTGATGCCCATCAGAAACTATGTCGCTGGCTCTCTGTTTTCTAGAGAACACTTAAACATCATGGACTCACATTGAGGCACTCAGCAGTCCGTTATCCCTCCCTACAGCACACAGGAGTGATGGAGAAACCAGGAGAAAGCAGAGACGAAAGCCATCGAACACTAGCTCTCTTATGCTGAGTAAGTTGTAAAATTTGTAATATTTTGAGAGTGGTGAATATGCTTGTCTTTCAGACCGGGTAGTGAGCCCAGGATTGTAGGGACAGGACTGATAAGATGCAAAGTTTTTCTAAAATATGGGTTTGTCTGGATGTATCGTGAAGATCTGTTTTTTTCACCTCGCTGGTGACTTTACTTGTTTTCCAGCAAAGCTAGATATCCTTTGAGTACCTCATAGTAGGTCTACCCTGTGAAGGCTAAACGTTCTTAAATACCGCTGACTGGCGAGTGATGACCACTGTACCTGTGATACGTCTCGGTTTTCTCTTATAAGTGCTGTATGGATTCTGCTGCGCCGCTGAAGTTCAACACTGCCACATGATAGAATCTGCTCTCGTCTGAAATGTCTAAAGCCGTCCTTATCCGCGAGTGCGACTTAACTATGCAGTAATTGTTGTTACTGCAAAATAATCTGAACGTTAATTGTACAAAATTGGAGTGAACACTTGCATTTACATACTTACATGCAACCGACACGTAATTAGACTAACATCTTTGCCCTTCATACTGCCTAGTGCCTTAAAGGTACACGCCTAGTGAAAACGGCTTCACAACATCAGATCAGGGATGTTGACATTTCTTATGATCTTGGAGTGATATTTAAACTAATTGTGTACAAGTTGTGTATCAAAACAACCGCTTGCTCGCCGGCAGCACCGTCATTTCGGAGAAAAAGTTGTTGATCGATGTAGCTCGACATTAGCTATCCGTTTCACCCAGCGGAGGAGAGTAAATATTACCTTTCGGTCCTACATTCTGTACATGTAGTCTCAGGCTGGAGAGGTAATATTGCATTCACTTGTCGATCTTCGGTATACGAGGATACGATTACTAGATCTATGTTATTGTGAGTACGATGCGTGAGGCGCCATTAAAGCGATGGCCATTAAAACACGGGCTAGTGGAGAAGAACTCGTGGGACTATTCTAGCTCCGCCTTTCTACGTAAAGAACCTCAATTGCAGCCGTTGCTTGCAGATCGTATACTCGTATTCATGCAGAACGCAAATCTTTTTTTTTCTTTTAGACAGTTCGATCGCGGTGCGTGTTATGGATGTCAATTTCAACCGAAGACTGAAAATCACGCTCCCTCGGTACTGTAAACTGTTGGCTTTGGTGTTCTACTGGTGTAGGGTATGTATTTGTCTTGAGTTGAAGCATACTTTGCTGTACTTATCCTGATCACCATCTCAGAACACGTACTTGTTTCATCAATTGGTGATATACATTTGTCCTTCTCCATGGGCGAGGCCGATAAAGGTTACCATGGCTAGACCATCGTACTAAGCGCTCGCCATATCTCCATCAGCTCCATTAACATTTTACTTCGAGCAGATTATGATGTGTATTATAAGCGACCTAATATAAGGTGGGTCTCAAATATGTATAGTCTATTAGGTAATTCTTCCCTTTGGTGATCACTTTCACTTTTAATCTGAAACCTTGAAAAACACTATTTTTTTCTTAATCTCATGACCCCATGCATACCAGTAGTCAAGAGTAGAAAGATGTGAGTCTCCATATATGTGGAACTAAGGTTGAGAATATTTCAACTTGAACACGAACAATGTCATTGGCGATAATTTTATTTTTTGAGATCAGTGATTATCCTAGTTGCAGCAAAAACTTTACTCTGGCCTGAAGTGTGAATCTTTTTACATGTTTAAAGCATATCAACCCAAATATACACTCTCCCAAGCTAGTGTGCATATCACATCTCTAATAAGGTCATGTATTAAGAGGTATTGCAAGTATTATAACTCTTGTTAGTAATGTAGTTAGAAATGTATCTCCAAATCAAATCTATTATTTCAAATTTGAAATAATATGGTCCAGTGATATGCTCAAATATGCATATCATATTACTATACAAATTCTGCGAGAATGATAAGAATGTAGGTGAAGTGATCAATATGCAAAGAAGTTGTGTGGATAGACAAACTATACTTGAGAACAATTTAGCAAATGCGTTACTAGAAACCCTTGATAGGAATAATGTCATCCATGGTGCAACACATCTTCGGCTAATGTGAGACACAAGCATTGGATTTTACTGAAAATCCTACAATCTTGCAGTATATCTTTGTCTTGGATTCTGCCCTTAAAATTGTACATGTTATTTGGAAATAGATTTATCCTCTACCACTATAACATAGATGTAAGAATTTGGTAATTCTTCATCAAAGCTATTAAGATATTATATGCTGTCTTCATCAAAGACAGCATATAATATCTTCAAACCCGTGAACGGTTTACTCTTGAAAACGTAATGTGTCTCTATGGCTTGGAAATACTAAGCTGCCTTTTGATGACTGAATACTGTTGTATGTACTCGAAGCAAGAACAAGTACAAAGTAAGATATAACTATTTGAGGATTGTTGTACACTTTGTTAATAAAGCCCTAGGATTAGCCTCATGCATAAACAGTAGTCATACGTTCCGTAGGAAATTTGTGTGGAAGACCATGAAGTGATACCTCGCACTCGGATCCATTTACCATTTACCATAACAAATCAAAAGTATTGTACAATTTTCTGGACAAAATGAACTATCTTGGACAACATACATTCCGAGTGAGTATGATGGTAGACGGAAACACATTTGGATAAATTTCAGTGTGCATTGTCTAGTGATGTTGATTCTCTACGTGCATCACAACAACATGTAAAAAAAAGACTACTTTGTATATTTTATACAAAGTTGTATAGGAATGTCAAGAAACCGTAAACCGTCCTCAATTACTACAGCTCCCTCATAATTCTGTGAGGTTGTGATATGCAAAAGCTATTGTAATTTCACCTGTTTTGACCTAAGAATTTTGTAAAACCTATACGAATCCTCCACATCCATGAAGATTTGACGTATTCATAGCAATAACTCATGGAGACAATAATATGCAATTTTACACCTTAAATAGTACAATTTTACACCTTAAGTTGTATTTAGTACAATTAAAAAGAAAGTAATCGAAGGCAGCACATACTGTCTCAATCACAAGTCTCGTGATAGATGTGTAAATTTATGTTTTGAAGCTCTGAAATTAGTCTTTAAAAGTCTTCAAAAATGTTGAATAGTGAATCATAGCAAACTACTGTATTCTATTCGAAATGAATATCATATCTATTGCAGGCTGTTGGATCTAGTACGGTGACTTCATTTTTTGTAGTGTCTCAGTCATGGTAATGAAGAGATATGAAAACTTCAAAAGACATCATGATTTATTACATAAAGTTAGATAAAGTCCATCCCACAACTTGTAACATTCTAATAAATGCATACTTCAAAGATATGTTATTATGAAGTTAATACCTTTATTTTATCCGTTAACCTGATAATTATCCAATAAGAAAAAGAAATACGCTTTCCCTTTACTTTATTTTACTTGTTAACTCGATAATTACACCAATAATAATAAATATGGTTATTTCAAAAAAATTCAATTCAAATTCGTCTCAAATAACATTTTTTTTAATTGGTTGTTGAGCATGTTCACGATGCTATCATCAAATACTTTCTCATATCAATTTTCTTGTTCATTCTCCAACTGATTGACGACATCTTCAATCTCTTCTGTGAGATTTTCTTTATTAGTGGACCCAATTGCCGTAGCTATTGTTGCTCAGTTTGCCGACACTTTGAGTATCTTTGCATCCATCCATGAGCACAAGCACATGGTCATGATGAACACCGATGACAACAAAAACTTTGAAGAATTGGTAAACTTGCGACCAGCAATGCTGTTGACACGTTTTGATAGTGTCAACGTTGCCGACATTCCAAGATAATTCATGGCCATCTAATAATCGGCAAGCATGATTTTCATGCGAGCTGACCACCAAAACAAGATGTAGATAAAACTCTTACATTGAACAACGCCGATTGATGAAAAAAATTGATCTACTCCATCGAACATGCTATTATCGCTCTCTAATTGGAACATGACCTGAAAAAGTGTATTGATCGGCTCTTTGGGCTCAATTGTCAAATTGAGAGACTGCAATTTAATCAAAAAGTTGTCTTGAAGAGTGGATCAAATGCAATTTTTCAACTTTTTTAGCTGCACAGTATCAGATGCTATTGCTATTTTGTGGATTGAGGTTGATTGCAACTATGGCGGTTTATAGCACTACCACTTTTTTGTATTTTACAATCTTTTTCCGCATTTTGGTTACTGTAATGTCGGTATTGATCGCGAACAGCTGTAACTCATTCTTTTCGTAATGCTTCACAAGATGAGCAATTTATAGCGACAACAGTTCAAGCGTGGTATTGTGATATGCAACAAAGTTTTGCATGGTCTAACGCGATGCGCTTAAAAAGGTAATCACATAGTTCTCCATTGATCATCCAAAGAGGAGTTTGATCGATGTCATTTGCAAATTGCTCCATGATACTGTCAATGACAACACGTTCATCAAAAGCGTCAACCTCCATCTGATGCGTGGAAATCCAACGCGTTGGAAAATCTTGATGTGTAGGCTCCTTGCTGCTGAGGTTGACAATCGTTGTCTTCAAGCAATACTGCAGCCGCATCACCTTGTTACGACAAATTTTTACGAGCGCATCGCGCAATGCCTTCATTTAATTTTTTGTGAAACCAAGTACTTTGACAATAACACGTTGAATCCAAAGATCAACACAATGCACATGATTAAAATTGAACATCTGCCAACTCATGCATTAATCAATTGAAAAAGATGTTTTACTGCAGCAACATCATTAGAACCATTGTGACGGATCACGTTCAACAATCATGTAAGTAGGCCGGTTCTCATATCCTTTAGGTGTTTGAAAAAAATAGTTTCAATGCGTTGACAAACGCCGGTGCCGAAATCTACATCTAGATTCATGAGTAAAATACTATTTAATGACAACGTTTCAATGTCAACACAGTGCGCGATAACACATGGAAACCCTTGATTCTTTGATTTGACCAGACATCCAATGTTAGAGAAAATGCAAGAAGTATACTTTAAACCTCGAATTAGCTGGTGAACGTGTAATGCAACAGCTAGACCACACAACATCCAAAGATATGATAGAGCTATGTAATTTGCCTTGAAATTGTTCGCATTGACGGTGTCTCATATCCATTCGTGAGCAAGGAAATCATCATCATGAATCGCTCATGGCCGAAAGCACACAAGGTCATAGTACCGCCGATGAAAACAACATTTTCATACGTACGTAGCTCAGGTTCTGAGAACATGAATTTGCCAATTGTGGATTGCGTCAAACATTTGGCAAACGGTTTGAAGCGAGATGCTTCGTTAACTTTCACTCCGCGTGGCAATTTTAAAAGGTACTTCCAGCTTGACACACTGATCTTTTGGGAATACATTTTTTGCACAACATACATTTGCGTTTCATCTGTTATTTTTGAGGCATCGCCGGATTGCCAATCCTGGACATACATCCAAGGGAAGTTATAGTCAAAACTATGACACTAAGATTAGAATCAACAAATTGTGTCATCTTCTCCCATACTAAACATCTCCAAGAGGATGAAATGGAAGCAGAGAGGAGGCAAGGAGAGATGTCAGCATGGTTGTTTATGCTTCGTGGAGAGACGTTTGAAGATCTCACAACAAGTCGAACTCAGATAATTTTTTTCCATTGCAAAGGCTTTTGTCGCAAAGTATGTTGGGCCATAAGCGTTGGAAAGATGAGCGATGAACGAAATGTGTGTACATTTCCAAGGCGAATGCGACTTTGTGATCATGGAGTACAGGTCATCATTCGAACTCCGAACATTTCGAGAAGAAACTAGTACTCACAAAAGCATCAAGTTTGGGAAATAACACATTGCTTGTACTATGGCGGCAAATCAGTATGCTCACCGGGCGGCAAAATAAACCAAATTAACGGCAAGTTAACAAACACCGCGCAAGAATGCAATTCACAAAGCCGCCAATTTAACGGGGAATTATTTGGGTAAGGGGTAGGTAAACCGGTATTACCTTTACTCTATTCTCCACCTTAACCATTGGTTACTTTCACATTTTACATGTGACTTTTACCTTTTACCCTTGAGTAAAAGGTATTTTACTTTACCTTGCAATTACTATACAAGAAGAATCGACATGATCCAATGGCAAGAGATGTAACTGTAAAAAATGACGAAGCCTCCTCAATATGATTATAATGCACTATCATGGGAGTTGGAGTTGTCAATGCCTTTTTATACATGTTTGCTTTATCTAAACTCTTAAGGGGACATAGTTTTATAGGGTATATGTGCCTCGGTATACTTTGGATCTTAAGTCAACGAGAAGAGATGACCATTCCCCTGGTAGGAGTCTCACAGAGTGAACAAACACCTACTGTTGTGGGAAGTGAACTCCTCAAGCGTAATACGGCTCTTCTGGTGCAGGTTTGACGAAGATGCCTATACCAGGAATCTTCTACATCGAAACACTACATATCCTTGTTGCAAGTGACCTCCTCTAGCGTGTCGAAGCAGGGCACAAACGGGGATGAGAAGGGATTGGGAACTATGCTGAGTCATTCATAAGATCTCTAGCTTTGTCTCCCACTGATTCCATTATGCATCCAAGTAGAGACTTGAATTCATAGTGTGCCTGATCACACAACAATCTGCGCAACCAGTTCACCGCTTCATTCGGCCTATAATTTCTTCCAGGCCATTAATTCATCGCCTTCTCTGGTGTTTGACTCTTATATGTGGAGTATATGTCGTTGTTTGCAGATCCTCCAGCACTTGCAGTGAAAGATTCTGCAATTTCTGGAGTGTCTGCAAATTGCATCTGTTCCATGATACAGCAACCACAAGTCATATGACTGGTGTCTAACGAGAACAAAGGCTCGGCTCAGAAATTATTCGACTTTTGAATGTTTTAAAACGCTTTAATACAGACGAGAAAAGGGCCGTCTCAACGTATCAACAACGCCATTCCTCACCCAGAATACGAATTTATTCAAGTCCTCTATATTTTGTTTGTCACTATCATCTCTGACGAGCGGTGGGTAGAAAAGCCATACGCTCGTCACAGACAGAAAGCTCAAAGTGATGACTCTTCTGACAAGTTCCGGTGGGTTTGAGAACTTGTGTTTGCACCACCCTTCGAAGACAGTAGCAACTCCATTGAGAATGAAAAACATGCTAATTTCAAAAGTTGGGTCTCTCGCACTCATGTAGAAGAGAATAATTTCGTGCATGATGCCAGAGACCGTGAATGCAGCGAGAGTGGCAATGGCTCTCTCCTTCTGTGAGGACCTCTTTCCCGACAGTCCTCCACCGAATCCCAAAAGAATGGGGTTGTAGATCGAAACCCTCAACAGATTGTTCACGAGCAAGTTCCATCTTCTGCCCCAAAAATCAGCCAGTGAAGTGGCCAGGAAAGGCATATTGAATTGGGCAGGCAGCTGCACGCCAAAAACCGAGGCAGCCACCACAGCAGGAAGCTCGAAAGCAAAGAGGACCCCGAAATACAGAAGCACGGTGTAACTCGAGTACAGAATATGCTTGGGGATCTGCGCTTGCCCCGAGTAAATCTGGAGCCAGAATCCTATCGTCACAAAATAGAATAAACACCGAAGCAGCACCAGCCTCCAGTCCCGAGAATTCACCAAATCATGCAGCCAAATCGGCATTCTCTCCTTCGCCTTCGATACATCACCTCCGCCGTTCCTCCTTCGCTCGTCGATCTCCTCCTCCCCACTCCCGTTCCCCCGAGCTCCAGATTTTCTCGAGACAAGACCATTCCTGTACCCACCTTTGGCCTGCGAGCTCGCCTGACTGCTACGACGGATTTCGCCATCGTCCTCAGCAGAGTTTTTGATGATGCTGGCATGCGATGGCGATGCGGATGCAGCATTCGAGTGCACGTGCAGGGAGAAGCTCATGCCAGTGAGGAAGCGAGGGAACGAGGACATGGTCCAGGGGTCGAGGGCTGGCCCCATGCCGTAGGCCAGCAGGACGAGCTTGAAGGCGCCCAGCCACAGGAAGAAGAAGCTCTGGACGGCGCGCTCAAGTTGAGTCGGCGCCCTCCACGGAACCACGACGTAGAATGGGAGCAGCGGCATCAGAGCCAGCAGCCGGGGCCACCCTTTGGGTAATCTCAGCACCACGTAATAGACGTGCGCCATGCCCCCGAGCACTAGCCATACGAACTCAAACCGCCCTGTCAATCCCACCATCATCTCCCCTGCAGGAAGCGAGCGAGTGAGATTCGAGTTTCTGCCCTTCACACAAACGCCTCGATGTTCAAGAGGCGACGCTTGCCTACAATTCGATCATTCGTCTTTTCTCTTCGATCAGTCACCGGATCCCAACTCGGGTCTACGTTTCTGCTGCACGCAGCGCCATTACTCACGCGATAGTGATCATAGTCAATTCATATCCAGCACAGCAGATGGATGTTCCCAACCGATCTAGCTTTGCACTCGGAAGCAATGAATCGTTCTCTCGTCGTGACTACGGATCCTGAATTCGATCGAGGTGCCTGGATTCTGAAATCGATCCACTACTCCTTAGAGAGATTTGACACAATCTCCCGCTGCGTTCCCGCTGCGGACTAGGATGAGATGAGACGTGCAGCCTCGGCCGCCCAGCTCGTCATTCGTCCTTGACCTGCACTGACGTTGTTCCGACTCATGTCCAGACTTCATTGCCGCTCTACACCATTTCCCTTCACGCGTGCCACTGCCTTTTCTCTTTCGTATCCATTTTACGCCACGGAATGCCCCGATATAGAGTGCAAATTTTAGCTACGCAGTTGCAATCTCGGATGGAATTAAATTTATCCACATTGACGTATTCTCTGTTGTAAGTAAAAGATTGAGATATTGTGATTTCGGATGAAACATTAAGGAGATTTGCGGAATTATTGTAGGTCGTTGTCACGCTCATTTTCCAGTGCTGTCGGCATGGTATTCTGAGTTGTAACATCAAACGCAGATCGTAAGGAGAATGGAATTTCGAGTGGTAATATTTTAATGCCAATCCTAAGGAGTCGGCTGAAATGATTTTTGGCATCAATTCCAGCAGCCAGCGATGTACAGCGTGTCAACGACAGTGCGACCACTCTTTGACTGTAACAGGTTGACCGCCCATCCCGGACTGCGACTGCGACGTCGTGTCGCATTCTGGACATGTTCATTCCTGATCGTCGCTTAATCCGGCCCTTTCAAACCATGGTTAGAGCCAGGTTTCCTGAAACGATCTCTTAGGGGTTGAGTAAGGCTTGATCGAATAGCAAAGCAGTAAAATGTAATGATAGCAATCGAGGGTAAAAGAGATCTCGTCTACCAAAGTTGTCTCATCTGTATATCATGTTTGTCTGGTCAGCGGCTCCAGCGGAAAGAAGAAGAGACAAATTGATTGCCCAGATTGAGGCCGATGTCCAATGGACATCACCCGATACGGGTTTGTCCAGATCTTTGGTCGAAAGGGAAGTAGTAAATCCCACACGAGGTTCTAGTTCTCTGTATCCAGTACTGTACTGCTTTGTGTTCTCCTCCATGCATACAGTACATGCAGATAGGCCACAGCACGACAGGTTACCGAGTGCGTCAGTTTATTATTATAATATTAATAGATTCGAACCCAACGAATGTCCACACATGAATGACAATGTTGGAAATCAAAGGAATAGAGGCAATTGCAATAGTGAGTGGTGAAATATATGTTACTTTGCTAGGTCAAATACTTCTAGTACATTAGTCAACTAAACTATAAGACATATGAATGATTGAAGTTTTATGTTTAGTGTTCAATGATAATCATATGAATTTGAAGAGTAATAAGTTATAATTGAATCAAAACGCATTCTTGATATGTTTAACATGACGGACTCTAAAGTATTATGGAACATACTTCAAATTTTCTAGAATCAATATCTAAACATGGCATTGAAAGGTAAACATGTCAAGAGTTTCCAATGACAAATTTGTAAAGTAATTCATGTATTTGACAATGTGCACAAAATCTGATATTACTCCAACCGTGAGCAAAGTGAGCAGGTTAAAATTTATCAAATCATATTTGTCAAATTTATAACCGTTCAAGTGGATGCATTAATTGGAAATCTATTTTGCAGAATTGAATAATTCATTCCACGACGGAGGTTGAATATATAACGACAAAAGAAGCTATTCAGTTGATTAGGTTTACCACAGATATAAAAAGCTCAGGAATGTTATAATAATAAAGGATCAATTAGATCTTTTGATACAATTGTACTCAGAATCATGGATTGAAAGAATATATCGTCAATCTAACAGTGTGATAGTTAAAGAATGTTAAATCTTGTTGCAAATCAAGTGTCGATCACGACTATGAAACATATCTACATCAGATATCACTATGTCAGAGATGTTGCGTCAGATAAAAAAGTAAACAAGTCAAGATTATAGTAAATTCAACCCATTTGATACGCTACTAAAAGTTAATACTTTGAAAGATTTTGGTAGAAATTGTACTACTATGCAATTTTTGCATAAGAAGCCCAAGTAATTTTTACTTGTATGTTTTGACTACAATTTAGTTCTAGTTAGATCTAATTAGTTTTTCTATTAAAAATTTCAACAAAATAATTATATAAGTTATAGAGATTAATGTTCCCACAACATGAATTAAGTGTTTAGAGTGTTGATATTAACTCAAGTTAATATCAACACTCTAAACACTTAAACTCAAGTTAATCTACCTCAAATTAAAATTTCAAATTGAATTTTTCTGGTAATGATTAGATCTATAATTTCTTATACCATATATATGTAAGTAATCAAGACATAATATAACTTGAACAATTTTTAGATTTTTTTTTTTTAAAACATCATTGTTTTTTTACGTGGCATGAGGATGGCAAATTTTATATTGTCTTGTTAGGGTCATTTTCTTTTTGTACTGTTTATGTGAATTTTTGTGTTTCTTGTTACATTCATTGTGATTCCAAATCATCTATTACAACTTTATTAACAAAATATATAAATATAAATTGTATCACAAGATACTTTGTAGATTTGTGTACACTATAATTATCAAATATTCCAATCCATGAATTCAATTTATAGATTGGAAATTTTTTGAATTTTAAAATTCCAATTAAGTTGAAAAGAATAATTTTGATAGCAAAAAGTATGATGATTATTTTCTGTCAACGTCTATTATTATTCAGGTTATCATTTTATATTTGAAGCTCATTCAATAAAAACTTGTTATACTTGATTTCAAAAAATTTGTATAATAATTTTGGTAAAAAATCAAATTTGCTCTTAGTCTTCAATTTCATTCTTTCATTTAGAATAAAAAAAAGTCAATTATTTCAATAAATGAATTCTTCAAGCTCATCTTTTAACCGTATGATGTTGTCTTTTAAAAGCTATTCTTAAATGCTCAAATCATTCACAAGTTAATATGTAAATCGCGTATAGCTTGAATACACTTTGTGACATATAAAACACACTTCTGGTTAAGTTATATGTTGCATGAAATTTTATTTCAATTGATGTATTATTCCTATTCAAAAATCAACACAAGAAATACATCATATGCGGAGTAAACTTGAATTAGGTACTTTATCAAAATTGTGATGGTGATGGATCCATCCATGATTTTTGTATAATCTCATCACATACACAATTCATCGTGATTATAACTTCAAGATTTAGTTTGAATACTTCCACTAAATTTCTCAAGTCTCTAGATAGAATTACTCTACTCCATGTTTGATGTTAATTGTATTGGACAATTGTTGGCAAAAAATAAGAAGTACTATGTCACAACTTAGAGTAAGTTGTACCATCCAAGAACTTTATCCAAGTGTAAATCAGGCTGCTGAACTAAGATGTGATGCTACAAGTGTCGAATGAAGAAGAAAATATCTGTAGTGTAGTAGTTGATTTGAAAACTAAACCCTAGATAATTTTGAGCAAATTTGCTCAATGATGTTGGTAGGAAATGCCTTGGATCATTGGTAAGTGTTCTTTTTCTTTGACTATGTGTTAGAATCCTCACCCTCAAAGTTAACGATTCCTGCACATCATATGCACGATGGTTTTCAAAACATGTTGACGTGATAACAAATGGATTGATCAACCTTGTTGTATAAGAAGCTGCTCATTTTTTTATGTGCTTGAAGTCTTCAATTATACAAATCCATGAATCTAGAATAAAGTTTCTTTAATTTCTCAAGTGCCACAACCTGCAACAATAAGGTTCAGCATGCATTTGCTCATAAAAGTTTTTGTGGATTTAAAACCGATGAAACTAAAAAAGTGCAGGAAGTAGACATCCGTGCAATCACTCGAGAGCATTCAAAATTCACATCGCTCCAACATACGAGCTGTAGCTTTAGCCACTAATTGACCGAGTCATTCTAAAAGGATTGAGTGCAATATTGCCGTGACGAAGTATACTAACCTAAGTTGCCCTATCGAAAGTACTTGCTATAAAATCGATAATCGAGTCTGTACTGACAATAAAAATTGCAACTACAAAGATAGAACTAGTGCTACCATAGCCCATTGAATAATCTACCAACTTCTGGAATCGTAAAAGCATAGCATATATCACTATGAGATGCCGGCATGCTGCATAGTCATGATATTAGTGCATGATTTGGCAAAGTGGTCCACTCTGCCTCTTTGTTAAAAAAGAAAATTGAAGCACAGACAAAGATATAAGTGGAGGATTGATGTGATACATATGTATGTACTCTTTCTGTAGCAAAACCGTAAACGCTGGTCCATCTAATAACACATGTCGAGGCAATGTGGTGTCAAATTCGCAAAATACTGGATTGTGATTACTGTTGTTCTGCCGAAAGAAACACTGCAAATAATTTGGAGCCGACTCGCTAAGACGACTGCATAAAAACATGAGGCTCCTCATAAGACTTGGTATAGATTGTTGTAATCTTGCTCTCTGGCTTCGTTATGCTTGTGTGATTATTCGCATAAGCTAAGCAATACAGGATTTATTACATGTTGATCTTACAAATTCAGAAGGTTTACAGTTGAGAAGAGGGAAGAATATGCAACTTAAGATCAGACAGTGTCACTTTGCGTCTGATCACTCAGAAAGTGATCATACCACATCTTTGCTGTCAGCTGAGACTGGATTAAATATATGAACATAAACCATGTACCCGTGTACACTCGAATGAACTCTTTGGAAGGGCAAGAGCTCATGCAATCACCTGTTTCTGCTGGGACATTGTTCCCGGCTACAAGCTTGCCTCTTGGGCAGGCTTTTAGATGAGGAGGAAGAGACAAGAAATAACTCGAGCCTTCGAAATTTGGACAGAAATGCATAAGCTCTGATACCATTTTCCCCCGAACGAAATAATCCATATTTCATCCAGGAGCAGGAAAGTATAGAGAACGAGCCACATCCGAATATTGACATGCATTCTGTAGAGGAGCATCGAACGAACGTTCCTGTCACAATTACAAACAGCAATTCGGAAGGGAGAGAAAAGCAAGTGACGGAAATTTTGGTTTTGGTTTGCTTCAAACTTCCGAATTGCTCCTCACCTTGAAGCTGAGGAGCAAAGGACTGAACCTCCCGAAAGGACTCAGATTGAATGTGCGTTGGATAAAGCGGAATTAGAGTTGAACTCAGTTGAATTGCAAGAGCTTCATTCCAGCATATGTCCGAAACAGAACCCAGTTTGTTGTGAATGAGTTTGCTGGGAATCATCCCATGGCTCCGTTTTGAATAAGTCTCAGAGAATAGGACGTAGCCTCGGCAGCAGTGCGGTGGCCAGTTGTTCTCGATTATCTGAATATAGTGGAGGAAATTGGCTTCTCGTGCATCATGCATCTGGTCTTGCGGTGTTGTACAAAGCAACCTCGGCCAGCGTTCGTCGACCGTAAATCATTCCGGATCATTGACACAGCGCCTTGTTTCGTAACAACTGGGTACAGAATCAATAGCTGGAAAAGGCTTTGGACCAGCTCCATTACTGCAACTGTTGCAAAATCTACTGTTTCTGGAGGAGGCAGAACCGTCATGGAAGAAGATGCGGAAATTGATGCGAAGAGCAGCAGCAAGTTCCCACTGCCACAGGTGTTTCTACAATTTCTGCAACAAAATGGAATCGACCCTGCTGTATATGATGATGCCCATAATCTGCCTCGATACATCAGGTACCATGTCCATCTTCTTGTGCACCAAAATCAGTCGAATTGATTTATTCCTAGAGAAGAGAATCAAGTACTTTTTCATATGAGAAAGTTGAAATCCAGATGTCACGGTGTTGACGGGACTGCAATATAAGAGAAGACTTCTCTCCTGCTAAAACCTACCAAAACCCTACCTTCTAAAATCTAAAATCTGAGTAGAACTCCCCGTGCTCATGTTCACACTAAGCACAATTGTGCAGAACGATCTTCTGCCAGAACTTTGCATTGCAATGTCGGTGGTCTACATATTGCTCTTGCGCTCCCATCGTTCTTTCGAATCTAATCCCCAGTGCAGCTTTTTCCTTTTCCTCCGAGCTGAAGTTACCGACGTTCCTGCTTGCTTCACCACCGCCAGAGCTTGGTTGGCAGAAGCAACCACTTCCCCAACAGCGCCTTGGATGGGGTCATCTTTGCACTCTTTCTCGACGCGCAAATTGTCCTTCGGTTCTGCAATTGTAGCCGAGGTGGTTGGATCTCTGGATGGCGAAAAGCGGTGACTGGGAATGTCTACTCGCACCCGTGGCTGCGAATGGCCACATCCCTGAGCTGTCGCTGAAGCTAGAGTGCTGGCTTGCTGTTCTTCGCTCGCTGACTCGCCCCCCGCCGGCGGTCCCTTTTTCGCCTTCTTCTTGCTCCTCGTCTTGCCGCCGGGCGCACTCTGAGCCTTCTTCTGAATCTGTAGGCGTCTCCGCTGCAAGTCTTGCAGCCTCTGCAGCTGCTCTGAGGTCAGGACCTTGCTCCCGCTCGACTCCCTCGGATCGTCGTCTTCCATCCCCCGAGAAGAAACTTCGTGCGCTATTGCTGGAGATAGAGAGCGCGAGTTGGAATCTCAGGCCTCCAGCGAATCAGTGCGTTGCTCTAAGCCTGACTGAGAAACCAATGGCTAGAACCAAAATGCGAGAAGCAACACGACACTTAACCTCGATCGAAGGCGATGGGTTTCTTCTCCTCTTGGCGAGAACAGACCAGAGGAGTCGTCCAACAATCTAAGTCTACCTCCTGTCCTTCCTTATCAGCAACCTGTCCTATCCTGTTCGTTTTTCGCGTGTATCATCGTACTTGTAATATGTAAACTGAGTGGTCTTGACAGTAGCATGCGCCATCCCATGGCATGTGACGCGGCCCTTTATTCGCAGTGCCGACGGGCGAATCTGGATTTCAGAAGGTCGTGATGAGATCTTTCTCGTCATCTATAGAGGGTTTGAAATCCAGGGTGACGGTGAAGTTCTCTGACGCATGTCCGCACTCAGACTCGGGGGATTCTGTATACAGGCCTAAGTTTGCATTAAGACGTGGTGGTTCGATTACCAAATCAATGCTTGCAAAAATGAACTCGATGCAGAATCTAGTTCTGCATCAAGTCGACGATGAAGAACGGATCTTGCCTTTAACCGAATGACCGTCTCAACTGTTTTTGTTTACAGGTTGAAACCCCAAGCTGGAGTAGAAGAAATAGAAGAAATCGAAAAGGATTTGGGTGTTAATCTGTCAGCATTGTCATGGCTGCCAGGCTTTTACAGTATACCTCCGGAGGTGCAAATTGCTGGGTCCAAGTCGTATCAGGAGGGAAAGGTCGTTATTTATCGAACTCTGAGCTCGTCTGGAATCTATTCACCTGTTGGAATGTCTGCCTGGGACATGACAAGTAGCAGAATCATGAGCTACTCGGGTCATAGGAACTGTATGAGCTGCTCTATTTCAGTTGAAAAAATGTTGCAATTTAGGCCATGTTTTGGCAGTCCTATAGATGCCCGCTCTTCGTCGAAGCAATCATACAGTACCCTGTTATCACCTTGAAATGACGGCTATGAAGATGATATTATCTCCTTTCCCGTATTGTTTGCACGAATGTAATTCCCCTTGAGCAAAGTGGGTCGAGTGGTTTCCTGATTCTTTTGCATGGTACCATAACTATGACGTGCAGATATATGGCATGGATGCCGCTTCTGGAGCAGCAGTAGCTGCCCTAGAAATATCACCAGGAGATCATGTCCTTGACCTCTGTGCTGCACCTGGTCTGTCTACAAACCTTCCTCGTGAGACTGAGCAATTGCAAGCCTGCTAGTTAACTTTTGTAACTTGTCTTTGAAGTATATCTCTTCGTCTTAGAATAGCCTCGCTCTCACATAGGCTTAAGAAATAGTGTTGGACTCATAAGCTCTTTTCATGAGTGGATTTAGTTAGAGTCTGTACCCACAGAGGACTAGCCAAATATTTCCATAGCGAAATCTGGGCGTCTCTGAAATAGAAATTTTCTACCTCTTATAAAACATCTATCAATTGGTTTTTGTTTGTGTGTTACCAGGTGCAAAGCTGTGCATGCTCGCTGACCTTCTGAAAGACTCTGGCAGCTTAACAGCTACAGATATCTCTGCACACCGACTGGCAGCATCTCGCACAATGCTGATAAAGTATGATCTTGGTAATCGGTGCCGACTTTTCCTGGCTGACGGGACAACATTTTCTCTTCTTCCTTTGAGAGGAGGAGTCGATGGGAATGCTACCAAAGTGGAAGAGGAAAAGCCTGCTCTTGATAATCCTGATGAGATAACCAAACGTCGTTACGATCCTACAGGTACAGACATGCTGGAGCCGAATTATACCCTTCCCAGCCTCCCCGATTGTTGTTGCATGTTGCTTATTAGTACAGAAGCTTGGCAGTTTTAAGCAACAACTACGAACTCTATCAAACAGTTTAGGCGTCAGCATCCATTGAGGAGAAATCTTGCTGTAGGATCTTTCCTTGGACCTTAGAAGAATGGGAAGTTGTTTACTAGGACGAAATTATGAGCATGTCCATCAGTCTAAGACACTCTCTGAATAAATAATTTTAGGCGGATCAAATCTTTGTAGCGGCCCTGAGTGTGCTATTTATTCCTGCTGTAGGTACTCTGTACGTTGATTCCACAGTTTATGGGGAATGGAAAGGTACAAAGACAGCGAAAGAGAAGAAGGCGGCCAAAAGGTTGAAGTATATGGAAGATGCACTGGATAGGGTTGGTGGCAGAGAATCGGAACTAATTTTCTACGGCAAGGCTTCTGGAATTGTCGGCATGAAAGTGGCTGATGTCTTCCGAAGCCACTCGCTTTTGGAGGATGAAGTTTCGCACAATGGATATGACAAGGTAACCTATTTGAAGTTGATGGACCATTCGTTACAGTAATTGTAAATCCAAGAAATTCAATCGTGTGAGAGACTACAACACCCAGCTGGCGGGTAGTGACTTCTTGAGGCTCGTTCTGAACATGACTGTCACTTACAGGTTTTGGTTGATGCTGAATGCACTCACGATGGATCGTTGAAGCACATCAGCAAGTACGAACAATGGGGTTGGGATACATTTGAACGCCGCTTTTTCAATGCCGGACGAATGTCTTCAATCACTTCCCTTCAAGTAAATGAGCAACAACTTGTCCTCTAGAAACTCGTGTGTGTAGAACAGACGTGAAGATCATAGAGCCACGGTATATGGGTATGACTGGCAATCACTAATGAGCACAAGTTGTAGATCAAATTGCATGTGTCTTTTTTGTAACAGGGTTGTAACCAGCCCTTTCTCTTAGTACGGTACATCCAACGTAGAAACACGCTAGACTTTGATGTATCCAGCAATATCTAGGTTCCTATAGTTCATTCAGTGACAATAATGCAAGGTTCCTATAGTTCATTCAGTGACATCGGTGTTGAAATTGATTCTTGGAAGGATTTCTGCTGTAAGTAGAACTTAGTTTTGTAACTAATCATTGCTTATCCACTTTCTCTTGAATGGATATAAATTTGTTAGCGGGTGAGTATGTTTTTAGCAAGGGCGAAGGATAGTCTTGTTGCAAGTATTTCCTTGCTTCTCGCTGATTTTCGGCGATGGTCCCGACTTCCGACTCGAAGTCATATTGTCTTGTGATCATCGGGTGAAAGATATGACTCTTGCGAACATGGCCTTGGTTTTGCTGAATTCCCATTTATGGTCCTAAACTCGAAGGTCCTCTTGAGCAGTTGCAGTTGCTGCGAAATGGTTTCAGTCTATTGAGACCCGGAGGAAAGATTGTGTACAGTACTTGCAGGTTCTATATCTCATCCTGTGCTTTGTACAATTTCAACTTCCTACGCTTTTCAATCAAACTAATGTTTAGTCCATCTACCAGATTCCTCTCATTTCAACAGTGCTAATACATGTGGATAGACAATTACCAATTTGCTTCCATCTGTCTTTGCTACAGTCTGACAAAAGCACAAAATGAAGACGTCGTGCAAAAGTTCCTCGACCTTGAGCCTTCTGCTGGTAAATTCTTATGACCACATTCATGTTATGCTTCATGTTTGTTTCCATTTCTCATCTCTACACAGACATGGGTTCTTGCTCTATGTTAGCTGGCAATTAACCGTGAAATCTTTCACTTTCACCGAGATCGAGTCTTTTTCTGGGTGTCAACATCCTGTGTCATTGGTGAAGAAATGTCATTTTCCGCGAAGTGATGAAACATGGAGAATACTGACGGGTTTTGCTCGACCTGCTGAACAGAACTGCGGGTTATAAAAGGTTCGGAGAACTGGCCCTGCAAAAATGGAGGACTTCCACACACATTGAGGTTCAATCCAAGCAGCTCAAAAACAAGTGGCCTTTTCATTGCGCAGATACACAAGCACGATCGGCTTAGATTTGAGTAAGGCCTGATTGAGACCTTCACACGGAACCTTTCACTACTGTAAAGACGTGCAACCGATTTTCTAAGGGATTGCGATTGGAAGAATCATACTTTGTCTGAGCTATAAGCGAAGATGACAAAGCTTACAAGTGTACACCATCCACTAGAATTCAAGTGGTGTTCTCACTGCAAAATTGCACAAGGTGAGGTCTTCCCAGCATTTTCTCTGCACTTATTTACAACGTAAATTGTCTCTGCAATTTTCGAAGTGTCAATATGGCCTGTTATGTATTATAAAAAAAGTGCTTCGGTTCAAGAGGCATTAGTCTCACATGTTAGCTAAATTCTTGTATCCAAGTGTCTTGAGACAGTATTTGGGAACGACCTATCTATCAGTAGTTTGCGCAATTACGTACGGAAATATGTTACTGATCATAAAATCCTTCCTTTGGTCGGATTTAGATTTTCCATCATAGCAGAAACTTGGCAAATGCACAAACGAGGATGGTTTTTTGAAGAAATACGAGGAAGATATGAAAAGTAACGTTAATGCTTAATAAACGAAGATTCAGTTGTCAACAGCATACATAGCACATCAACCAAAGAATCGTGGAAGAATCTCTATTGACTAGGACTCCTGCCCACCACCCAAATATTGTAGAGACATGACGCTCTGGTTCAAGTTAAATATTCCACTTGATAGATAGTTCACGACACTCCAAAAGGTGAAGATTTGTGCTGTAAGGCGATTTACAGTTTACTAATCAGTATACTGTAATCGAAGTGGTTACGGATCACTGAGTTCTACGTCACGTGGAGTTGGCAAACCTTGTATACAGGTTTGCCAACTCCATATTACACTATGTTACCGTTAGTATATCTCGTCACCTAAATTTCGCAACCTGATTTCAAACACAAAGAACAATCTAGTTTAGAAACTGGAGTGTTGTTTTCTGTGTTCTGTTTAAAACCAGGTTGCGAAATGTATGAACACTATGTGCCTATCGTCAATAAGGCACATATTGAAGAGTCAAGGCACCCTTACAAATTGTGGACCTCGTTCTCACAAACTGGTGGAGTTCTCACAAACTCCACCATTTCATATTCTCTCTAAAAGACCTGCGCATAGTCTTCGGAGTTTGTATTAATCATATATTGGAAATTGTATGTTCCAGCATTTGCTCCCAGGATTTCTTCTCAGATTTACCTAGTGTTTCGACTTAATAAGGCCAACCCATTTTTTTGCTTTCTCATTTATTTGTAAGTATAAAATTTGCACAATTCTTTTCGCTGTTGAAGCTTCTTTTTAGCACATTAGCTGTAAATAAGCATCTAACTCTTCATAGTGCGCATCAAAGCAATTTGTGAACTACCATCCGAACTTTATTCGCATGTATAAAGACGATTACTTCCGTTCTATACATAGAATCATTTGGGTATGCCCGTCATGGCGCAACGCCATTTCACTACTACTAAGTCCATTTCACCCTGACCCCCTCATCAAACTGATTGACCATGCTCTTCAGAGCTTCTCTTCATCAAGAAGACAAAGCATAATACTGTCCTTTATCCAATTATCACTTTTTTCATTTTGTGGTGTTAAGAAAGTTTTGTGGGACATCACGAAACTAAAGAAATTGTCCGACACAACAAAGGGCGGGAGCCGCAAGGAAACAGTGCGAAAAAGACATTACATCACATACACGTTGTGAAAAAGTAACTATGGGTACATGTGTTCGACTTATCAATTGCAGAAATGTGAGATTTGAGTCCAAAAATTGTTTGAAATATCTTCCGCGGTGACGTTCCTGATAGTGAAGAGGTGTCTTGGCAATTAAAACGATTTCGAAGGCGGAGTATACAAAGGAGTACATAGAACGATGCACCAATCTATGACATATAAACAATAGAGAATTAACCATAAACTCCAAAAAAAAAGTATTTTAACAGCAAGCTGCCTTTTCCGTACGGAAGATTTTCTAACCGCACGAAAGTGTGGGTAGAAAGAAGAATCAACAGCAAGAAAAACGAAAAGAACCAGAAGAATCTGAAGCAATCAGGGAGATGAAACACAAAAACTAGTAGCAAGAAGTACCCTTATTGTAGACAAATAAAGACTTGATAGACTCTTCAGTTTGACAAAGAACTGCATCAGATGTCCCTCTGCCTGTAGGGTGGGTAAACGAGTTGTTCAGATAATGTGAACGGGGACAAATCTAACTTACGACTACAAAGAAACGCAAGCTTCGGACACAGAAGCTATACAACAAGACCACAACTTCATCGACGCCCATCATGATCTCGAAGTATCTGGAAAGGGCACCCAGTACGCCTTGTCACAAATTTCTGTTTTTACAAATCTTTAAATATTGACCAAATTGGATGCAAACCCATGACTCGGCTAAGAGAGGAAGAGCCATTCAATCATGAGCAAGATTGTACACAATGAGCTTACTCATAGTCCATCGACTGGAACCAAGAACTCATTCTCCATCAAACACTCTCATGCAGTAAGATTGCTTAGTTACTGCAAATTATCTGTTGTGAGGACATGAAAATGAGAAACAAACATGTTCCCCTTCCGTCTTCAGACAGACATCGATACGAAAAGCATAGAGAACATATATTGGGGTTAATTACTACATGCATCAGGGAAGTGAGCTATGGCCGGTCCTCTGCAGAGTGGAAGAAAGAAGATTGGAAAGGCAAGTTCATCGGAAAAAAATGACGACTCATTTGAACTTTCTAAAGGCTCTGCCGTTGTGTCCGCAATTTAATGCCATGATTACTGTTGAAATCTTCCTACTAAGTAAGAGCCAGATCGGAAAAATTGACGTCTTAAGCTCTCAGCGTAATCACCCTCCACAGCTGAAGTACTAAGAAGATGAAGAAGGAGCAACAGATGAGTGCTGGCTTCCAGCTGAACTCGTATGACAGGAAAACTCAGCGACTTTCGTGACTCAGTGAGACACCAGATTTCCTCCAACTTTGCTCTACAAATTCAAGCAAAGAGATAGAGGAAGACAGTTCTCGCTGCTGGATGACAGGTTTTTGAATGATACTCGAAATTACCACAATCATCTCTACTTCTACAATCCTATTGACATAGAATGAAAGACTATAATCAAGCTTATATTGCATGATAATGATGGGACTCTTCTGGGCAACAGATCTTACAAGCTGATCGATGAATGAACGAATGTAATAAGGAGACTTGACGAAGTCAGTATAGAAGGGCAGAATCCTGATACTATCATCCTTCTCACAATTGATCACAAGATTTCCAGCAGCTCGGCGTTGAGTGTCCTTCAGCATCCAGTTAGAAAGAGCGAGGACATGAGCCACAACTTGCCAATAAAACTTGGTCCGCTGGCCAGTTAATTTCAAGTAGACTTTGTCTTCGTATATACGGTGCCTTTTGAGGCTGACGGACTTCTTCAAGTAAGATTCTTGACATAGTTATCCAGATTTAAATTGAAGAGCTCGCATCTGTCAAGTGAAACAGCGTAATGTCATAATTAAACCTCGACTCATCCATTCAACAGTTAAAAAAACTATGAAAATTTTCATAGATCTAAATTCAAGAGTATATTTTGTAACGAACATCACTCTCATAACATTTTCACTGCTGTCTCAAGGAAGTACCACGATTGCATTTAAAAAGCTTGACAAATCCTGTGTCTACCAGACCGGTAGTCCGTAAACCTTTCTGATATATATGCTTTTATGCATAACTTACAGGAAGTCTCACATGATGAAACAGAAGAAAGTCGAAATGCCAACAAAATAACAGCTGTTCCTCAGGAACTCTCATATGGAACTTCGCATCCTGAGAACCATGATTGATAGTAGGCACAAAACAAAAGGAAGAAATGGAGAAAAACGCTTACTTGAATGGCATCTCCGGAGTGTACAACGGGTTTTTCACAACGTACTCGACGTAGATGTTGCTGTATATGTGTTTCAAGGCCTCACGAAGGTCACCCATCTTCTGATCTGTCACCAGAACAATCTGTGGAGATAATGCAAGAGAATTCCTATCAAATTCACTCCCCCTTCAAAAATATGTCCACGAAAGTACAATTAACCCGCCTCGGACGCCTAAATTCCGGACTGCAGTTGAAAGAGAATTAAAGAATGAGCCTGATACCTTCATTCCGGTTGGAGTCTCCATAAAACTAAGTTTATAAGTGTTTGTTCGGAAGCTGTGAAAAGAACAACCTTGTCCTTGCAGTTGAGCTGCTCCTAATTGTCCCTTGCTGCCACTTGATTCAAACCAAAACATGTCCAAAACTCAAGACGTCAAACGGGAAAGCATAGTCTTCTCTTCGCACATAGCCTGCTAGGCTAAATACGCAGTCAAAATTGTACTCGTACAAATCCAATTCTTTCAAACTAAAACAAACTCAACGAAAGAAACAGAGGACCAATTCCAAGCCTTTCTTCAGGCACGGAGACCCGAAGACCCAAGCATTCATTCCCCTGGCTTGACGTACCCTACTGGATCCATTTTCGCTGTGAAGGACTTGAGAGAAAACAGCAGACCGAACATGAGCTTCTGATCCTCCTGGCGACTAAGAGCATTAAGAGGTCGTAGCCAAACATGATAATGCACACAAACTCCTTGTCTGTTAAACATATACAGACATCGCATGCGCGTCGAGCTCCCTGGCCCTGCCCCCACCGCTTGTTGCATTGTGACCCGCCCTTACAGCCTCAGAAACCTGCAATTGGGTCCTACTCCAACTCTCAGCTCGACCTCCTTTTTGCACTGGCAATCTTTTCGTCGATCCGTCGATCAATCAATCGATCGAGGAGCGTTTCTCCACCCCGTTCTAATCGTCGTAAGCTACAGCTATTCGTCTGCAAATGCAAGCAGACGATGCTGCGAAGGTGAACTGCCTAGAGTCTGGTCGCATCTTTGGCTTGTCTAATGTTGCTGTGCTTTTCACGCCGCAATTTGTCCTCTTTTCTATCCTCTTAATCCTCTGAATGTCTTTGCGAAGGACCTACTAGCGAGATTTTGCAACATTGATTTGGCAAAGACTGATGGCATCTCCATCTGGAATCTTTTCTCCTCCATTATATGCAATGGAGGAGACAAGAGCTCGTCTCCATTTTCTCTTGCTGCTATTTTCTTTCTTTCATGGACTATCTGGCATGCAAAATAGTCCATGTTTCCTTTCTGCACCTCATTGTATGCTTTTAATATGCGGTTAAAAGGTGTGTTGATTGAACCCATGTTACTTACTTAAATTAGATCGATCAGTCCTTTGAGTTTCTACTTCTAATGCTTTGACGACTGAATAGACTAAAGGAGAGCTCCAATGGAAATACATATAGGTATTTTTTAAGAAAAAAATTTGAAGCTCTATAAATAACAAAGTTATCGATACTATCATTGTATGGCAATATACAATCAAAACACAAAGATCGGACTACTAGCCTTTAAATATAATTGCTCTTATAGATTGCACAACAGCTCTACATTGATAATAACTACTCTAAATGCTCAAACTTTCTCACACACACACATATAAATATATATGGGATAGTAAATGAGATCTTACAACCTCATGTTTTCAGATTGGAACAATTTTTCTTACTAGCTCTTCTATATCCACTGTCTGTATTCAAGCTTTCATTCTCGCATGAGCTCCATGTCACTCTATAGTATTTTCACGATCCATAATACTTGTTAATTTGTATTAAATCTATCGCTTGTTAGCAATTTATATTTCATGAGCTTTTATTTATATAGATTTGAGAAATTAAAGACGAGAGAATCATGTTCTTGTGAATATATATTATGATTGGTGTTATATTATCCATTTTTTATCACATGATTCAATGTTGACAAACTCTCATTCAAATCTTTGTGAATGGATCACATGGTTGAAATCATCATTAAAAATTGAACTTGAAGGTTTGATTTTCATAGCATGTGGTTGCTTGCTATACAAATTTTTAAAAAATTGTTGTAAAACTATTTTTTAACCTTTTTGATTGGATTTCGAAGTTTCTTCATGCTCTTTTGTCTACATGCGTAGATTCTATCACAAGTTTTATACAGAAACATTAAATTTTCCAGAAAAATGCTTTAATGAATTGGAAATTCTACTTTACAGAAAGATTTGGAAATAAGATAGTTAGATCTTTTATGTGTTATTAGGTTGTAATGTAATCAAAAATTCAAAAATTAAGAATATATGATTCAGATGAATCACACGCCATTAAACAATGGATATCACAAATTTTTTTTGAATGTGATTAAATAATATCTTTGACCATCTAGATAATTACAAAATTGAGAAAAAATAGCTAAAAATTCTTGAAATATGAACTCTTAGTCTTGTCAATAATTCTAAAATGCATTTAATTGCTATACATGATGCTTTTGAGTTAATTTTATATATTATAATACATTTATATGATATGATTTAATATTAAATTTTTTATAATCTAGTTCATATGTTATATCACGTAAAAATTTTATTGTTTGAACTTAGTATTCCTTGATTCTAGAATTTGAAAATTTTAGATTTGACTTAATTTATATGTAAATTATTAATTTAGTAATCTAATATATCTAGCTATAATATTATTTTTTATTTCATCACCTTTGTATGAGCAGTTTTTATGTGATTAATCGTAGTTGTTCAGATATATAATAAAATAATAATACATCAATATCACGTTTTGTTTCACATGTGGTTTCAAAAAGTATATTACATTATGTAATGATGATACAATAATTTCAATATAATATATTTTACTTCAATAGTTCTAAATTGTGTTCAAAATTTTTTAGTATAATAATAATATTATTAATATACGAATTTATTATAAAAAATTTATATTAATGATAACAATAATCTGAACTGAATTTTTAGACCTCAATTTGTATATTATCGTATTAAATACTTCAATTTAATGAGATTATTTAATTTTTATATTTTTAACTACACAAATAAAATAAGTAGCAGCTAGTTTCTCTCACTTTTGGCTACCCTACTATGTTCTCTTATGGAGAGGTATGTGATTGGTATGATAAGGGGATTGGATATAGTTTTTTGCGGAGTGGGTGGATGCGACCTGTAAAACAGTGACCTAGATCGCTTCCACCAGCTTCAGAGATGCAACTCTTATCGGGATCTATAATTCTTGTGAGTTTCGTGTAGTCAAAGCTATTATTCTTGAAGAAATGGAATAATCCTCTGTTGAGCCGTGATTCTAGCACGAATGCAGTGTGTTACTTCTTCATAAATTTGGTTTGGGACTCGATTTTGGCCAGAGTCCTCCAAACCGAATAGCCAGAGAACTTCATCTGCTTCATGAACATCTTGCAGAAGTACTGTATGGTCAGACGTACTTTGATCACCGCGATCTCGAACAAGTGCATGATGGTCGACAATTCCGCTTCCTGCAGTTTCATGGTCTGAAAGTCTAGAAAGGATTAATCTGCTTGCGACACTCGATTTTGGTCGTGTCGAGCTTTGCCTCACTCTTCCGCAAACGAAGCGTTGCTCAAGGAATTCAAGTATCGGATGACTCCCACCGTGCTTGGTGCCATGAAATTTATCTTCATGTAGCTCTCCTTGGCATGCAAGATCGAGTGCATGAAGATGATGTCGGTAGTGGCGGCCGAGTGCGCCTGCAGCTGCTCCAATTTTCACTCCAAAAAATTGATGTAAGAGATATTTTAGAAGTAGCACCCATCAGCATTTGGAAAACTACATCACGTCCTGTCACGTCATCTAACCAAGACATAAGAGACATCTACATAAGAGATCATAGTAGTATGAGGGATAATTAGCCAAAAAGAAGGTATCACTCGCCGCTCCAATAAAATAGTTACATTTTTACATAAATTTTTCATATACATTTTTATTGAATATTTTTTTATAAAAAATATATTCTAATTATACTTATCAATAATAATAATAAATTAATCTTTGTAAATTTTATAAATAAAATATTGCAAAATTTCTATATATATTTTTTGATTTTGTTCTTAATGTACATAATTATAGATTTATTTATTTATTTATTTAAATATTTACTAAAACAAATTCTTCAATATTTTTTAACTGTCAAAGTTTAAGATTTGAAAAAAATATTAAAGTCATTTCATCTTTTATGCTCTATAGATGGAATTAGATCATGTTGATCATATTCTTTTATGTTTGGAAATTTATAATTATCTATTAGGATCAACATTCATAGTGTCATATAATTTTAAGAGTTTGACACAAAATATTCACATTTACTATTTTTAGAAATCTGTTTACAATAAACAAAGATTCATTCATTGATATCTTAAATTGTGAAATTTAGAAGTATGATTAATTTTATTAAATTTGGTAGACTATATGGTCTAACTAACCATAATAAAACCGGTTTAATTTATCAAAATCTATATCATTTTTCAACAGTTTTCTCCTTGACTCATGTATTAGATAGTCACATCTCCCCTAACTTTTCTGATTTTTTTATGAAATGATATAAACTATGAACTATTATATATCTATATAAACTAGAATTAGCTTAAAATTGTAGTCAAAATCAAGAAAAAATATGTTTAAATATAGCTTAATTGCTAATCAGATATACTTATACCCATGTGCTAAGATGTATGAAAAAAAAAAACTGATTTTGATAAAAAAAATCAGCATGATTGAGTTTACCGTACATATTGACTAATTTAATCAATTTATCAAGCACATCTTGTTTAAAGAAATGATTCATTATGTCAATATATTATACTCTACCCTCACACTATCTGCATATAATATGTTTATGAGAATAAAGATTAATGATTTAATATTCAAATTTCATATCTATGACAAACTTATTTTAATTAATTGACTCAATAAATGAGTCAATTAAATTACTAAATATTATAATAAATATTTAATTGGCTCATTCCTTGCTTTTGATGCTTCTAGATAGTCAACATCTATCAGATTTCTTTGAAAAATCAAAAATTTTATTTTACAATTCTGCAATATATATTTCATAGATATGACATGTATTTACTAGTTTATTTTCATGGAAAAAGAAATATTAGACCTAGTGCAAATCATCAAATTGAAACTCGACTGTAACTTTTTGCAAGCAATCTTGGACATCAAATCTTTTTATAACCATTGACTAAAAACTTGTAAAAGCTTGTAATCAGAATTTCAAGAAAATTTCACATACTATGTTGAACTTTGCAAATAACATTTTAGCTTCTTTGCATTGTGCTAATCATTTATATTCATTTTTCAAATTTTTTCGAAGGTTCATTCTTCAATTTGTTATGAAAGCACCGAGATATTTCATTTTAAATTTAGAACTGAATGGAGCTTTTAGCTTACAAAAAATACGACTATCTTGATTATTAATTTGACCTTTGGTATATTGTGTATTTTGTAAGTGAAATTGTTTCTAATTTTTTAACAGTAGACACTTTTGAAATTGATTAGAGCAGAAAAAGAAAAAATATTGGATCTTCTTGTTAATAATTTTGTGTTGAAAAATGTCAAGAGTTGCTAGTGTAATCAAGTTCTTGAACTTTCTCAATTCAAAAATGCATGCTATTATGAAAATTCATATTTTTGTCATAATTACCTTTTTACTAATAACATTTAGATTCAATGAAAACCTAATAAATTCAATCATTGTGTCAAAATTCAATTCAATGAAATTACAACCTTTTCAATGATACTTTGTTTAGCATAAGGTCAATATGATATGATAAAGGTTTATTGAGACATATTTCAACATCTTTTCAGTGCAACCATTACGCAATATGATATTGGAAATCCATGCTTTAACATAAAATTATTTCAACTCAATTTTAATATTTGTGCATATAATTAATTTATTAAAAATCTCTGATATGTTTTGAACAAGGAAATTGAAATAAAAATAACAACATTTATCGCTGCAACTTGAGGCAAAAATGCTCATAAGTTATTACAATGAGTTCAATTGATTTAAATCAAAAGTGAATAATACATAGATACATTTAGAAGATGAGATGGTCAAGATATGTTTCACATTATTGTTACTATGATGATGAGATTAAATCCATAATTAACTAAGATAAAAAATAAATATAAGTGTTCAATTTTTTATGCCATTACTTTCTACAATGATCCAAATTCTCTAATTTAGAGATCATCAATGTCTCATCTTATCCTTTCAATTTGAACTTCATTATTATTCACAAATTATTTTGAATGCAATAAAACAAGGCCGACAAATTACTTTGATGTTAACGTACGTGATAATATTTCTTATAGATGTAGTAACACATGAATTGTAAGTCGGAGAGTTCATCTGAACGTCAAATACGATAAGGATCTCCTACAATGAGTATATGAAACCTGAACGATAACTTCGTCATTCTTGTACATCTAGGTAGAAGTAATCACACAACACTTGCAAAGTAGAATGATTAAAGTTGCACGTGTGGGTTTTCCACCATAGCTCATTTGTTTCAGATCAATGGCCTAGTTATCAAGGCTCACCACATTCTGTCACAAGACATTCCATCTCGTCCTCAATTTCTACCTTTTAGCTCCAAGATATGGGGCTGCCGAAATCAGATGTCCTTCCCAAAGGGAGTTATTTGCACAGTCGATGATAATGCCGAGGCCACGACGAAAAGTGGTGTACTTGGGGCGAGAGGCGAGAGCACATGCGAAATGACAAAAATGTTTCACTCTCGTGGAGTGTGCTGGGTGGGGTCCTGCATGTGAAAGCAACGAGTTTAGAAAGGTTAGGCTGAGGACTGCACCGTCGCTCGCCTCGCCTCGTGGCCGACGAGAACGAAGGTCGAATTGATTGGACATCTTTCTCGCTGCCCCACTGCGCGCAAATCATAATACATGGGGCCCGGAGCAGGCGCCTTAAAATAGCCGACCCCCAGCCCCGACGCTAATTCCAGCGAAGGTCGGCTCGTGTTCGGGTCCTGCCCGAGATATTTGAATGTTCATAAATCGCAGCGTTATGGAACGATGGGAGCCAAGAGCAACTGTCAGCCCGGGGATGATCTATCCGCGAGGATTGTGCGGCGACATGGCCACCAGAGTTGGAGGACGCCTTCGTAATCGCACCACCTAATGAACTGACAAGCGCCCAGATCCGCCAAACTGGCCTTGGCCGGTCTGGTGGCCGGAGTTATGAGCCCTCGGTGCCGCCAGCACACAGAGAGTTCGCGCCTCCAGCTCCGCTGGTGAGTGCTGACCGGGAGGGCCGGGCTGCCGGTGGAATGTTAAGGTTCTCATTCTTCACATGGGCCCCTTTTCTCTAAACGTTAGTGTCTTCTCCTCTTGGAGGTGGAAAGCGAGGGTTACCATTCGCCCGCACTCAGATTTCGGCCGAAATAACGCGAGGGTTTTCGGGGAGGATCGGTTTCCTTTCACGGGGGTCTTCTGGAAGAATTATGCGGGATTTCTGTCGACGAGCTGTTGTGCACGACGAATCGATTGGAGCAAAGTTTGCCGACGGTCTCGGTTCTCGGTTCTCGGTCGTCGCAGTGGAGGGAGATCGAGAAGTTCGTTTCTTTCGGTTTGTGGCACTCGACTCTTCTCGTTCAGCTTTGTACTTTCTTGCGGTTCCTTGTCCCTATGGCGCCTCATAGACACCGAACGTCAGCCTCACATTCTGCATTCGCAGCTGTTGTGTTGTGAAAGAGAGAATATTCACACGAAAGTGATTCTCAAAGTGAAGTCGATGTGAAAAGTTCCGACGAGCACAATTGCACAATTTAGAAAGTATGTGGTCACATATTTGTAGGCGCATCAAATCATGAGAGCACGAAAAGATGGAATGGGTGGCCTACTAGCAAGCGGATAGCTTCATAGATGTGGAAGAGTGTGGGAACGAAAGCATTTTCGCCTTCGTCTTCTTCCATTGACGTTGCCGTCGGAATCGTTTGCCTCGGTTATAGCTCGCGTACTCTTTCCGAAAGAAGGTCAGAGTCATGTCTCCATGAGTGCACTCGAACTTCTTTTTACCTCCAAGTCGCTACGAGAATCCCGTGAGCATAACTGCCTGTACCTGACTTAAGTCGAAAGAAATTCACGCCTTCTTCATCCTGATGTTTTCTTACCGTAGCAAAAAATTGAATAATATTCTCCGCTCGGATGTTGTAGGATTGCAGTTGGCGAAGGGCGAAAACGCCCTTCGCCTACTGCAGTCGAAGCAACCTCTGAGAACTTATCCTTACCGATCACATGAATTCCACCCAAAGGAATGCGAGTGGCCAAATCATGATGCCACATATTTGTGATGTTATCGCATGATAGGACCTTATGGCTAGCCTAACCTGTCTGTAGGTTCTACCTTTCTCCCGTTAAATTGCGCTCCAACAGTAGGAATGAGGTTCAAAAAATGAGTCCGTTGCACTAGGAAATGAACAACACACCCAAACGGAATTAAAATTTGGATCGATGGCCAACGAAGAGTCTGGAAGAATCTAATGATTGACCAATAGTTGAGTTGTGCAGACCAGCCTAGCATAGATTATAAACTATCACTTGTGTGTTGTTCGAATATGTCTCCCACACAAACATCCACCACCTCTTACATCTAACAGATATCACCGTGGGAGTATGCCTTGCATAAAGAGACCTACCGACTCTTACATCTCACAGGTATCGAGGTTTATTATACTTCAAAATGCCATCTTTTTGTTGCTGAAGGTGGTCTGAAGCTACCGAAAATAATTAAATATGTGAACATCTTGAGAACTTTCGCCTATGAGATGTCGTCAAATTTATAGCTTCGTGGTGTTCACATCACTCGAAATGAATGTCAGCAAGGGGGGGATTCTTGACCAATGTTCGTTCGACTTTCGAGGCTGCTGATACAACTGGAAATCCACCATGCTCGTTTGACCGTCTTAAATTTTGAACAGTGAACTCGAAGGCTAGGAACACAAACCCGGTCTGCAATATTGCAGAAGTACCCAGAGGGATTTGACTGCAATGTCCTACATTTGGCATTGATGCGGTGGAAAGATCATGAATTTGGGCGTCTTGTCATGTCCTTAACAGGCCTAGACGATCGGTAGGTGTGCGTAGATCCGGCCACCAGACAAAGACTACGGTTGAGAACCAATGAATGTTGCGCTGTACTATTCGAGTGAAAGCTACTTTCGATGCACGAAAAATGAGCCATCTATAACTGTTACTTTTGGATCGTCCGAGCTCCCAGCGGACCGCGAAGGTTTTCATCCAGCGAAACTGGAGGAGAATTCCATTACTGACCGGTGAATTTAAACCCGAGACTGTTCTTACCAAGAACCCGAGCTCCTGTCGGGCCGAGCAGCGAGCGGAGGGAGCTTTCCCATGGTCGACTCTATTTCTGTCGTGGTCCTGTGACAGGCTCGACGTATGATAGAGGACTGCGAGGAGCAGGCTGCGCTGAAGGTTTCGGCCGAGAGCTTATCGTTGGAAATTCGTCCTGCAGGTCGATATCTGAACCTACTGCTGCTGTACCTCCTACTCGATTGCCATCATCCATGCATTCATGGGAGAGCGATGGCGTAGCTAGAGCCGGGGCTCCTATGGCTTCCGCCGGGACCGAGGCCTGTGTCGGGCTAGAGTTCAACGTTCGAGCGAGCTGACTTCGCATTCACACCGATTGCGAGTGCTCGGAATTAGCTGCAGATGCTGCTTCATGGGAACTGTGTGAAGAGTCCAAGTCCTCGAGGAGCTCCAGAGAGCAGCAGCTTAGGAAACGAAAGTGCCAGTGCCCGGCTCGTGCGGGAACAAAATGCGGACGAGCTTCTGATCGTCTGTGGAAGCAAGCCTAGCTCGCGTGCTGCAGCTCCGGAGATCCTCTCCGGGAGACCTTTCATCTCGCAGCAGGTACGAGGGCTGTGATCACGACCTGCGGCATTCTCTGCCTTTTGCCAGAGCACAGCGCTGCGTGTAGGCTGCAATTTTGAGTACGTCGAGCCAGTCCACTGATTGCGCTGTATAGCAATCACGCACCTGAACTCGCGCATGTGAACCTCCGGGCCCAACCTCCAGGAGGGAAAGCCTGCCGAGCATGAGAGCCCTCGTATGCGCCGAGGCCATCTTCTGCAGATTGTCGAGGAGCGCCAGCATGCGGCTGTCCAGATCCTTGGATGGCTTGCCCGGGATTGAGAAATACGCTCGCAGAAAGTTCACGCATTACGTGCGCAATACAATCTCGCTGTGCGTGGCCACTCTTCTCTTCACCGTGTTCCTCTTTCTCATCTGCACCGTGGACCCGGGATGGAAGGGCATGGACCAGCCGTGGCTGCGGTCGGATCCCAGTGTTCGCCGGAGCGGTCCCGGGAGAATCCTGCAGAGTACGTCGCTGAAATTCGATGACTGGCGGAGAAGCTCAGCCCTTCATGGGCTCGGAGTCACATTCCGCAAGGGCAGCCGTGCCATGAGCGAGCTGGTGGTCGCCCACGTCGAGGAAGCCACCACTGCGGATGATCTGAGGCTGTTCCTGCGAACACTCCATCGCAGCGGGGTGACTGCTCGGGCGGATGTGGTCCTTCTGTTTCCTAGCAGTCCCGTCCCGAAGGTGCTGGCGGATGTCGTCAACGAGGAGGAGAGGAGCTGGTGGGAGATCATGTTGCAATTGCAGTCGACCGCCGCTCCTCACTCCAGCAAAGAGAGCAGCGGTGAAGCGACGGAGGATTCTTCGGCGAATCGTGAGGGCAGAAATCTGCAGGAAGCGCCCTCGACACCGGTCCATGTCGAGTTTCCCGACTCCAATTCGTCGCTCAGCTCGTTCCATGCCACGGCCTTCTGGAAGGCGAGGGAGGAGGGCAAGCCCAGAGGGGACGCTTTCTGGGGCGGGAGCACAGCCCGAAGCGACGGAATGACGACGGCTGTGGATTGGGGCGATTGGGGCTCAGTGGTGGGCTTCGAAATGCAAGACCTGGATTCGGACGAGGCACTGAAGGGCTTCATCGAGGAGCCGCCCGCCCGTCTCCGAAGGTGGATAAGTTACCAAATGCTACTGGGAATGGTGAAATCCAAGTTTCGCAGTGTGCTCCTGGCGGCGGTGGGAGAAGTTTTGGTGATGGGGGACGTCTTGGCCGTGACTCGTAAGAAGACGTACGACCTGGGGCTTCTTATGTTCCAGGAAGATCGAACGTGGAAGGAACTCCATAGCTCGCACATTGAAATGGCGAAGAATAGCGCTCTCGAGGAGGCCAGCGTCAGCCAGCCCGACGATCGATCCCAAGGAGTAGTAGGCCTCAGGCTCGATGAAACAAGCTCGGAGGCTCAGGGTTTAGGAGTTGCAGGAGAGGAATTGGCCTCGAGCGAAGGACAGAGGAGCGGCGTCGGCAGGCCAGAATTGCAATTCATCGAAGAGGTGTACGGGAAGGAGAAATGGAAAGTGCTGGAAGAGGAAGACAAGGAGAAGTCCGTTCTTGGCTCGGGGCTCATCATGGGTCACATGAAGCCGGTGAGAAGTCTGCTGGGGACGATGGGTACGGAGATCGTGGGAGTTGCTGCTCTGGTCCGCAAGAGCAGGCAAAGTTTCAGCGACCGACCTCTTCTCAATTTCCTGGTCCACAAGAGCACCGTCCTCAGCAAGCGAGTCACGGACAAACTGCATATCATGACCAACCGGAACTCCAATGTGCATTCCCTGCCAGGATCGAAGCAGCGATCCGTCTTCTACAAGCAGAGTGGGGGCAGGTTTGCCGCATTGCAGGGTCTGAAGGATGAGCTCGTGGACGCAAACATGCACTCCACTGTATTGAAATCCGTCATTGACGACATCTGCTCTTCCCTTGCGGATTCCAAATTCTATTCAGATTGCTCGAGTCCGAATTCTCTTCTTCTCTCGGAGACACGCAGCTAGAATCGAAGTCGGCTAACACGATCTCGTCTACGCAAGGCGAGCGGCCAGTCGGGGCGTTTCAAACCCCTCCTCATCCAGTTTTAATTTTCCGATGCGGAGTCATCGTGCTTTAGCACGAAGTCGTCCTCCTCGAGCTGTCAAGCTCAACGTCCGACACCAAATGGCGGCCCATGTCCTGGCGGCATGTGAGCGGAGGGATCACCATTCAACGTCATTTGTTCTCGACAACGCATCAATGGCACGCAATCGCGTGCTTCCAGCGAGCAGAGATATCCGAGTCCTGGTTCGTGATTTAGCAAGAGACTGGAATATTTAGAATTCTTTCAACACAGTTGATGTATATTTGTATGTGAGATATGTGACCGGGCATAGGAACAGAGCAGTTTTTCTTCCAGAGTGTACATTACGAGTTTGATTCACGTCCAAATAGGAAGGGATCAAGAGCGAGGTTCTCGATTTGTCATGGAGATCTGTCTTCCGTGACGTGATCTCAGTGTACGTCATCTGAACCGCGGAAGCCACAAGCGGAATGTTATAATTTGCAACCGAAGTAAAGAGAGCTTGAAAGCGAGTTTTGCACCCCACATCCGCGTCTTGCATCCCTCCCCCTCCCCCTCCCTCCCTCCCTCTGACCACCAATCAGAACCCGGTCACTGAAAGTCGCGGCGGGTCCTTCGGTGCTCCTGTTTCCGCAACGCACTGAAGCTCAAGAGCGCGTCATCACCCAATGACGAGCTGGGCGGTAAGAGAGCAGACTCGAATTTGTCGCTGGTACTGGCATCGCTGACTTTACTCTGTCAGACGATAGAGGTAGTACCCGCCCAACAACATCTGAGCACATAAAGGAGCACGTGATTAATCACGAACTACTTTTTACTGTCAGACGAGGTAGGAAAGCAGCGATGGTTCACGTTCGACGTAGAAAGCTGATCCGGGAAAAGGAAATGAACTGCACCGAATTACACTGGTCCCAGTCCGCTAATCATAGTAGAGTCGACACTCGACGGGGAGCCCGGGTTCCACCACTGTCGGCGCTGCTACTGCTGTGCGAGACTTCTGCTGGCCTGCCTGCGCGTCGAATCATCGAAGGCGAGCTCGAGCCGCATTGATTTAGCGCATGGTGGTCCACAGGCGAGCAGCACCGAGCCTCGTCCTTCGTTTTGGACATTCCCTCGGGACGCGTGGCCCAGAACGGGATCCCTGCTGGCCAGCGTACCTCCGGTCGCAGCCAATCCCATCGCGCGCAGCTGACAGCGGGCTCGGCGGTAATGCCGAAGCGCAGTGACGAGGATTCAAGAGTTCCCTCTGTGCGAATATTCCCTCACTCCACCAAGTCGGGTTCCAGAACTCCTCATCCCCCGTGGAGGTTCGTGAGAGCTGAGACTTTAAGGACAGTGTCAACCCTCCCCCGGTCGAGGACTAACTCAGGAAGGCCTGCCGGGTGGTAAATATATACTCGATGTGGCGTAGAATTCCACCCCGAGCTCTTGACACGTAAGACTCGGCCCGGACTGCAAATGATAGTGTGAGCTGTCTAAGCTGACATGTACGGGTGTGGCGAAATGGGCTGCTCCGGGAGAGGAACAACACTCTGGAGGAGCTCGTGAAGGTGTACGGAACGTACCACGTCGTTGTTCCTCGCCCCATCTCGTGGATTCGGCTCTGGAAGCACACAGCCGTCGTCCTGGGGAGAGCTAGACCATGGCTGTGTGGTGCTATGCCTTGGCCTTTCATGGCTTGGAGTCGCATGGCCGTACTCGAACAGGAAGGTTAAGTACGACTTTGTCAGAAACTGCAAGGACGAGACGAGTACTGATTATCGGGCCCTGGCTGTAGTACCTTGTCAACTCTCGTGCACTCAGGGACGGTTAGTGAAAATGTTGCATATTACACAGTGGGCATTAGCTTCTCCTACAAAGCTGGCGCTGCTCGGAAAATAGTCTTTTCCTGGAACATAGCTCGTTGTGACAGACGACTGTAGGGTCAAACTAGGAGAAACGAGTTTCACTGTTGTCTCGAGTATATGAAGGAAAAATGAGGCAAAAGTCCGAGTTCTTAGAGAGCAGTGCAAGCAGGAGGAGATTGGTGTAAATGGCTTGTGATATTTCAGCACAGTGCCTTGACATTAAGAAGGTTTCGGCCAGCGTGAATCCCTGTGTTCCGATATATGCGCAGTGTCATGCAGCGCAATGATGTCAAATTACTGTGCGAACGCTTTCATGTCTCCGATTACCGAGATCTTCAAAGCTTTTGGTCGAATCTACTCTAATATCGGGACCAAGACTCATCCCCGTCGGCCACCAGATCCAGTTGGACTATGGCTTTGGAACAAGACCACACCTTTGGCCGAGCAGCGCGCACCGTGAGATCCCAAGGTTTACGGGACTCCTTTCTCCAACTGTTTCAGTGCGTTGCAGAACCTTTGAAAATAATGAACTCGTTTGTAGCGACATCACACAAGGTTGACCTTTGTGGCCTTCTATTATACAGTCCATACTACCTTTTGCAGTCTGCGATACAGATCAAACTCTGTAGTACCTTCTCACTTTTCACCGCAGCATGCTCATCCTGCAGCCCTTCCGAGAGGTCCTGACCCACCGTTGTCATTTACAGAGCTCCAGCTTACGAAGCATAGACCAGAACATCGTGTCAGCGTACAAAATGCGACACAACACAAATTCCTCTCTTCCTTCTCCATCCAGCTCTCATGGCTGAAAATAGGTCTCGACACAGTGCGTCTCTGGTTGCAAACCTACGAGGATCTTCGGAGAGAGGTTGTTCGCCCGTATTTTTGACTCCGTCCATGCACTTGAGGGGATGAGTGGCAGACGAATGAGTATCAGACAGCTAATATGGTTTCGTTGCTGCCAACACTAATACGGAGTGCATCTGAGTACCTTCGTGCCAATGGGCTTTCCACTTAAAGGTCCCCATCATCATGTGCTTTTCTCATTCGTATTATACAAGCTTTAGCTCTACCATTTGTAGTTAGAGTGACCGAGTCGAGTAAAGTTTAGATCCTTACAGTCATCAATCATGGAGGCCGTGAGCAACTGGACAGAACTCATCACATAAGACATGTCCTCATCTTTAGATGACGGATCGTATATGCGTAAACTTCATCGTAACACATCAAAATAGGTGACAGACAAGAGGGTCACCAACAGTATAATGCATAATACTGTTGGTCTTGAGGTAATTGACCATATCTTACCTCACTCGGACCCTACCACCTTCCATCTCTTGCATAATTCAGTAAGCTCACGTTGACTTAAGAGTTATAGGTTGTTGGAGATGGTTGTTATTCAGGACCATGGTAGTCAACTCACTACAAGACCATTAGCACGTCTTCACTCCCTATCTCATGTGGGAGCTTTGAACCATTGACCAAGTAACAGTGCGCTACGGCAGCCTTTTCTGTTGTTGGTTTCACTAGCTCCTCCAGTTACAATATGTTTTTGTATTATTAAGATGACTATAATGGAGGATTTTGACTCACATTTGAGATTGGGCATATAACTTACATGTCTTTCATATGTGGCCATAAGCATTTGGGTTACCAAGACCTAAGGATGTATACGTGAGATCATTCATCAAAAGCAGGATACAGTGAGTTATTCTTGCAGCTTTTGCGGTTCTCCCTTTCTTTGGATTTTACGTCTCGGTTAAGGTCAGGTTATCTAGTATCGTGTGTATTTATGGAGACGATCTGTTCCCTCTGATAGTATTCTCTAACGCCAGGAATCTGGTGATGCACACACTTAAGTCTGTGTGGCTGCTTACGTGGTGAGGATATTGCCTGTGTTTTATCGTGATAACTTATTACTATACGTCTTTTCCAAACTTAAAGCGTTTCATTTACCTTTTTTCTTTACTATGTCTCTCACGTGTCTGGAAACCTGAGGCTCGCTCTTTGCACCTGTTTTGCCACATCAGTCGTTTGAATAGTTCCCAACACTCTAAAGTGGCTTCGTAAAATGATGGAATTTTAGGAAGAAACTAAATACAGCATGAGACAACCTCGTACCTCCAGCTATCATGGATGAAGATAGTTAATAGACAAACTTCCATGAGATGTTCTTCTTAATGCGTCCTCTTCTTCTATACACAATACAACTCCAAAGAGTCTACATTCCACTCGTTGTTATATAGCTGTCAAACATATGTCGCTTGATTCGTTTTCTTTTGGTACATTTATTTTATCTTTCTCTTTTATTTTTTATAAAAAATTTCATCTAATCCCTCTAATGCATAATAGTCAACTACTATGATATTCATGCTAGTCAAGGTTATCTTTCATTTTTTAAATTGTATACATCGTAATTCATACATGTCTTGAAAAATTCCAAAATGTGTTCAACTAATTATCAAATGTCACACCATGTATTAAAAAAGAAAAGAAAAAAAAGGAAACTATATACCAATATTTGGATACTAGCAAAATTTTCCAAAGGTTCCGAAGTAGCTTAAGTATGCATTTAATTATACTGCGTATTTCATTCCAAAATCTGGTTGATCAAAAATTCATTGCTTGAGAGTAATCTATATCTTATATACGTATGCTCCACAATCATCTTCGATAATAGGTATATGTTTAGGTATGTTAGTGAAGAAAAGCCCTGAAATATTGTTTTGAATAAGAGAAAAATAAAAAATACTGTATGTAGTTAAATCATTGGTCGCCACTGTAGGTTAGTTTGAATCTTGTGGAGCCAACCATATTACATTTAATATGAACTTCTCGATCTTGGAAGTTGTTTCTTTTTCAAAAACACACAAATTCTTTTTTGGCTCAAGCCGGGTTCTAGAAACATGATCATGGCATCTGCACATTTAACACCTGCTCGGCGGTGCACATCTTGCAGAATTGCAAAAATGTATTATTCAATACTGGCTGCACCGACATCTGACTCCTCAAATCTGCAGGTTAAACAGAACTGTGAAGTACCATTGTGCTCCTGACAAGAGGCGTCACTGGTACAGGATGCTAAAAGCTCTTCAAACAGGCTTCATTCTTCGATGTGTCGCAGAGCCAATGAGGGTGCTAAATCAAACCCAGTGTATTGTATCACAGTGTACGGTCACTTTCAGTCAAGAATCAAATCAAGTTTGAGATGCCCGGTTCCACCAAGACAGCTCTAAACAATAGACGCACTTTCTCCCTCTGGACGGTCTCACATTCTCTCAAAACGTCGTCATTCCAAACTGTTACAAATTCCCATCCCTCTTACTTCCTCCTTTCATGATAAAATCCTCTGGAGGAACGCACAAGAATAGAACGAGGGTTCGCCTGGCATCTCAGAGAAAGTGTACAGAGCTATCATCCTTGTTATACACAATATCTGGATGAGGGTGGGTTTTCGATGTGGGCCTTTTTCAGTTGTGTTTGATTTTATTTCTTATAGCTGAGATGTAATGTTGACAACTTTTCGAGGGCTGGGACCGCTCTTCTAGATGTGTCAGGATTCGAACCCCCCGATCATACTCGTCATCTCGACGTGCTAGCAACTATCTCGGTCTTGGGAATAACGAACTTCAAGGAAAACCTGACAGCAATTCAGGATCAAAGAACCGATACAGATGCGTACCTTGAGATTGGATTAGACCGAAAACTGCGAGCTCTCTTTCACAGATGCTCAAGAACTATCTTCTCACATTCTAAATTGATTCTGTCTGCCACATGTCCGCTGAAAGCTGAGAATGTTGAAAGTAGGGTATTGCAATTCATTTGGACTTTGACACGAACCTGTCCACGTTCTGACGAACAAATGATAGACGAGAAGTATTGAGTCTACGACAATTTCAGAGGACCTGACATTTCACAACCGTACGAAAAACTCCAGCAAGCAGCATTCACAGCTGACTGCTGATTACACCTTAGGAATATCGTACGATGGACTGTCTGACGAAACTTGGAGTGTATGTCTTGAGGCTTAAACGAGGCCACACTTATAGTGTCAAATTTCTATCAACTTCAGTAGGTGAAATTTGCATGAGCAACGTCCTCCATACTTAGCTACAGCGGTACTTGACATACATATCACACCAACTCTTTGTTCGCAAAGGCACTTATTACACACTTGGAAGATATTCTACACGGGATCAAAACTCCATCTCCTCCAGTGGACTCAATGTTGAATGTCAGTCATCAATATGTTGTACCTAAATGTCCGTATGTTGTCATTTGACACAAGGATAAAATTGAAAAAATTTCGTGTTAATCTATCGTCAAGATCATTTATCAATCAGACTCAAACTCCGGGGAACATCTGATATTAGGAAGATCCGGAGGACTGACCATCTTCTCGTCCGATTTTGACTCCCATCTTCAGCAGAATCGGCTTGCGCTTGAGACAAGTTTGTTTCCTCTTTCGCACTAGTTCCAACAGAAACTCAGCGATGATTATGCCTAAACCCGTAGCTAAAACTATGCGTGACAATGATCGTCATGTAACAAGAAGAGCTGCAAATAGGATAGAAGATCATATACTGCGCAGGTAGTACGACCACAATCGAGTTAATAAGCGACCTGAAAGAAAATGCTAATCCTGAGGCACATATGATGTGAAGGGCAATCTTCATTCGACTCTAATACCAGAGATGCGTGAGAAGGTGGAAACCTCATGATGCGTGAGCGGCAGAACTCCACTTTAAGCAATATCTTTATCTACCTATACATGAATATTAGTCAGACCTCTACCATCATGCATGCACGAGATTTGAGCTTGTCTTTGCTCATTACGATCTTCTTCTTCGTGTTCGTACCTCATCTTCTCCACCGGCATTACAAGATTCACAAGAGTGGCTCGTCTCGCGGCAATCAAGAGGACTTGATAGCATCTACGATACAAACTTTGACCGACCACCCGATTTGCCTCATCCACGACGAAGAGCTCTTCGCCCTCCACTCATGTCACTCCGGTGGCTTGAGGGGAACGTCTCCATGATGCAATTGACATATTGATTCGCGGGAATAAAATAGTCCCGCCCTTTTCAGGAATTAAATCCACGCACTCATGACAGTGCGTAAGACGAATGTCTCGTAAAAAGCACCACTGAACAGAAAGAAGTCTTTGCAATCTCGATACAATTTGGAAACTCACACTTACCAAAAGAAGTCGAGTTCACAACTTCTTTTGTGAACTCGACTGACTTATCTATTGTTCTTGAATCATAGGGACTTTGAGATCTGACTCTGAATTCGTCTACGATCGTACCTTCGATTTGGACTACCACGATTTCATACTGAAATCCTTTCTTCAGTATTAATGGAATGTGGTAATTATATGTTGATTTAAAGATCGTATTAATCATTCAAAAGTCATGTTATTTACGAATACTTTGTGAGGGTTTAACCTCTCTCTTTGTGAGAGGGCGATGCCTGGAAACCGGAATGAACAAATCCGAGCTGGGACAGGTTCGGGTGCTCCGAGAGCGCCTAGAAGGTGTTCAGGGATAAATGTGAGAGATGGAATATCACATCAAATGATTGAGGAGGACGACATTCATTTGGAGGAGAGGTGCAGAATTTGCAGTCTAATTTCGTGACTTTGCATCTGAAGCACTGAAAGTTGTCTTCTAGCTGGCTTCGTGGCATTTAGGCGAGGACTTATATCCAAACCACACTACTCATACTGGCCCTCCGAGCGATGGGAGATTGAGTTATATATGTATCATGACAAATCTTTTAAAATTGAAAATATTGGATTATCCAAATTTTTTGATGAATTTAAACTTTCAATCACTCAAGTTAAAGCTAACATGAATAAAATTTAAATCTCTCTTGGAAAAATATATTCAAATCTTTGAATAAAATCTTAAAAAACAAAATGTGAATAAGATCATATTGTAATTACAGAAGCATAAAATATATACATATGCAATACATACAATAATATATGACAAAGTTAATTCTAACCAATCTTGACTTGGTTCATGGAGCATTCTAGTCTATCTATTACACATGAGTAATATGCATTGTATACTCTTTGATGATACAATTATACGATTAAGTTCTTTAGGACCTGGTGGATTAACAAGAAGAACCGCAAGTTTTCAAGTACGTGATATTCACGCTAGTCATTATGGAAGAATTATTGAGAATTTAATAGTATAAATAAGAATTTTAAAAAATAAAATTTTGTTAGAATTTACAATTTCAAAGAGTAATTTGAATATGTATATTATGAAGATTGAATTATGTTGATATCAACTCCAGTTAAGGAGTAACCACAGGTACTAGCTATATATAACTAGGTAGGTCTTTTTACATTCAATCTTTTTTGTGACAAACATGAGTAAAGTGAAGTGTGTTCTTGGTGGACGTAACCCTTTCAAAGGGCTGAACCACGTTATATATTGTGTCAAGTGTTTACTATCACTTGTCTGTGTTTTTAGTGTACAAAATAAACTTCAAAAATCTTACTTAGAAAATTAGACATGTATCATTTCTTGATGATTATTTAAAATTTATGAAAATTCATATTTTCACACTTTTAGAAGTAAGAATGTTCAAATTGACATTTAGTCTTGTTACAAGATCAAATGTATTACAAAAGTATCGTATAAAAGTATATTTTAGAAGAATTATAAAGTTAATGCAAAGCAAAAAGAATTATTTTCCATCTTGCCATGATTAATATTCTATAACAAAACATCTAATATAAAAAATCAAGAAATATTGGAGGAAAAAATATGATGGAGTGATTTTGTATCTTATATAAATATTGTGCTAATTTTTAATGTCTAATATCATCATATAATATTAGACAATTTTATGAAGCATTTGAAATGAATTACAAACACATAGTTTTTTATAGTTTTTAAAAATCATTTAATTGTACGGATTGTTACTTAATACTCTAAAATACTAGGATCACTATGGATATTACAACGTCTGGATATAGAATTAAATTCTTTAGATATATACTTGAATTATTTACCTCGCTTTTTCTCTTCACTCTCTACCCTTCTTTCTTACGGAAGTTGTTTGAGACGAAGTCTCTATTCAATTATTTATTTGTATGACAAAGTATTATGAAGTTACTCTCCTCAAGATCCAATCCAATCCAAACTTATTGCTTCATCCAATCTCAAACTTCACAAAATACATTATCACATCCAAATTTTTTGTCTAAAGTTTTATTATAGATTTTTTTATTTGTTTTAAAAAGACTTTCATATAATTAATTCTAATATTTTATCTTCGTATTAACTTTCAGATTTTTTAGAAAAAGCCAAATCTTCTTCAAAACTTATTCAATTGACTTAAAACTTAGGCCAAACACATAACTCACATTGTAAGCTTACTTTTGGTAGAGACTAATTTTTCAAAAACTTCTAATGCTCTTGCAATTGTCAAAAAATTGTAATCGTACTTAATCTTAACTTTGAATCAAATAGCTAACCTTTTTGAAACAACCATATATTACTTAAAACTAACCAAACATATAATGCACGTTATTATATTTCTTGAGGTTGAAATGAAATTGTCAAAATCCTTATGAAGCTATCACAATAGCAAAAAATGTAAATCTAAATGAAACTTTTACAGTTTTTTGGAAAAATTTTCTTTCTTTTCTGTCGTGCATTTTTCCAAACCGTTCACTGCTAGTGCTTCTGCAATCTAATTGTAGTTTTGCTATCTTGGTCTTGTGAAAGTCTCCATATCACCGCTAGTTGTTCTACAATCTCATTGTAGTTTTGCCATATTATTCTTGTGAAAGTCTCCATCACCGTTATTTTGCCATCTAATGCTTCAACACCTCATGCATTTGCAATTTTATTGTTTATAACATCTTTTGCTTTTGTCTCCTCATTACATCTATCATCTTATATCTTTGCTACCTCATCAACATAGGGCATAATACTAGAAATTAAGAGATTAGATCACTTAAAAATATTACATAAACTTTGAAGATGAGACAATACTTAGAATTTTTTCCTCTTCTTCATATGAATCTTTCCAATAAATTCAAGGAGATAAGATTTTACTTTCATTATCTATTCCACTCTTAACAAACTCATAATATGGCGAGTATATCTAAGAAACACATGGATTGATGATGTTTTATTCAGAATTAATATACTAAATAACATATTTAATCTTTGTCTAGTAAGCATACAGATAGCTAACTTATCAATGCCAACTAACAAATTAACCAAACACATGCACATGGATGTCTAACGCGACAACTATATATAGTTTATCATAATCATTTTTTATTTTTTTGAGTAACTTTTATTTTGATTTATATGATTAAAGATGGTTACAATATATTTATATTAGCAGAGTTCAACTTTTTGACTCTTTTGTTTTCTCTTGTTATTCATTTTCAGCTAACAACCTTGTTATTACAAGATTACATTGATAATATATCCAAAAAAGCATATTTTTTAATATGCTTGTGATGTGAGAAATTATAGTTTATGAAACCATGTAATAAGTTTGGTCAATATAAAAAATCAATTTAATGATTAAAAAATAACTGAAAAAAGTGTAGAAGTATCAAGCTCTTCATATTGAAAAAAAAATTATTGTTATTCACGTATATTTTTGAGGCAAAAATTGATTATTATGAATTCTAAAAATAACACAAGAAAAACTTTGATACAGATTGTACATTGCATTTTAAGCTTTATGTTGCTGATTTTTGAAAATAAAATGTGTGATAGAATTCATGTGATAAATCAATAAATAAATTTAAATATGTATGCAATAAATTTGATCTTGCTCAAACTATAGATAAAAATAATGTTAACATGTCAAATAAAAAAAATGCATTGAAAAACTTTGATATAAATCTATATAATGTCAAATCTTTGTATTTTTCTAGGTTGATTTTGATTATGAATTAATTCTCAATAGGAAGAACATTTACAACTTACCATGTGTCTACAATTGATGATGTATTCATTCGTTTTAAATCTATTTTTCATAAATTCATAATTTAATGAATACAAAATATTAAAATGAAATGAAAAAAATAATTTATTTGATTTTATAGAATTATCATAGAAAAAAATAATCTTGCCAAATATATATATTATTGTTATTATTATTATTATTGATAGTCAAAATGTATTATATATTTCAAATAATCAAATAATAATTAACTATAATATTGATAATTATGATAGATTTTAAATAAAAAATGAAACACAAACTCTAAGAATTTTCTATATATATATTGAACAGCTACAAGGAGATAAATTTCTAGCTTCAGCATACGTTACACTCTTAGTGAGTTGATGATATCACAAATATATTGAAAAAGCACACATTTCATTTACATTTCAATTCTAACTAACATTGTAACTTAACAAATATGCATAGGAAGCACAAGATCCTTAAAATGTTAATGTCAATCAACCATTTAACTCTTTACTTATTAAACATAAAAATTGCTCACTTCAACTATTAATAATCTACTATAAATCTATTCTATCTTCAATTTGAATGAAATCTAATTAATTAAAGATTGAAGTGCCCTCCAAACGCATAGTTCGGAGGGCACTTCAGTAAGCCTTACAAGGATTGAAGTCTTGACCCCTATTCCTTTTAATGATGCTAGAAATCGTTTTGATATTACAATAGCAATTGATATCACATATAGGCATCAAATTTTATTTGATCATACTTGTAATTTTTAATGAGAAAGTTGAAATAATCAAGATTGATAATAAATTCAATGCAATTGAAGCATTAATAAGCTAAATTCTTTGAAAATGTTATTTTGAGATTGCATCATTTTAAAGATTTTGCCAAAAAAGCACAAATAGATTTAATTAGAATTTTTAAATCTCTAAATAATATTTTACTTTAGCAAATCTTGATTACAACTTATTTCTAGTTATATCTATTCTATTAAGGGATTTATGTGAAGAGTATTTTTAAAGCTTTTTGCAAAATATTTGAATTGATTTAATTTGTTAAAAATCTCAAGACATGAATGAAAGAAGAGAGTGCTAATAATAGAGTCATGTGTTGACTTATTTAAATAAGCATAACATTGAATAGTAGCTAGATAGTGTGTCATTATTAGTGATGGGTTTGTATTAAACACACACTATAATACAAAATAATACATGACTTCAAAAATTCATATGTATTTTACTGTTTTAAATCTTCACCAAATCGATTTGCAAACTCTCGCAATCCATTGGTAATCTTGACTTGATTTTCTGATGAGCAAAGTCTGTGCTCAATTTTTTCTTTAGGTCGATCTTCTGTTTGAAATTGCAAAGTAGCAATACTTGGCTATAGAAAAAGACGTAGTATCTTTTGTTTCTTTAGTTTGTTTTCTCTAGCTTTGATCAGCTTAGAGATGATCAGACGTGTAAGAACTTCAAATGATGTTGCACAGTATTTGAGAAAGGTTGTGCTCATACGTGCATTCATGACAAAGCAAATGGCAATTTTAAAGGTTGCACTCAAAATTGACGTATCATTTGATCAATTGATGACAAGTGATCCGTAACCGATAAATATGACATTTGTTCGCTTCAATGATGTATATTTTTTGATGCTGCATAGTTAGATCTTGTTGCTAGACACATTTATAATAATTATTATAATACAAAGATTGTGGATGAATTTGACGAAAGCTTTGAGAATGATCGACAATCCTTTACGATGTTGGTCACAACTTGAATAGGAGATGGTTCATCACACCCAAATTCTGTTACGATAACGAATCATGAAATTGTACATGACGGTCTTGTAATTAGAGTATTGGTAGAGACTCCTTCAGTTAGCTTCGATCTACTCTGCCATTCGCATGTTACTCAACGGGATATTAAATCTCATCAAGTCCAATTTCCACAGTATCCGCCTGTTTAAGATCTACAAACTTCACCAGATTCTAAGTAGAATTTAACATACAAAGCTTCAAAATCAATTTATATTTTATTGAATTGGAAATTGCTATGTTGAATTCTCATTTGCATCATAATCTTCACCAAATAGTTCCAAATCAACTTTTGAAGAAATCATTGCAAAGTTTAGCAATGCAAACTCTCTATACTGAGCTTAGGCAATCTCCTCCCATCAAGCCTTATACTCCATGACATGTTTGGATGATTCTGCATCTAGCTATTGTGCCTCGTCAACAGCAAACTTAAGAGATGAAAGGTTTGTAACCATCTTTAATTAAAATAACTAAAAAATCTATATCAATATTTAGAGTAACATCTACTTTATTTCTAACTAACATAAACATGCTTGTGATTCACCAAAATTTGGTGAATATAATGAGCACATAAGGGATTCCAAGTTTATCTTTACACAAGGTGTCATAGAGAAAGTAGAAGATAAGTACTGCAAACGGTATTCATCATACATTAGGCCGTCTTAACACTCGTTTATGGAATATCGAACTTCTTTAAAACATACAATGTGAAATTATACAAACCATGTGGAGTATAGCCAAATGCGACTGTGAAGTCTGACAACCGCAACAACTTCCTTCAAAGTAAAGTCATTACACTGGAGCTATACGAAGTAAATAAAAACATAATTTTAGTCAATGGATTAGGAGTAAGCGGCTGGACATCTTGGCTTTGCTCTACATCTGCCGCAAAAACAGCTAAAGTCACCATCAATTGCTCTTTCGCCTCCACTAACTTGGCTAGAAGATTGTGAGCATATTTTTGATTCAATTCCATCGCAAAATGCTTGCGAAAGAAAGAAAGCTTTTGGAATATCTACCATTATATTCAATAACTGCTTGCTTTGGACATTTGTGGCATCATCTGAGAGAAGCAAATAGAAAAATATTGCCATATACTACAAAATACCTCGTTCATGACATCTGCGTACAAAGACATCATTAGAATGGTGCGAATAGTTTAAAAGTAGAATGAGTTTGTTTGAATTCTTTCTAATAGGTAGAAGTGCATCAAAAAATTTCTCAATAATCAAAATTACTCAAAAAAATTTCATATAATCAGATTCAATATAATTTCTTCAACAATCTCATGCAATATCAATTGCATCATTAAGTAATCAATGTGATTTCATTACTCTATATGTTACACTAGTAAGGTAATACACAAGGGGATTATCACATTGAATTCTTTGTACTTAATGGTAACTTTCATTTGGATTATATCAGCATATTACTTAACGTAACACATATTTCCAACTAGTAATGAGGTCTTATATATGTAGGAACTTTCTGTATTTTTTAATATGTGATATTAGCTGGTTTGATGGATTTAGATATAAAACAAAAATACAATAAGCTTAGAAAAACCTCAGCTAAGAGATAAATTTGTTCGACAAAGTTAGACAATCCATTCCCTGTATTTGAGCCAGCCTCTCCCTGGTTTCGACGATTCCTTCCCTGATTCCGCCATAGCGACTCCCTGTTTCTGACAAATATATGCTTTGATTCGAGTAGTGTCATGTTCTGATTTGGACCCATTTGGACGCTCATTTCGACCCTTTCCTACCCTACTCTGATCCCAGATTTTCCTCCCTGAGTCTCCCACTCTAGACTGCGAACGGATATGCTTATTACTCATTCCCATCGTCAGTTAATCACCACTAGAAGCTTCCACCTGTTGATTGCCACCACTTCTTATAAAAGGATGTTCGATCTGCCACATGCATTCTTTGGTCCACTTCGACACGAATTATCTGATCTACCGGAATAAGCAAGATAGCACATTTCCGTCATGATAAGCAATCCACCTTATTCTGAGCAAGCTCGGAGAGCAAGTGCAGAAACAGCTATTATGCAGTTAGGGCACGGACTCTTTTCAAATCTCCAATGGCATGACGTAGCAAGACGTGCATTCCAAGTACCTTCTCATCGATCATATGATCCTACAAGAGACTGCGATTGGCATGAAGTGGAGCAGCCACCCGATCCTCTCCTCTGGCTACCCGGTTCTGGAACGCCAGGGGATATTACACTGTTTTGCTTGGAGTGTTCCACCTGCTTTTGGTAGAGCTTGGCTTGATCAGGACTGCCAGTAGTCTGGGTGATCACGTCCCGGGAAGGATTTGGAACGGACTCACGCAAAGTGAGCCAAGCACCTGTGAGGGGATGCATTGAATTTGAGAGTGGCTTCATTCAGGACTGCTTGTTTCAATTCTGCTCACCTCCATCTTCATCTTCCAACTCCTGCGATCCATGCCAGCTACGGAGAAACAAACCCTCCTTCTCGAATCCACCAATTTCACTATCAACGAATTGTGCTTCACGAGCACTCGCTTACTTTATGTCATTCATCTCATCTTTCTCTTGCAGTCGCCTGTAGGACAACCCACTGCTATTGTCGTCCTCGTCATACTCGTCACTCCAGACACGTCTCCACTGCTGGCCAAAAACCACTTCCATAACTTACAGTGCTTCTCACAAGTCACACAAAACACCTGGACTCGATTTCTACCTCGAGATGAATAGAGCCTCCTCTCACTGGTCCGGAGTGGTGAAGTTCTACTCATACAGGTTCTTTGTATAAAGCCGGATTCGATTCGAGAAAGAGCTAACTTAGTTCGCTTTTTCTCCTTTTTTCCTTAAAGCCCTCGATTCTTCAATTCGTTTGTTATCGTTTTCAGTTCCTCTTACTTTATCGTTTGTTGCGATGATGGTTTAACTAAACGTTATGTGCATGGAGGCGATGCACCAGTGAACGAATGATCATCCGGTTTCCAGTTGTTCGAGCACATTAGACGCGTGATAATATCACCGCACTCATTTTCGTGGATAATCGCAAGAAAAAAGCTTTTGGAACGGATCAGGGCTTTGTAGTAGAGAGTCATGGTTATGCATGTTACTGGATACAGTAGTGAACAAAGACTAACAATGAAGATATCAAGTATAGTATACTGTAATGAGATCATTTATGTATATCATTATAAGTTAGAGTTAGTACTTATGTGTAGTTGTCTTATCTTCTTCAAAAGTTCATCAAATTACTATCTTTTTGTATTGTATGACATTAGCTGTTTAATCTTTTAAATAATTTTAATTTAATATATTTCATTATTTTACAAGTAATATTATCAATTCTGTTGTTAAAGATTTATGATTTTTTCGATTCTTGTGTTGTTTGTATGTATTTTTCCTCGATACTTTAGAAATTTTAACTGCTTATGAATGTATGATATATGATATTTATTAATGCGATGGTCACTAGTTTGCTTTCATGTACTAGCTGTCCGATGGGGTCTTCCCGGCTATACATTATTTTATCAACCTCTCTGATATGCTTACTTCTGATATCCTCTTTGTCTCTTGATTTAAACTTTGGAATTCGAACTTGATATCTCGACTTTTACTCGACTTTTACTCTCAAATCTGGCGTCATAGCTTACGTGCTGCAACAACAAGTGATAGGAGACTACTAGTAGAGGACTAACCCTCCGATTTGGATTTTCTTTCGTTTTGGTTGTCCTTTGCGTTGCATCTCGGTGGATGGCATTGTTCCATGCCTCCCCCTGTACTTTTATGCAGGACTGGTCTCACAACTATAACCAACCATTCAATCAAACTTTCCCGAGCATTCTCGAGAATCTAAAGGGACGGACCTTATCCGGAACCGAGCATCAAGCGATCACTCGCCAATTAGTGTACATAAACGTCGCGGATTTAGCGTCTTACTGCTGGTGGCTGTATTTTAATTGTGAGCTCGGGATCAGAGCCTAGACAGTAGAAGGAGCCTTTTCTCAGGGCAGGTACACTGTTCTCCAGCGGTTGATATGGTTTTTCCAGCAGATGATATGATTTCACTTCCTTGTTCATGAATCCAAAATTGGATTTGATGAGAGGTCTCAGTGCAGAAGACTCCGGAGTCATGCGATTGTTCCAGCAGAATTCCTTGTGACCACACATAGCGCACAAAACTACAAATGTATGCGGATACAGTGAGAGAGTCGAACGAGGATTTGAGAGTGGATGTATGAAAGAGAAGGATTGCAAATCGGAACCAGGCGGGAAGAGTCTCCTCGAAGGCTGTCGCCGTCAGCTGCATGCCGGAGACGAAATAGATTGAGGAATTGATTGGCGAGCAGAGTGTTGAAGTAGAGGCAGTGATGGCGTCGAATGGAACCCTGGAGAATGGATCGAGCGATAATTCTAAGATCGTCAAAGCTTGGCTCTCGTATTTGGACGAGGCCTTGCAAAAGCAGGACATCGCGCACCTGGTGACGCTCTTCGACGAGGAAGAATGTTTCTGGCGAGATATGCTGGCATTCACGTGGAACTTATACACCGCGGAGTCCAGAGATGAGATTGCGGCCATGATGAATTCGACACTGGCGACTGTGAAGCCGAGCGGATGGGAGCTCGACGGCGAGGTGGAGGAGAAGGGCGGGGCTCTGCAGGTGTTCCTTAAGTTCGAGACCTCTATCGCAAGAGGCCGCGGTCACCTGCGGCTCAAAGGCGGCAAATGCTGGACTCTGCTGACGGCCATGACCGAGCTCAAGGGATACGAGGAGCACCTGGGCTCGGCACGCCCCATGGGAGTGAAAAACGAGAACGTCCCCGGTCGCAAGACGTGGCTGGAGGAGCGCATGCAAGAGCGCCAAGAGCTCGGCTACAAGTCGCAGCCTTACTGCGTCATCGTGGGGGGCGGCCAGGCCGGAATTGCCCTGGCGGCGAGGCTGCGGATGCTCAATGTGCCCGCCCTCATCATCGAGAAGAACGCGCGGCCCGGCGACTCCTGGCGCAATCGCTACAAGTCCTTGTGTCTGCACGATCCGGTCTGGTACGACCACTTGCCGTACCTGCCATTCCCGAGCAATTGGCCCGTGTTCTCCCCGAAAGACAAGATGGGAGACTGGCTCGAAGCGTACACGAACCTCATGGAGCTCAACTATTGGTCCTCGACGGAATGCAAGTCCTGCACTTACAATTCGGCCGACGGCGTCTGGGAGGTGAGCGTCGTGAGGTCGTCGGGCGGCAGCGAGAGCGAGACGATCCAGCTGCGCCCGCAGCACCTCGTTTTGGCCACCGGAATGTCGGGCATGCCCAATGTGCCGAAGTTCCCCGGCGCGCAGAGTTTCGAAGGCTTGCAGTGCCACTCGAGCAAGTTCCAGACGGCCGACGACTGGAAGGGCAAGCAGTGCGTCGTCATCGGCTCCAACACCTCGGCGCACGACATCTGCTCCAGTCTGTGGGAGACCGGCGCTGCGCAGGTGACCATGGTGCAGAGAAGCTCGACGCACGTCCTGCGCGTCAACACCTGCCTCAACAACCTCGCCCGCGACGGATATGGCGAGGGCGGGCCTCCCGTCGACACCGTCGACCTCGCCTTCGCTTCGGTTCCGTATAAGATTTTCCACAGCTTTGCCATACCCGCCATGCAGCGGATCGCTAAGGCCGAAGCGCCCTTCTACGAGGGACTCTCCAAGGCAGGCTTCGTGCTGGACTGGGGTGCCGATGGATCGGGGCTTTTCACCAAGTACCTGAGACGAGGAGGTGGTTATTACATTGATGTTGGCGCATCGGAACTCATCTCGAACGGATCGATCAAGCTGAAGAGCGGAGTCAGTGTACAGGAAATCAAACCGAAATCGATCGTTTTTAGCGATGGCTCCGAGCTGCCCGCCGACCTCATCGTTTACGCCACGGGCTATGGCAACATGAACCAGTGGGCCGCCAAGCTGATCTCGCAGGAGGTGGCCGATAAGGTGGGCATGGTATGGGGATTGGGATCCAACACCACCAACGACCCAGGCCCTTGGGAGAAAGAGCTGCGGAACATGTGGAAGCCCACTCAGCAGCCTGGCTTATGGTTCATGGGCGGAAACCTTCATCAGTGCCGCCACTACTCCCTCGTCGTGGCTCTTCAGCTCAAAGCTCGACTGGAAGGCATTCCCACTCCCGTATACGCCCTTCCCAAGGTCAATCATGCTTGAGTCTGACATTCTCTCTACAGGCTGAGCATTTCGTTGTCTCCGCAAATCTCTCCCGCTCTTCTGAATTACTTGTACATTTCTAAGCTTGTGTGAATAAACTATAAGATATTAGCCTGTAGAACATGGCCATATCGCTGAGGACCGATTGAGCTTGCTGCTGGCCAAATGATGGTTGGTGTCACAGTTTAGCCTAACTTCATGGTTATCCTAAATTGCTTCTCTTTTGCTGGCACAATCTTGTCATGCTCCCCATCCCGGGGGAACAGCGAACTTCAAAATTGTCCAGACAATAGTGAAGTACTCAGTAAACCCGACTCTCTCGAAGGGTTCAATCTGAGTTCAATTATCGAGGGTGTTTACTGTCGATATTTGGAAACTGCCAGCTGCAATTCACTGTCACTTCCACCACAGACAGCATCATTAAGGCAAATAGACGAGGCTAACTGATCCCATACTAGTGCGACAGCTCAAATTTCACTTAAAAAGTATCTAGAAGTTTGCAAGTACTTCCGATATATACACTCCCAGGAAACCCTGCACAAGTGAGCCTACACTCCGAAGAAGGGAGAGTCGACTGTCCTGTAGTGTATCGAACGTGGGGTCTGCCAAAGTAAGATGATATATATGTACATACTGAGTTTGATATTATGTAAGTATAGAGTATCGTTCGCGCATCATCCTTTCAAAACTGACTGTGAGCCAGATGGAAGCGAGCGTCAAATTACTAGCCCTAAATTTGCTTCTTGATGTTGGACTCCGAGCGTGAGTCCGTCTACGGTTCGGGTGCTGTGTCTGCACTAGATTCTTGTTCCACTGATATTTTCTTCAGGGTTGTGGCGTTCCTATCGATGATGTACCATTCACGAGAGCTAGAGGGTACCAAAAAATCCTTCAAAAGTACGGTTGTAAGCTTTCACGTGAACCAATTCTTAAACTACTTCACGAAATGAGAAAGTGTTTAATCGGGTCACCTCTTCCAACACGTGGACATCCCCTCATTATTCCAAGTCGAGAACCGTTTCTGGACTATCACTGCCTGTCAATTTTTTTCTCATTCCCACGCTTCAATTACGTCATGGCATGATAACAAAAATTCGATTCCGTTCAGTTGGTCAATGTCCAAACCAAGAAGACTTATGCGTCTGAAGACTCCACGGTCTTGTCTTTGTACCATGGTTCAATTTAAGCACATGTCACAATTCCAGTAGACAAAACACCCGTGGCTATAAAACAATATCACTCCTCCATACATACTGGCCAAGAATTTATTTCCGATGGCTCATGATACCGCCAATTGGCATCGTTACACTTCAGTTGGCTGTCACATTCTTCAGTCCCCACACCACTTTATCTTGAGTAATTCAAAAGCTGTGATTGCATTAGACCCGACTTGCTTTTTGGATCTTTTTGGAACATAATTTTGGATCTTCTCTTCTCTCAACTTACTTTCATTCCTTTCTCTGGAAATTTCTCTATAATTTTTGCCCTCTTTATTTATGCAAAGACCAAACGTATCTAACAGAGATGAAAGTGTCGACCATTGTAGCTTACGGCTCATACATGAGCTATATTATTGTTCAAAAAAAGTCGATGGTGAATTTAAAAAAGTTGGATGAAATAGAAAAATATATAATTGTGCCTAAAAATCTTGTATGAATATATACAAATGTCAAAGCTATTATATTTCTCTTCATCTCATATGTTTTACATCATAATTTTTATACGTTTACTCGGCAATCAATGATATCAAATATATGTTTGTATGATACAAACAATTGATAACATCTAATGTTGTCACTTTAATTTACTTTGAAATTTCATTCTTTCAAAGAATGATAAAAGTTAATCATGTCATTGTTACTTTCTTCAATTATGAACTAGACATGCTTCCTGTTAAAATTTGAAGCTTTGGTCACATATCTTTAATTTTTTTTTCAATATTATATTTATTTGTATTTATACTTATATAATAAAAAAATTATTCTAAAATATTACATATAATTTATTCAAGCCTAAATAGTACAGATACTAAATAGAAAATTTGCATAATTGGATAAGATTACTTAAGAATAAATCTCATAATACATTTTTAACACTCAGATATGTGTGTAAACGAATGTGTAGTTGTTCTCACTTAGATAAAGTCTACATGAACACAAGTTTGTTAATTCAAACCTTAATTTTTTTCATCAAAATTTACTATATTAACTTAAAAAAATCCAAAAATATGGTTTTTTAAAGAATTATGTTTTGATTCTAAATAATCTTTTAAATTTTAGTATTTTCAAAATATCTTTAATGTACTCTAGAAAAATCAAATAAACTATTAACACCAAAAAAAATTTGAATTCAATGAATAGAAATTCAGATATTAACATTAAACTAATTTTTAAAAATTATGATTTTTGAAACACACAATTATAATCAATTCTTCCATATATCGAATGAAAACTAATATGATTGTTTATGGAACGGCTAGTTATCGGTCACTAAGAGTTAACTAGCTCTCACTCTACAATAAATTCCTATCTGATTTGGTGGATACAATGATATAGGTTTCGTGGGATGAATATCAATTACTTCTAAAATAGATGTTAGCTCAATCAGAAAATAGCATATAGTAGGTTGAGGATAACTAGCACTCCCTTGTTTATTGTTACATTCTATATAATCAATTTGATTATAATTCATATTTTTTTAAATAAATTTACTTTATTCATGTATTGAGATGTATAATTTTTTATGATATATACAAAAATTGCTAGAATTTTTTCTTTGAATCATATTTAATGAAAAAATATATGTACTCAACACAATTTTTATTGAAATTAATAATTTTACACAAAATTTTCATATTTACACAAAATGCTATAAAATTTCAAAAAATCTTGTCTCAATGAGATAGATATTTTGAAAATATTATCATTATGCATTGTATTTTTCCAAAATTACAATAATTTTGAATTAATGTATGATGTCAATTTATCATATCATGATATAAATTAATTTAGTATATTACAAACTACTATACAATTCATAACACATTGTTTTCAATTTGATGTAAATTTTTGGCATTAACATCGTACGAAAATCATGGGTGATAAAAAACCACAGTTTTGGATCTTGAAGCTAATCATTCTCATTTTCAAATTTCAAACCAATAAAAAATGCAATGCAATTTTTATACAAACAATTTATTGCCTAACCAAATTTATAATACCTTTTTTAATTTAATTTGTAATCCATTATTTATAAGGTTGTAACTCTTTGCGATTTGAGAATTGACGAGACCTAGGCGCGGAAGGAACCGGGTCCGGTCTACGTGGGCCATTCGAGCATCGACAGTATGCCAGTTATGGAGGAAGATCACGGGCCGAGAGAAGCCGCTCCGCATGGGGAGACGCTATGTACGAATGTTTTGGAATGGACTGAGCCGGGGCTGAACAGAGCGGGTTGGCAGAACTGGGACTCCGGGTGTCGGCAACGACGGGGAGGAATGGCGGGCCGGGCGAAGGCGAGCGCGATAGCGGGGCGGAGGAGGACGGGCCGGCTGGAGAGCGAGTATCAAGAATGCATATTTCAGAAGTTTATTAAGAATTCATCCGTATTCATTATCTTTGTATGAATCCATTGAATTAATTATTTTTTGAGATTTTACTTTTGCATCTATATAAAAAAAATATAAAATATATGTGGATAGAATTTGATACCTATTTATTCATAAAATAAAAATATTCATAGCCAAATATTATGTTTGTTACGAAATTCATGTAGTTTACTGGATTCAAATCATTTTATAAGGTAAGCCCATATCTTAAATAGCTAAATAACAATGATAATGTCAATCTTCTCAGATTTATTTATACGGTTATTGTGCTAGTTGTTTCAATTTTAGTATTTTTTTCCAATTAAATCTCATTCAATTGAAAGCACTAAGTTCTACCGTGTCAGAGGTAAGTTGAACCACACTGCAAATCTACTATCATTTCTATCATTTCTTTTGTGATCTGAGAGACGACAAGTGGATTTACTTTCTTGTCTGTAAACACATTACTCCACCGATTGGTGTGACATCACGGCTTGTTTTGATACCAATTGATCTCACTATCGCACTCGATGATGCTGCTAACCCTCCAGTGGTCAAATTCAACGATTCTTTCATAACAATCAACATTAGATTGTTCATTCAAAATTTTAACAATTTATCCGATGAGCAATTATTCATATAACAAATCTCGACAATTTACACTTCCTGCACTTCCGAAAATTTCGGTCGCCAATTTTAGACTTCGATAATACAATCTATAACTTCCACATTGAGGGAGGATTTAAAATTTTCTGTCAGAAACTCAGTGCTTTTATTGTGTATTTCATTTCCCTGTGGGCTCTTGCATCAAAAATATGATGACAGTATAAGATATGAAAGGCTCAGTCGTTCTATTGAAAGCAGTGGCTATCAAATGAAGGTTTTGTCAACGCTTTCTGGTGTAACTGTGAGAGTTTAAATGCTCTGGATCCTTTCTTATATCCACAGCAATTCTATGCCTACGCTGTGTTGCTCTGAACCAAATATATACTGGTGAAGTCAAGGGAGGGTTATATAGAGAAGAACTCTCCCGACAGTCCCGATATAAAAAAGAACCAAGTATTCAAAGCTTACGGGAAATCCTTCGGCCGATTGAGGTCGATAACAAGTTGCTCTGTCCTAAAGTGAAGGGAATAAGTCGTAGTTCTTTCGTACCCTCTTTTTCTCTCCTGTTAGGAAAAAAACTGTATAAATGGCGTGGTATAAACCTACATCTGTAAACTGTCCCATTTTCTCATGAATTTTATCATCAATCAGCTTTGCCGATTAGTTCCGGGAGTCTCTAATTTTATTGCTTATGATGCTGCATTCGACTAGCTTTATATGCCAAGAATTCAAAAGGTGAACTTGGTTGAATAAGGGTTGGAAAGCTGGATATAAAGAATGGAGGTGCGAACTAGACAGGTCAGACGAAGTTACATCAGGAGGGACGAAGTTACATCAGTCTCAGTGTCGCCACCAGGGTTTCTCCCTTTCACCAGAAAATAGTAGACGGGGAAGGATACGAACATGAATACGAAAGCACATGCAGATTGGAAGAAGCTGGACGATATTGTTGAGAAGACCAAATACCTGCATTGAGAAAGCCAACCGTGATCAACAATCTTTCCAATGTTTCTCATATTTCAATACTGCATGTATAAATACAAAACAAAAAAAAAAGTAAAAAGGCAGCCATTCAGATCGGCAGACTTACACGCAAGTACAAATGACTATAATGGGTACCACTGGATGGAAGGGTACTCCGTAAGGGCGATGTAAATCAGGCAGCTTGTGGCGTATCTGAATTTGGGCCGCAGCACTTAGGCCGTAAATAAAAAACGATGCTGCCCCGAAGTAGCTAAGAATCTGTTTAACATATCAAGAGCGACACAAAAAAAATCATGAACGTAGATGACATTGCCATCATCAATCTTTTGACTCATTGGTTGGGGCCAGAATAGAACATCACCGTCTGAGCAACTTAGAAACATGAATTACAGTTTCGACCCTACCGTGTTGCAGATAGCCTTCACAAAAACCTCTAAATACTTCTACCTCACGAATCAGGAATCAATGTATTAGCTATGAGCATTCCCCTGTTTGTTCTTCAACTCAGAATAGATGTGCAACCTTATCTTGAAGAGGGAAGTAACTGCTAAGCTGCATGCTGGCAATCAATATGCATGAGAACCAGAAAACGCACATAAAGGTGACGGTTATGTCTTTCAAAACCAGAAAGGGGCCAACCCCAGAGACGGTCCTACTTTACAAAAGTAAACGAAAAACATTACCTCTAAGAAGTTGCTGGACCATGAGAGGAGGAGGACAGACCAAGCGCCCTGCAAAAACAATATTCTCCATATTGGAGACAGAGTCAAATTTAGACACCTTGAAGTGAGACCCATAGTCATAATGGACTTCCAAAACTACACTGCAGAGTATTAGCAGGTGTAGGTAGACAATTCATTTCTTTTTTCGGGGTAGCGTGGTTGTGTGCGAAACAAATCAACTGTATTACAACAAACATAAAATTATGAAATAGAGACAAGTTAATCCAAAAGTAACTGCTAGCTTTTCTCTGTTTCATCATGTATGATTCGTGAGAATACTTTCAATCTATTTCGCGCAAAACAACGCTATCCCGAAGATGGAAATGAACCGAACTATCTTCACGAAACCTGTTCTTTTGAAGTAATGAGGAAAATAATCGGAACTTAGTATTATGTCAAGAACTTAGAGATCATGGATCATTCCAAGACGCTAACCTGGAATATAAGAGCTGTAGTTGGAGCACCAGTTAACTCACTGACATACCCCAACCAACGATGGGCTTCACCACTTTTTGCAGCACCATACTGTAAAAATCACAGGAGTGATTAATTCTACAAATGGCATGTATATAGAAGGAAACAAATTGTTTCTCTGCCATATTTTGTACTACGTTGATATTCTGAAAAAAATGATCGAGCAAACGCCATTTCAAAATATCACATATTCTTGTAGACATGTAATTGCATGTCAAAACAAAAAAATATAGCTCAAAAGAGAGGCAGCTCTGCGCTTCAAGATTAGGCTGAAGAACTCTCTGTAAAGAAGATTGCTCCACCAACTTTGCAAGGTTCTAATCGAACGTCTATCTCAATCTCAGAATGGTGGCACATAAAACCATACTATGGTCATATAACTCCTCTTATGTGCCCACACTCTGCACGCTGCAGTGCTATATAGTGGGACATTGATAACCCGACCATATGAGAAAGCACACAAGGTGAGCAGATGAAGTGAAACAGTGAAGCAGCAGGAAACAGAACAGTATATCCAACAGAGTAGCTAATTCAGAAATTTGTTCACCTTTGTGACAGGTGTAACTGTCACAAAGCTTAACAAATTTCTCCGTTCAATTTACTATGTGGCATATGCTGGAGCAGAGACTTTGACTATTGGAGCGTACCAGATAGCGTCCACCGCACATGATAACACCGTTAATTGAACCCAACAGTGAGATAGAGACTATGATGGCTATCCACCTTCCTGCACCTTGACCTATAACTACCTTTCCCAAATCCATTGCGACAGTGACAGACGACTGCACATCTGCAACCCAATAACCACAGCAAAACAAGATAGTAGTACACTTATCAAGAGACATGTTCAGGTCATATCGACGAACTACTCTCTATGACGTGGATAGCTAGAATATGCTCAAAAGAGTCTTCGAAATATGATAAGACTTACTGCTTCTCACAGCTATCTGCGAAACTAAAGATGAGTTTCCAGCGTGAAACTGCGTGGTACCTTGCAAGACCATATATCCATAAACTAGCTTTTAACACTGGTCAAACTACAAAAACACACTACCCTTTTACAACAAATGCTCCTAAAAACAAAACCACACAATGAGATCGTTTCGCACTCTCGATGTTTCTTACCTGTGGAAGGAAGCACAGAAAGGAATGACAAGTTGACAGCTAGCTGCGGCAGAACCATCCAGATATCAGCATCTCAAAACCTTGTAAACAAAGTGTATGTCTAGCATTTGAAATATCATCGAATCCGTCGCTCTGAATGATGATAAGGGTTTTTTGCCTGTCAGACATCAGCTTCACAATGATTTCAAGAATTGAAATATAGCGCAACTTCTTTCAGGCATTTATAACTTACTTCCTTTCATTAGTAACTTGCAGACTTATTATGAAATATGGAAAGCAGCTAACATGCGTATTGGACAACTGAAAACTGAGATGGAAACTATTTTTTCCCGTAGTTCCATGTTTAATATAAGGTTTGCCATTGGAAAAAAACACGGGTAGAGCTTATTTAAGAGGTTGGAACAAACATAAGTTATTGTCACGATTGCAATTGAATAAAAGGCTGTACGAGGAATATCTTTCTCTGGATTTTTCATCTCCTCCGCAAGAAAAACAACATCACCCCTGAATCATCACAATTTCAACAATATAAATAACTATACAATAAGATGACAGTCGAAGAAAGAAGTAGAGAACTTGCACGTGAGAACAGCACTGAGGGGAAGAAATCGCAACTTCAAGTAATAGTGAACTCACCACCCACAAAAAGCCCACAGGGCAGCCACCATACTTGGACCAAACCCAGAGAGTGAAGATCCTCTAAAAGGCTGTGACATATTCCTTTCCAGCACTGTTCTATCGTTGATGTAGAAGCTGATGCCTAAGACAACAACCAATGCAACAAGGGCAGCCTTACAAGCGCCAAGTAGATTCTGTACCACGGCACCAAAACGAACACCTGGGCGATGTCACGCATAAATATCAGACATTACATTACGGACGTCCAATATTGCCAGACAACTGCAGTGCCTTGATATGTGTCGACAAAATGCAACAACCGATCATCTCCTTTAGGCATTGGTAGAGAAGAACTAACCGGCACAATTCAAAAAAGTAAGCATGACAACGCACAATATGGCAATGTACTTGACTCGCACATCGCCATTCAGTTCCCCATGTTCTATTTCAACAGATGAAATCTGCGTAGACGACATGTAATATTATATGAGACATGATCCACATTACTGAGTGAGCATTTTCGGCTTTATCCTTTCAAACGTTTCATGCTACAGAAGCTGATTTACGGAACAAATCAACCATTCTCGTGTGGTTTTTTAACGCCCAAATTCTGGATCTTGTATCTGAATAACTTCGCTGATTCTATGAGTTCCTTAAATTTAAAATCAAGAAGTTGCAACATGCGTGGTGTCATCACATGTCACAGTCTAACAAGTGAAACATATCGCGAAGCAAGACTTTCCCACGAAGGTTACCACATTCGAGTTGTAATATCTCTAGCTCATCCTTAGAACTATGCAATTGTTATGGTTTCTGAGATCCACTTACACCGGATAAGAGATACTGAGCAAACGAAGTGGCAATAAGATTAATACTTCCCGCCGTGACGGCGAAGAACATAGTCCAAACATAGAAAAAAGACCAGGGTCTCCCAAATGCCACCTGCAGATTCAAGTTCACGCTCTTCAGGCACTCAAGATAAATTTTGGAAACAATTTTAGAGGCTGATCAACACAAAGCTGGACCAAGACTACCCTCCCTTGTTCGATCGGAATTTGTATGGTTAGGTTCGTATCGAGGTGATATCTGTGGAACGTTCTAGTCATTTACTTCACCTATGCAGAGAAGTGAATATTTAGACAATGAAGTCCGCAGTTTCTGGGGAGAAAGGACTCGGACTTAATTTCTAGCATACTTAATCTCGCCCAAAACTCAATTTGATCTTGACTTGTGGTCTACATCCAGAGCTCGACGTGACGCTTTCTAATAACGTAAAGGTCAATGTGTCAATCTAAATTCGACCGACCTTGAAAAATGCGCCACTTCCGCCAGCCAATGGTATGCTTGCTCCTAGTTCTGCGAATGTAAGTGATGATAAAAGGGCCAACAATCCAGCTACAACCCACGATAGGAGACCCGCGCCAACACTTCCAGCAGCTAGCAGCACCACTCCGGGTGAAGTAAATATCCCACTACCAACTATGATCCCCACGTTGATACTGCACCAAGAAAATGCGTCACCTCTCTAGTCAGCCGAGGGCCTGCACACCTTGTAGACTATGACAAGAGGGCCAGCATTGGTTTTTGTGAATGAAACTTCAAATTATCGCTAATCGGCTTTAGTAAAATTTCAGGAACAGTTCCACACATGACTAAAACATTATCGTCGATCTCCAGCACTTTGTGCCTGGCTTCTAACTTGGGAGATCATCAGCCATCCTGTTGTCATTTGGTCATCTGAAACCCGTAAACTGGTCCCGAAACCTCATTATATGTCGTTGAATTGTTAAGTAGTCACTTCCAGAAAGTTTGTGGTCCCATTCTTCATGAGGAATTCTACGAGATATCTCTTGCTCCGTCTTCGTCGATTTTCGCTACTTTCGAAAAAAAAATTATTTTTGATCAATCTAAGTCTGGGGAACACTCGCGTAGCAATGTCAAACTCGCCCTCTCTCCCATTCACGAGCTTGTCCACATTATATAATGATCAGTAAACAGTTGCCATCAGCAGGTGTGTGTCATTGGGCTTTAATTTTGTCCGATTCCAATGTACGTCAATGGATGGTCACACGATCGTAAGGAAAACAATTTCGCTGGATGTTGATTCTTGACTGGAATGCTAGTAGAGATGTTGGGATGTGTGGCAAGGACTGACAGTTCATGGCTCGAGCACGGTACTGGACAATTGAAAGTTTCTCACAATCTGTTTTGATCCCGTAACATCATATGCGTCTTGGACTGAGCAACCGCTTGTAATTACAGTATCAGGTCAACTTGTTCAGGGCATCCACAAAACAGATGAGAAAGCTCCAGACTGATGTGATAATTTATGAGCTCCCAGCGCAACCACATGCATGTTGCATATATCACTAGTCTCACCCACCTGAGAGAATCAAAGAGGCTTAGCTCTCGCCTCAGTTTCACGCCACTGGCACGGAGTAGAGGCTCCGAATCCCCGTTCCTGTGAGCAACTCCAATTCGTGGAGAAGCATCTCTGGCAGCCTCAACGGGAGTAATTTGTGATGCCATTCCCGAGGGACGAATCACGCGTCCTGCAGTCATCCAACCTCCTCGATCACCCTGGAACTCCGACAATTCGACGAAGAACCTGAATTCAGCTTACTCGTCAACGGGGAAAGAAAAACCGAAAGATGCCTAGATCATAGTCACGACAAACACCATACTCAATTTAAGCCTCCGGACCCACTAACTGGTCCATGGGCATACACGTAGTGTGCCTCAAAAGCAGCAAGAAAGTAGGCGAGCCCGACAGCTGATGAGCGCTCAGTCTGTCAGCGATTGCTCACCCATATTCCCAAACTTCAAGGACTAATCCTTGCCCACACTATACTTCTGTCTAAACTGCACATCTAGTCTGCCTAGTATTACATCACAGTTGCGTTCCTCACCTTCGTATATAATCCAGAAAAAACTGGCCCGCACGTCCTTATGCCCTTCTCACTGTTGAGCCAGGAGTCTAGACGTAGCTCCACCAGTTATGTTGCCTTTTCCAAAATGCTCGTCCATCGACCTGGCTGGATAGCATACATCTTAAATTTATTCTGTCCAATCCTCTGGGTCTGACTTCAGCGCCAGGTCCCAACAAGCCCCTTTCTGTCCTTCTCATTAAGGAGATAAGAAGTACATAACCTCAACGCGTTAACGAAACCCTCGTCGAGTTTCATCGTCTTCCTCACTTTTACTCTCGGAAGATTATTATTATTAGTTCTGGAAAACAACCACGCGCTTTCGAAGTCGTCTCTTCCATCCTTCTATCTTGTTCCTTCTCATAAGCTATGCTTCATGGCAGTTACTCCGACCGCCCATCCTTTGCTTTTCCTTCACACTTGACGCATTCAATCTCACCACCTCCACCAACCTCCAACTTGCTACCTGATCATCAATCGACAACGAAGAATCAATCAGCCCTCACGATAAGCGTTTGCAAGATCGGATGTGCTCACGTAAGGGAGCACATCAACCTAAAGATCATTCGATCTTATGTCATTCCAGTCAAATTCGACCACTAATCATCTCGTACATGCATCTCATGGGATCATCGCCACAATTTACTCGACCATCGACGTCAGGCGTAGGAGGAGGGGTCATAGATCAGAAGTTGGACGACGGTGAACTGGAAACCACGTATCAACAGGCCAGCGTACAAACAAATGCACTGACGCGATCGTATTACCGTAACACGGCATAATCAGTGCGATGCGATGCCTTCGCCTTTCTGTTACGGTAGATTCAGCTCATGATTATATCACTGCGTTGCGGATGTCGATGCTCCTCGTCTCAGACATTTGTTCATCTTCTCGAAGTTCTGCCACGGAGTCCTTTCTATACACGGTACCGTACGTCGCCACTGTGCTGCCAAGTAAGCTGAGGTCACGGACACATGGCCCACATTTGCAGGTATTGAGTGTGCCAAGTCAGCCACATCTGCAGCGATGTACATCGTCAGCGACACGTCAGTTGGACACCCAAGTGTACAGGTATGCATCCTTCGTCTAGGATATCGATTAATACAGTCCAAAGGATGGTAAGACCCATCATCGCGCGGAATGAACATTTTACCCCAGATTATCTTAACTTATCTATTGTATATAGCTATTATCTATATATCTATTGTATAACCCATTCGCATCACTGATTTCCTATAGATGATAACTATAACAGTTTACTTTCTACGGAAAGTTTGAATTCATGTAAGAATGAAAGAGTCATACATATCTGCAAATTTTCTAAAAGCAAAAAAAAATTTCAAAGTATTTCCATGACTAACATAGACTTCTCGAATCAGCTCTGAAATCTTCGATCAGGTGAAGGTCTACAACGTCGTTTTCCTGGTGATCACTCTCCGTTTAATAAAGGATACGGAAAATCTCCTAATTGTTTCAATTTGACATTCCTTTATTTATGTTGTAGAAGCTGTGATTTTCGTTTTATTGACCTTGCCGTTATGGCTATGTACGCTAAGATCTGCAAATTAATAATTTAATTTTCTAACCAATATTTAACTGTAGCTTGTCTTGATATTGAAGATCATTCATATCATTGTTCGTTCATAGACCCATTGAATAAATCTGGTTAATACTTCTAGTGAATACGTCTCATTATCATGATAGAGATATTGATGCAATCTCATCTTTGTTTAATCCGATATTATATATTAGACATTGTATATGCATTCCGAAATGAATTTCTTTTGAATTGATGATGCTTGTTTGATTACTCATTCTATGACTCATATGAGCATGTAGACGACGGAATAATCACTATTGAAAGCATAGCGGCAGTATATTGGCACTTATCTAATAAAAATACAATATCAAATAATGAAATACAACAACAGAGATATCATATGCATGACATTGGATTGTTGTGTAAACTATTGAATAATTAGCAACACAAACTCAAAATAATATCTTTGACATATCATATTATCTTAAAGTTAAGATGTGTCGTATACATTGAAAAGATAATAGTGCCCAATCAAGTAGTATGTATATCTTGTATATATTGGCAACAATGATGATACTATTGGGATAAAACACAAATTTATTCAATTTTTATAAATTTTCAATATCATGAAATCTGACTTTTATATTACAATCTAATTCTAAATTGGATGCATGTCAAGTATAAATTTTTTATGTATAAATATAAACATATTAAAAACATAAAAATAAATTTTTCTAATGTGACTTGTATATCTTTATCTTTGATTCTTTCTTCATTCAAAAATATTAAATAACTTGTATCTATGATCAATAACTAAATTTACAAATTCCATCAAACATTTTTAATCTTAAAATTGTAATTTAAAGATTAGTGAAATTGAAAAATATTATGCAGACAAAATAAATACAAATTTATTTATTTATAGATTCTCTTATCAAATATACATTTATTAATATATTAAATCATAAATTTAAAAAATTGCAATAAAAAGTCAAATTTCCCATATTCAATAAATTATCTAATCTGAAAGATGCAATTTCATTACATACATTTGAAAATATATTATTACAATAATACTTATACTAGTCTAAAAATCAAATAAAATAAAATTATCAAGATATGCATTTAAATCTCACTTGACATCTAATGAAAAAGGGATTTGATAGGTACACATCCTCGTTACTGCATACACACCCTCCTCCCCCGCGGCACTTCAACCACCCGCGCGATGAAAAACAAAAAAAGGCGCGATGAAAAAAAAACGTCACACTCTGCAAGTGATAATAAACTCATGAGCTTATTTTTGATCTAGATACTTTGCGTGCACATTTTCTTGGAGGACCTCAATTGCCTTGTGCTGGTCCATGTGCTTGCACAGGATTGTGCGCCACAGTCACAAGCTCAAAAGCACTCGGATCACGGCGTGTTGAGTTGTCAGCTTTAGTGCGCTTTCCACGGGATCCTTTTGGACGTCTATGCACTTGTTTAATGTGAGCTGGATCTTGCACAGGTTCTAAAGATTGTTCCTATGAAAGTAAAACAAGTGTGATGTGCAGGATTTGCTGTTGGTGTGGTGGAAGCTAATCATTATGATCTTGAATTTGCTAGAACGTCTCAAAAGCTACGGTAGCGGTTCGATTTCAATGCCCTACGCATCCAACGGTATCAATAGCGGAAGCTCACGCGCCTTGTCAAGCCACCAATTAAGAAAAAAGTCCGCCATTTAGCGCCTCTCCATTGATGCTAGAATGTCACGGATACGGTGAGCACACGGTAGGTCCATTTTTTTATGAACACATCGGTTTACGAAGTAGCAACGACTCCAAATTGTCGTGTCTTGTGCAGCTAATCCTTGATCAGCTTTAATGCATGGTGTGAGACTTTTCGGCGTATATCTGCCCAAATATCACTATATTGTGAGACTAGTGTATTTGCACAATCGTAAGCAATTTTAAGTTGGATCACAGTCTCCTGTTGTGAGATCGTGCATTACGTGGCCTCCGTTGTTCCGATCATGAGCATGACAAATATTCTTTGAGTGAGCCTCATCAATAAGCATTTTAATGAAAAAACTCCCGGCCAATACTTCTTTTCAAATTGTTGATTTGACGTTATAGATGTTTCGTGGATAGAGGACGCACGATGAATCGCTTTGGCGGATAGAGGCCAAAATCACTTTTAATGCTACCCATGCTTTGACAATGTGTGGATGCTTGACTTCTAAATAGCATTCAGCTTTCGAGCAGCTATATAGGCGGAAAGTTTGCAAGCACCGTTGTGATTCTTGTGCTCCTTTTGCACAACAGAAACACGCCATTTATAAGATACATCGGCGGCTTGCGCTATTACTTCACTGAAAATGGACATTCAGAGGTTCTAGAAGAGCACTTGCGCTTGCGATTGTCATCTGTGAGGTTCTTACGCATGTTTTTATATTGGCCGCCTTTTGCTTATTCAAGCCAGATTTTGCTTGCCACGCGCTTGCTTTTCTTAGAGTGAGCGTGTAGAAGAGTATATTACTCTATGTTGGCATGTGCCATAATTGCAACTTCTTCTGCTTCAAACGAAGCAAAGACAACTTCCTCATGTGTTGGTCTTAGCACTGCGGTATGCAAAAGTGTGCGTGTGGTAGTGTGTGGCAATTTTTTATTGTTCAAAAGCTTGTAGCTTGAATAGGAAAAGTTGTTCGTTTGTCTCAATTCGTTCTTCTCGTTGTTCGTTCATCGCGCGGGGGTGTGTACCTATCAATTTCCATGAAATAATATAGCCAATATTTTTAATCCTAGTTATAAAATTATAAATTCATTTATTGTATTTTGCATATATTTATGTGTTAGTTTTGTTTAGTATAGTACTCACAAGAATTCTGACAAAACTAACCAAAGCATAAATGATTTCTCTATCAAAACTTAGTCTAAAAAATGCTCGAAATATTTCACCAAGATCTTTGAACATCGCAAGTATTCTATGTAATTAACTATTTTTAAACTACAGAGATAAGCCAAAACTCTTGGCAGCTTTTAAAAATATGTGTTTTTATAATTGATAGTACTTAGATAGCAACATATTCCAAGAAAAAAATATACTTGATCAAATCTGTACAAAAACTAAATTGCAAAATAGATTGATCATCATTTGATCATCATCTCATCAACTAAAATATTTTTATCATGTTTATACACATATGTATTTTATATCTTTTCTCACATGTAAATATGATTTTTTTTTGGTTTTTTCCTTACAAAGAAGTATGAAATTGGTTTGAAACTTAGTTTTTTTATCTTATGTAAGATAATTTATATCTTTTTGAAATCTAGATCTACATAAAAAATATTGAAATAGAAAATTTGATGATGAGTTTTAGCTTATGATCATTCAAAATTAAAAAAATTAAATATTATTTAATTTTTTTCCAAAAAACAACCATATTATTGTAATTCAATTATTATTTTAAAATTAACATTAAAAAATTAATTTTTTTATTTCTATTCATTAAGATTTTTTTGTTGATTTTCATTTCTTAACTCTTAATGCAAAACCGATCAATACATTTATATTGTAAAATATCACTAATAAGTATATACCTAGTTGATTGCAAGTTATAAATAATTACGAAATAAGTAAATTTTTGTATGATAATAGAAATCATAAAAAATCTTAATTTCAATGAATTTTACAGTTTTTATTTTGTTAAAAATTTGATATAGAAGGAATATAAGAATAAATATATAATTTGATAGTAAAAAATACATTTAAATGTATTATTTTTTCAGAAATATACGTCAAATTATAAACTAAAAAAGACTCATAGAGTTTCAAATTTTTCAGTAGCAAAAAATCATTAAAAATTTTGGTTTAAAAACAACTAATTGAAATTTATAAATAAATTAGTTCTTTATTTTCATAATTATAAGCATGGAATTCCTTAAATATTATTTTTTAACAAATATTTTTGCGTTTCGAATTTTTTAATTCATTCAATTTATAATTTTATTAATCTAAAATTTACTATATCTTAAAAATAGAAATTCATCTTAACAATGAGATTTACAAATTAGATATAATTAAGCCCAATCCTTGCTAGCAGATATTTTCTTGATTAGTTATTGCAATTTCCCATATTATATAATACAAAATAATTAATAATGATAAATATAGTCATATTTGTAATTGAAAACTTGTTCCAAACTTCACAACTAAATTCAAAAAATATTTATTTAAAATTTCAAAAAATTAGCTTTAAATATAATTTCAAGTTTTTCTAGATATTTTATAAATTTTTAGGTGAACTAAATTATGTAACAATCAATATAATTGTTAAACGAGTATTCATGACTAAATATTTTTTAATTCATGAATGAAATATCAATCTGTGGCTTTTTACTGCTTTATATACTTATTTTTAAAGCCAAAGATACATGTTGATGAATATATACTTTGAATAATTTATAATTTATATTTTTGTTCTTTAACATGCATGATTTTTTAAAGTAACAAAGTTATGATATTAAATTCGACTTTTATAATAGATGAAAACATCATAATGCCTTACGAAGAAAATCTTACTATGCAAATGAGTTCATCTCTATGAAATACATTTTTTACAGGTGCAATGTCTAGGAATTGGAGGATTAAATATCACATCAGCACTCCAATACATGATCAATAAGTATATTTGATATACCAATGTGGATATTAAAATAAAAAGAAATGGCCAAAGAATTTCATGCATCATATTTTTTAAATCCTGACCGTGAGAACATGAAGATGAAATTGTTATAGTTTTAATCATCAGAAATATATGATGTGTGAAATTTACATTATAAATATATGAGAAGTGTATTTTAAGCTAAGTAAAAGAACACACCATGGGCACAATCGACATAAATAGCTAAACAAGAACCTAAGTTAAATAAAGGTAGTCCTTAATGTAAGTTATATTGAATAGTTCATGGCTTGGAAATATTCCCAAGTGTTACTGGAATGTCCAGCGAAGTATCCAAATACTACAAATGGCCAACAAGGGGAGCTAAAATGGAATAAAGTCCAGTAAGATGCTTATCAAGCACGACTCCAACCCATACAGGCCAAAATAACAACCCAGAATACTAAGTCGGAGGAGGAAAGTCGGCTGGATTAAACTCTAATTCGGGGCAGTGAATGCGCACATAGAATGAGCGCAACACGCATTCCTGCCAATATCCTGATACACTACGAACAAGAGTGAAGAAGCGGGTTTCGTCAGGGTGTTGATGTGGACCGCATAAAAATGATGTGCACCCACCATCCAGGTCAAGACATGGATGACTTTACGGCGCCGTGTATCTTTCACTCTCTTACCGGTTTACCTCATGCATTCGTTAACCGAAGGTTCTACCGTGGACGGAAGCCAACGGAAGATAAACGACGTAGAGTTCGGAAAAGCATGTCTGAGTCTGACGGTCAACCGGCCTCCCGTCCCACGCACTACAGTACTTCGAGGAAAGCCACATCTGACCTTTACAGCACATTCCTAACCACGTAGAGTCGGGTAAACTCTACGGGTTGCCTCCGTCTTCGCGGTTGATCCAGTTTACTCGGTCGCTTTCACACGCCCGTGAAACTACGGGGATGCTGTTGCAGTTGCTGTTGCGGTCACCCGGAGCCGGAAACTCCAGCTCCTTGTACTGATTCCCTGATAAGCCGGGAAACGAAGAGAATGTTGGGTTCCAAGATTCCCATCTCTATCGTGAAGAGACATACCCGAGAAGGTAGCCAGAGTTCACGGCGGGACGTAGTTACGGCAACTGGGGCCGAATGGGACAGAGTCTTGTTGGCCGGGCGAAGGGGTGTCCGCAACCGGGACTTCGAAGGGAGGGAGGAGCGCGACGGAAAGTGGAAGGTTAGGAGGGCAACGGAGGGGATGGGTGTGGAGGAGATTGTGGGGACCGGAGATATGTGTAGCAGGGGCCCTACAACTCCTGTCACAAATGTCGGTGCCGAATATCTGGAGGCCCCAACGAACACGCCGAATATGAGGTGCTTTGTCTGTCGCGATAGAGAGACCGCGACTGCTGGGGCCCTACTCGCACAGAAAGAGAGCGAGGGCCAGACAGAGGACTCACTTTGCTGCATAGAGAGCTCGAAGGTGATCTAGAGCTCTTGCGTTTCCGAAGCGGAGTGAGATCGGCGGATTTCTCGATCGGTCTTGCGAGAGGTCGTGCTGTTGCTGGAGAGCAGAAGCAGAGTTTTTGAAGAGTTCGAAGGCTCGAGATCTATGGATCCGGACAGCGTTGCGAAAGCTTTTGTGGATCACTACTACGCAACGTTCGATACCGTGAGGGTGAATCTCTTGGGGTATTATCAGGATGCTTCCATGCTCACCTTCGAAGGCGAAAAGATTCAGGGCGCACAAAACATCTATGCCAAGCTCACCAGCTTACCCTTCCAGCAGTGCAAGCACCACACCACTACCGTAGATTGCCAGCCATCTGGCACTGCCGGTGGCATGCTCGTGTTTGTCAGCGGTAACCTCCAATTACCTGGCGAGGATCACCCTCTGAAATTTAGTCAGGTACCAAAACCAACTCATTGTTTCCTTCGTGATATTTTCAGCTCGTAGGCGTGTAGTTGTATTGCTTCAAGTTCGTTTCTTGTCCTCATCTCGCTCCTGGAGAGATCATTGCCGAACGATGATGTGGACATTGCTCACATCTGCTCTTCCTCCCACCATCTCTTATTGATGGCTTACCCTTCCTGTGTATTGCACGAGGGCTTGTATCACTGTGTGGCTACGTCCCGTATTGTTGTACCTAGTTCGTTTAGCTTTGCCCGTCATGATAACATGATGCATGACATCTTTAAGGTTGAAGCGAAGTCATCCAAGATTTCACTCTTTCCTCGTCGATTTTAATGCCAATGAATGTTTCCTATTCGTGGCAGTAACCTATTACAGAGAACGGATACTCTTGAAGTCCAACTCCCTCTACCTTGGAACGCAGGATCTTCTCTGAGTTTCTTGCCTTGGTTCTTTCCCAGCAGGGTCTTTGCGGAGTGCTTTGGCTGCAATTTTTTGTCTACCCTTTTAGCGTTTGAATTTATTGAACTGGGAAAGAACAGTCCAGTGTCATTCTATTTCAAGTATGCCTCTCATAGTTCGCGATCAATCATTTTTCTGCTTAGATTTTTTTTGCTATGCTCAATTGGCCTAATCATTATTTGAATAGTTGGAATACGGAAACGAACCCAATGCTGTTACACCTTGTGAAGCTTACAATCACTTGTCGCAAAGAGAAGATCTCTTGCTCCAATCAACTTACTGCTCGTCTAGTTTCCTTTCGGTGGCTCGTACGGCAATGTTGGAATGCAGATCTAGAAGCTCAAACCCTGCCTAAGACGAATTTTTTTGACGAAAATCTGTTATCGTGCCATTTGTCGCACATTTTCATGCAGCTTACGTCTGTCGCTTTGCCAATTCTGGGCTAGTATGATTAGGGCTTAGGCACGAACATTCTAACAGCCAAATGCTCAACATACCTCATGAATCTGACCCTTCAGTGGTTTCTATGCATAGTGTATCAGGCATAGTGTCTCTGCTCTCTCCACTATTTACAGTGAACTCAAGATACCTTATACATATATATCTGTTACTTTGTGTCTGCCCTTACGATTTTTGAAAATCAGTTGGTTTGGGTGTAGCCAGTTCAATCTATGATAGAGGTTTTCGTAGGGTCTTCTTGTTATAAGTTGTCGTTGAGTGCAAGATTATTGCTGTCGTCAAGATATATGTTGTTAATCGAACTACAGATAGTAAATTCAAACTCACCCTACCGCAGAATGATTTTTCCGGAAACCATGGCTTGACTAACTCCATACGATGTGCTTCGTAGAAAAGTCTTTGAGTATTAATCAAATGTTTTTTATAAACCGATGCAGATGTTCCACCTGATTCCCACCTCAACGGGGAGCTTCTACGTCTTCAATGACATCTTTCGACTGAACTACGCATAGGCGCCATCGCTCTGGGTACGTATCTATGTATGCAATAGATTCATGTTTATGGTTTATGCAGTCCAGTTGTAGAGTGTTTTCTAACCTACCAGAGCAACGGAATCGATTTCAAAATTTTATTGAGGTTTTTTCTGTACCAAAGCATTCTCCGGAATGGCTTAAGTTGCTGCGCATGTGCTATGCTTTCCACATTAATTCTCTTGAGAGTTTTTCACTTTATGACTTGCGCTAAGGGTCAATTATCTCGACAAGTTGCTCTCTACTTGACTTTGAAGCTTTGCATGCAGATTTCCATCATGTACGATTTTGTGGGAACACACAATTGTGCAGCCAACTCATCAAAGGTTTTTAGAATTTGGCCTGAGACTTTGAGATGGTTGCTTTTGTCTGCGTGGCACATCAACGAATCTACTCCAGCGACTCTCTGGACGTTCATAGTGAGATCTAGGCAGGATTGACGAACGTTTTACTGTTTTCTGATTCCGGCCGGGATCTTACTCTCAGGATAGGGTGTTCATTTTGCCTCTAGTGCATATTGTTTAAGTAGTTGCTGGTACACTTGTTTGTATGCAGTACATGGCCAAGGAATGAGTGGGTTGATGTAATATGATCTCTTGGAACTGTTTATGAGTATTTGTTCATGCACTATCGCCAGCGAAGTCCACGATTCAACGAAGTCCACTGGTTTTTCCATTTGGAATTTCTTTGATATTTGCTGCCCACATCTTTTGAAACGAATGAAGCAATCAGTTTTTCGCAGGTCTTGAACATGGCACATGGGGTACATGTTACGTAGATGTAGCACTGATGCATATTGCAGGGTTGGTTATATCATCTTTCTTTAGTCTGGAGTTTTGATAGTCATGGGTTTGTTATGTTATATTTTCGAAGGACTTTTTATGGTACAGTACATTGTTGGAAAGCTTCCTGCATTATAATGACTCAAGGAGTCTACGTCTCTTAAGGGTCACCATATTGTCCTTTGGTCGATAGAAACTCGTACCGCCGGCGGTCTGGTTGTTACTTTCTACTCCAGCGGATGTGATCAAGCTTTAGTGTATTTTATCAAACTCTGTATCTATTTCCCATCTACTTGATTGGAATTTTGGTAAAATCGTCTTAACTCGTTTCGCTAGTCACCTTGAATGAATTTCACTGTAGTTGAGTTTCCACGGTGGTATGCATGGTAGTAGGACAATGGCAATGTGTCCCTTTACTATGGAAGGAGTGGTCAATGTCCTTGGCTACATGCAGTTCAATTTTCTTTTAGTCCATCATCATATTTAAGCGTCCTTCTGACACGAATAGTGATTTCATGGTACCAGAACGTGTTAGTTACTAACGAAGAAAGAAACAGTTTCTCCGGTCACCTCATAGATGAGATGGAGTGGGTAGGGTCTGTCAGTGTAAACTCTCTGAAAGAGTTATGCTACCAACCCAAGTAACATAGTACTTCTGACAATCTCCACCATTTGTAGTTTATGGTACATCTAACGTGGCTGCTCCGTACACGCTTTATGATGCTTCAAAGTAGGAATACTTTCAGATCAGTTTACTTGTCTCCTAGGTTTGGTTTGATTACGTGAAACCTTTTTTGAAAAATAGGAATGTCGACCCTCGGCTAGGTGTACCCTCCCAATTGTAGCTTTCACAGAAGCAGACTGAAAATCTTGTAGTTCTCTGTGCAGCAGTTACCGCTCACCGGAAGTAAGGTCGGGACTGGATTTTTAAGATAATTTACATATGAGTTTACGAAGAACAGAACATATCTATTTGTGTAAGTCAGTGATGGAAGATCACTCGATCACTCGATCACTCGGTGCCCAATCAAAATCGGTACTGAAGGGGAATCATTAGGACAAATCGCACATCTCACCTGAAAGCGCCCTAAGGTGATTCGACTGTAAGAAGATCGGAAATCATTTCCAGTATACCGAGACTTCAACGGGAAAATCGAAGGAAGAAATACTTGAAAATTGACACTGAATTATGAAGGGATGATTGCCACCTCGATGAATTCGGAATTCCTTGTGATCTCGAGGACAAAGTAAGACATTGCGTGCATAACCATTTCACGCTACGCTATTCTGTATACAACTATCTCACCTGAACATATATCGTTGTCAATGGTTTAACCGACATACTCCATTCCGATTGTCACAAGCTTTCCCTCCAGATTGAAAATGCGAGCACATTTATAGACATGGCATTAAAGCGACAGTCGCTCAACACAAATCAACTTTGAATTTCCGAACATTACATACTACTTATTACAGACTCACTTTCTAAACTACACACCAAGTCAATCTAAGTCAAACTGTAATCCTTGTGTTCTAAGTCTTAATTACCAAGATGTCGAAACTCTTTACTGGTCAAATGCGATTGGTACTATATGTTTTAATGGGTGAAATACATTTCATGTCTAAGTACATATGATAAACATTAGTTGTTGAATATTTCAAGCATTTTAACTTAGATTGTTGTCATATTGAATCACAATACATAAGTACAATATGTTTATCAATTGATCCTTCAACACCATGTAGCCATCTAATTTTACATTGATCTAAACATACATCATAATATAGTAATATGTGCTTACTTACAACTTGACATTCTAACGTTTAATATGAGAGCATGTCATGTAAGCTTTCATGTGAGCTTTGTTCATACCAAGAATCATTTAAATGTTCAAAGAGAAGTAATTATAGAAAAACAATTTATTTACAAATAACATCTAGCTGAATCAAAAAAACTTAGAGTCTTCACCTCTTGATCATATTGTGGAGTTTTTATAAGGTTGAGGAAGAATTGCCATGGATGATGACTGATGAACTATTTGACTTGCATGACTTCTAACAAAAAAGTTAGCAAAGTTTTTTATGACCATAGACTCAAATGTATCAGTTAATAGTTAATCCATGGTAAAACAAATGTACTCCATACTCAAAATTGAAATGAGATATTGGACATCAAGTTAGTATGAAATATGCCATTTAATTCATGACACATCATATACACTGATCATTGAGTTTGGTACAACAAGTACTAAGCTCAAGGTGATCAAGACAATTGTGTTGACTAGTAGACAGCTACATTTTGATGATACAGGACATTCATGCATCATTGGAACCTACAAGATATATGTAGAAGGACATCTTTCGAACCAAGACCAGATGGTATATCTCTATTCAAATAGTTCAAGAAGTTGGGAACTAAAATTATTGTAATTTATAATCAAAAAATATAATAATATAGATATTAACTCACAACCACGAGCCATCTTACTTGTAGTGGATTGATGATATGACAAACATCAATAACAGGTACATGATATTTTTTTGTTACAAAGTAGAGAAAGGTGAATATTTGAAAAGTCCAAGTGCAAATTAGATACAAGCCTTGAAAGAGTTCAGTGAACCTCTCTATCTTGAGTCCCACATCCTATGTCCATGATCCACAGTGCATGTGTAGGATAGAATATCAAGTAGTTATATATGCACATCAGTAAAGATAACCAGCTCAAAATGCTCCTAATTAATAAAGGACTAGTGACGGACACATTATTTTACAACCTTCGATTTCACATTGGTAAAACCGCATCGTTGGAAGAAAGTTTTCAAGTAGGCTTCCAGACTTGTGTCCGCTTTGTTCCATCAAAGATTTGAGCGATAGAAACGTATGATCATATTTGCTAAATGATTATGTTAGGGATCAGAAGACATTATACCAGAATTTCTTTAATTGTAGGCGGTAGTACACATCAGTGCCCTCAGAGGAACACGGAGACGCGAGGAAAAATACAACGACGATGGAAGAGTACAGAGGGGAGAGAAGACGGTGCCACGAGCTGTAGTGTAATGAGGTCGGGAAAGGAGGTTCGTGTGTGTAGTCGATCGCGGAAGGAGTCAGGAGTTCTTACACAGACGGTATTACGGAGACGGAGAAGGCGAACCCTAACCCTAGAAAGATCTTATCTGAGCCGTCAGAAGGGCATCGGACCCGACAAGCTGGTGCTCTGAAGCAGGAACTCTCCTTTCTTGCTTTCCTTTGTAGGTTCGGGGTCGAGCGCCTTCCTCTCTCTCTTTCGCTCGCAGCTGCTGCTGAGCTCGTCTGTCGTCGAAGCCCTTTGAATTTGGGGAAGTTTCCCGTGGATTATCGCAGTCAGGAGGGATGCCGGCTGGTCATGGTTTGAGGTCTCGAACGAGAGACTTGTTCTCTCGTCCCTTCAGACACAAAGGTTACATTCACCTTACCACATACCTCAGAAATTACAAGATCGGCGACTACGTCGACATCAAGGTGAACGGAGCTGTCCACAAGGGTATGCCCCACAAATTTTACCATGGCCGAACCGGAGTCGTATGGAACGTAACCAAGCGTGCTGTAGGCGTTGTAATGAACAAACAGGTGTGTATTTTCAACTTCGAATTTGTGTGCTTCCTGTTTGAAATAGCTGTTTAGGTTTGCTTTTGCTCCTGAAGTATACTACAGGAAAACGGAAGACAAGTATGCCAGATTTTACACCCGGTTTTCAATCTCAGGAAATGAACTCCGTATGTCCATGGAAATTCTGAAAGCCATCGCGCGCACGAAAAGGAATCCTAGTCTGCTGTCACGGTCTTTCCCGAAGTCTGCCATTTCTACTCAGAACAAAATCTTGATTCACCAAAGGCCCAAAGCCGATCAGGGAGGAAGGAAACTTATCAGTGGACGGGGACAGTTCGATCAGGATGGAGATTAGTATTCGACGATAGCAATGGGAATGGAAACCCTTCACAGTCATGTTCTATTTGACCCAGATCTAACCCTTTCTAGGGAAAAATCTGTCACTCTGTGATTTTGGATACTTAATATTTGTAAAGGGTCCTGCATTACCTGGTCAGCACGTTTTTATTCACGACGAGATGGGAAGCTGAAATACGAGCTGAGCAATATGAACGCGTTTCCGCAGGTTGGAAACAGAATCATCAGGAAGCGAATTCATGTGCGTATTGAGCACGTGCAACCTTCCCGTTGCCGAGAAGATTTCATCGAGAGAAGGAAGCGCAATGCCGTGATGAAGGCCGAGGCTAAAGCTCAGGGTGTGAAGGTTCACACGAAGAGACAGCCAGAGGGACCTAAGCCCGGATTCGTTTTGGGAGAGAGCGCCGTCTTGGAGACCGTTACCCCCATTCCCTACGATGTCGTCAACGACCTCAAGGGAGGTTATTGATTGTAATCATTCAATGTCTGATTTCTGCAGACTTTTTTTGGAAGAAACGGATACAGAAGATGTCTACGTGTTTAGGTGCTCTTTTGAGTGAGTGACTATACAAATCTTTCAACTCGTCACATCTACATGGATTCAAGGACACCTCGTATTTTGATGGGCTCTTGTGCGTTCTGGAATACTATCTTCGCCACCTACTCGTCTGTCGTTACCTACATTTTTGCAATGTCGTAGAATCCTTCCTCTGCGGCTTTCACCTCCGTGCTATATTGAATCTCTGCTATTCGCAATGATGATGATACCGTGCTGTTGCTTCCAACGATTTCTGTTCTGGGTCACCTCTAAGGAACAATACCGCTCCGGCTCAGCTTCGGAATCGCAATCAACGAATTCAATTTATCTCTAACTTTTGTCGTAAGCCGGAGGAGCTCACTGACACATGTATGGAGGATAGGGACTGTTGCAGCTCCAGTGAAGGCATTTCCACATTTATCCTGCGTCTGGCAAGTTTGAGTTTTAGCCTCTCTGATGAGGAGAAGGGTGTTTAGTGCGTCTTACTTCAGGTATTCACGTTGTGTCTCTATTGAAAGTTACAGGGTTGAAGATTACTTGACTCAGAATGTTGTTACCCATGGAAGATGAGACATGGCACTGTTGGTGTCCGGTATTACTGTCCTTACGACTGCCGGAGGAATGACCACGCTTTTGATGAGAAATTTTACCAGTTCGGTAATTCAGGGATCATTGGAATGGAATTTGACTTTCAGATCCATATTAATACCCTGGATATGGTAAGGCAGAAAGATAAGTCGAATTTCTTGTCTGTTTTGATTGTAACCGCCTGAGTTCGAAGCCCCTTGCCCATCATCAGTCGACATGGGTATGGATAATATCATCACATTCCTGGATTCGAGCATAAGGATCTGAGGAAATTATACTGCCGTCATAGCGGTTGAGATGAATTACAGCCCTTAAAATCTGTCCGTAGTCGCTGAGTGGTGCTGCTGATGCACCTCTTTCACCATGCAGACTGGGTTAGCTATCATGTAAAAGCTCGGTACATGATTTTGTGACCCACTGAGGATGTGTTCAAGTCAGGAAATGTCTATGTTTATCCTTGAGAATTGTTACATGATGGAAAACTATTCACCTTTGCCACCGTGGTAGTCGAGGAGGTCTTGTGCAAGGAAGAAAGAGCACACAGTTACTTGTAGAGAATCAAAACTGCTTGTTTAAAAACAGCTCAATTGTGAAGTGAAGGGGACTGAAATATACTCCCAGCCTGATTGTTAGCCGAAATATAGAATAGAAGAAGTAAAACAACCCTAAGCAATTTCTAGAAACGGTGTACAAACCGATGCAGTTGAAGAATTAATTATGACTGTCGGAAACGTACGCCGTACGCCAACCACCTTGAGCTCAAATATGACAGCGGTAGTCTAGCATTTCTGTCGTAATTAATGCTGTCAACTGCTTACAACTATAGAGTGTTTCATCATGCTTCTTACACACGGAAGATAGTAAAGCCATGAAAGATCGCGTTTATAAAATCATCAAGTGCTAAAGCAGGTAGAAAACGTGCATATCTAAACTTGCACAACAGAGAACATGTAAACTCGAAAATGTGTGAAATACAAGGTACTTATATAATACTCAGTTCGTCAATATATTCATGTCTACCAACTAACTATTATCCTTTTGGCATTAGCAAAATCCGCATGCATTCTTTATATTGTAAACCCAAAAACCAATCTCGTAAAAACTCTGCGCCGTTGATACTAGTAAAGTTCCACGCAAAGAAGACTATTCTGTGATATACACAATGCATCTTTACTTGCATACACCAATTGACAATTTCTTGTATTAAAATATAGGGTTAGGCACAAGACGCAATTGGGTTTGGATTAAACAGGTCAGGTAAGCCTAAACAAGTGTCAATACCTATAATATTCTCGTTCAAAACTATTCCTCAACACAAGAAAACTGAAATTATGGAGCAATTTCAGGGGAAAATTGCGTTTGTACTTTTAATTACTGATGAATCATTATTTATGATCAGGCCTCTGCTAACTTGGCATTTGCCAAATTTGTCATAACTTAGTCTATTATGGCATCAGCCAATTTTTATTTATGACAAATATGACACAAATTTTAATTTGCTTGAATTGCTTATAATGTATGCTTACTAGAGTGACAATATAATTATGGAAGATATATACTCATCTTTCTCTTAGGTAATCATGGAAATCACCCTCCACACACATAGTTTCAGGATACACGGTTTGGAAAATCTAAGTTCAAAAGTAATCCATGTTTCATCAAATTCCACGGATTCTGGCATTTGATCCACTGGTTTGCAGAGTATCTCTTCTCTTTCTCATTCTATCAATGAATACATTCTCAATTTTTGGATCAAATAAAAGGCAGTAGAATTGTGTCAACTATGTTTACGTTATTATCCAAACACAATGGATCATAGGACGCAACAAAACGAGTAGGATAGTATTCAAAGAAAGTTCGTTTGACGTGTAATTACAGAGCATGATATTCACTCCATATTTGCTTTAAAGTGTTGACTTTCAAGATGTTTTGATTCCAGCTCTAGTCAATGTGGAACCTTAAAGTATTTTGTAATTCTAGCCGGACCTTCGCTTCATGTCGATTATTTTTTTTCACCGCTCATACTTGACAAAAAGCTACAAAAACCTGATGTAACGACACCATACGTGAGGATCTTCAGCCCATAGTCAAGTATGTGAGAGAGAGAGATCACATGGCGTTCTACATTTCTTTGAAGACATTTCATCAACGTCAACAGCGAAGAAGAGAGAACAAAAACGTTTTAATAGTGAACAAGAACGAAAGGAGACTTGGACTTCCATTCTTATTTATGGTATCACGCCAAAATTATTTATGACAAATATGGCATAGCACCCCAAAATGCCATATTTGAAGAGGCCTACTTATGATTCATCAATAAAATAAGGAACCCTTACGTACATGAAATGAAAATGACTCATTATCATTTCATGTACATAAGGGTTTTGTGATTCACATGAGCATACAGAATTGTAAAAAAGCTTGAGGATTTATTCCCAGAAACTAAACAAGTTGTCTTGTATAGACCAAATTTAAAACCTTTAAAATCTCTATCTGATGAATGTTCTGTTGCTTTGAGTTTTTTATAAAGTAATAGTAGAAATCTTAAATTGTAAAATAAATAAATTTTGCACTGATTTTGTTGACAATATCAAATGAAATATATGTAGATATGTCTAGATTTTGAAAATATATAAATATGAAATAGTATTATATTTTGGCTAAATAATATTAGATTTAAGATCAATCAATTGAATTTTCCAAGAGTAAACTAAAGTTTATAGGACTAGTATAAAATCTATACAAAGATCTAACTGTCAAAAAAGGTGTAATGTGTAGAGCTAGAAAAGTTAGAGATAAGAGAGAATGAAACTAAATCTAATGATTTTTTTTTACGGCAATAATTTTGTCAAAAAAGGGTTGATGTGTAGAGCTATAAAAGTTACAGATACGAGTGAATGAAACTAAATCTAATGATTTTTTGTCACGGCAATAATTTTGATAAAATGGATACTGGATGTATACTTCTCTTCATGTTTCAAATTCAATTCAAATTCAGAAAAATGGTAATCTGTTAAATAAAGTATTGAGTGAATTTACAAGTCTCAGGAATTTAAATAATGTTCTCCAAATTACAGTTCTGAAAGTTTTTTTTGGTGAGCGGCTAGTTATCCCTTAGTTTAGGTTCATTATCCCTCACCCTACTATACTAGGGTGAGGTATAATTTGTCAAACGGTCTTACAAGTTCTAGATAGGACCTTGCAAATGACAATAGCCTGAAATCAAGGTCTATTCATCATGTTTTCAGTTGTGACAAGGCAAGGTTCAATAGCCCTTGCCGGTGATAATAGCCTGAAATGATGACATCGAGTAAGTACTCGCTAAATTTGAAGCTGAGCGGTGCTGCGGATAGAACTTGGATCGAGCTTTGCGAGCTTCACTCGCTTAGCGCTTATCAGTGAAAGGAAGTAATTTTCGAGTTAAGATTAGACTAGAGTCAGCGCAAGGGTGGTGGTTCACACAAATGGCGGACATAATCGCTGTAGACTTTGAGCCGATCTCTTGCAGATAGATTTGGGGCAAATTGAGACGAGAATATGCATGAACAATCGGCGTTGCTACTCCTTCTCCTTCTCATCGTGAATTTAGAGGTAGAGTGAGGACTTGTAGCAAGATAGGAGGAAAACACAAGTTGATGAATCAACCTCCGAGACATTTTGGTGCTGCATGGAAGAGATGGTCGAGATGACGAGGAGAGTAGATTAGCAACAACAGCAGGTCATCGGGCGTGGATCACCTCCAACTCTAGGTTCTTGGCGAAGATCCAACCTAATAACTGCGTACTTGGTTCACTTAGCTAATTATACCTCACCTTAGTATAGTAAGGTGAGGAATAATTAGCCTAAACCGAGTAATAACTAGTCACTACCTTTTTTATTCTTACTTCATTTCATTCTCTTGCTCCGGATTCATTAAGAACAATTAGATTAGATAGAAAGATCAAAATTAAAAACGAACCCTATTTTTCTAAAATGGTATTTGTATTATTAACTTTGCACATTGTTTTTGTTGCACATAGTTTCTGGATTATAGCAAAGAGTGTACACATGATTGATTAATTTGAATTCTAATACTTTTTTGCTTTGAAACATCCATTTTCAATTCCTCTCCTGGAATAGAATCATAGATATTATCTCTCAGAAGTTAATATTTGTGGAGAAAGAATATCCATAAAAAAACATGAAAATTTGCTTCAGATTAGCAAGTTAACTCTTATGTAAAAAATGAATATTAAGATCATACATTAAATAAAAAGATTATTTCTCGGATTATATCCAGTATAAAGATGTTAAAGTGGCAATAATGTGTAATTTCTCTGGTATTATTGAATTTTTCATCCGCTATGTTTTTCACATTACATTTATTTCATGTGATAAGTATTTACACTATGACAAGTGTAGAGATTTTTTTCACTTATCACTTGATAAAATGAAGTATGATCTTATTGAAGATCTAGCATGGTTTTAAGGTTTCTTATTTTCAATCTTTTTTCCAACACAATTTAATAAGTTTGGTCTGAACATTAATAGGTTATAAATAGTTTTTGAATTTTTTTGTAGAAAAATTGCTATCTTAACACCAGAGAAAATCCTTTGCATCAGATAAGTTAGTATACAGTTTCGATAACATGCTACTTTGTATACATCTTGATTATCACTAGAAGTAACATTGGAAGAATATTATCAATAGATGGAGAAAAATACTTAATGGGATCCCAGCAGAACGCAGAAGTCTTGCATGGACCCAAAATGTTTCATTTTACCAGATGATATCCCTTCGACGATATTTCATCCCATCCGTCATCCACAATCATTTTAGTTTTAGTAAAGTGTGTATGTGATCTTTGTTGAAATACTTGCACATCTTGGCGGAAAGTCATCTTACAACAATGCTTACGATTATTTTTGTCTACACGGCTAGACATCAGCTTTTGATGCTGTTGAGAGCAACTAAAAATCTGTATGTTGGCTGAAGTCTCATTGATGTGAATCTTCATCATGCGAGAGCCCAATTTCTCACGGCCGGAAAATATTTTAGAGTTATAAAATATGGATCTTATTTACTTACACTTTTTTACTTTTTCTTCTAGAATTCTTGTCTGAAGTCAGGTTTGCTCTATATTTTGGTCCGTCAAGTCCCCGCTTTGAATCCCTCGTTGACAACCAAGGACTAACTCAATTCGGCGTAGAAGCTAAGGCGTAGCCAGGATTCTGCTGGTGGGGTTCCTCACCAGGAACCCCACCCTAAAATCCTCACCAGAACCCCATCAGGAAAAATTTTAGTAGCGCTATAGGCGACATTTTTTGGCATTTAAATGGTTAATTGTGTTATCCAACTGTGTTAAAACTAGAATTCCTGGTACACATGAGACAAAACTCAGAAAGTAATTTCAAAATATAAAAAATAATAATTTCTGTATTAATCCAAGTAAAGTCTTTGAATGTTAAGCGCCTAAAATTTCTTGATGATGAGGTCGGTGCACACATGAATTGGCACAAGAAAAATTAGCACAAGAAATCATATTTATCAATTCATACTTTGTTAAGCAACAAGGTCCATAGCGTAGTGAATGTTGTAACAAACGATTAGGTTGTAAAGTTAAAAATAAAATAAAATTTATCTACTTAAAACTGACTTCATGATAAGTAACATTAGAACAAAATAGCATATCCTTTCCACCAGGTCTTGATGTTTACGCTTTCTAATCTGTTATAGTTACATATTTCATCATAATTTCAAGAACTTTCAAAACTGATTTATAGAGATCAAGCACACTAGTTCCCAATCATATCTCGACGAATAAAATCGCGTACATATTACTCCTAAATGTCAATGGTAAATGATAAATAAATCAAGTGTGTGTGACCCAAAGTGTCAAAATGTTGAAAAACACAATACAAACAATCCAACTCCAACCAATGTGTTTGTTGGACTATTAAAATTGATATTTTGTGAGAAATTAAATAAATTTATCAAAAAATGTATTCAAACGTTCTCTTGGGAAACATCACCGAGGAACTTGACTAGATCATTTTGTGTAATTTCATATGAATTCCCAAATCTCACGTTAACAGCAAAATATATCCTACCCTCCCTACAAAATCGTTATTTTCCAATGTATGTTAAAGAATGGTAAACCCAGTCTTACACTACAATGCTTTTTATTTTACTCTTGTTGCTACCTGTTGTACCATTACATACATGTACTGCTCATGTCTCTGAATCTGATTACTGAATTTGATCAGTCTTGTGTACATGTGATACTGAAAAAATGTGTCCAGTTTTATTTACATCTCTTGAAGATTGAACGCGGACGCCCTCACTCTTGATAATCTAGCACATCTACTGGCGCCTTCCTTCAGAATCGCCCAGATTTTCCATCGCATTGCCAACTTCTGCAATATCTCCACGTCTCCACATTGCGCAAAGACGTCTTATGCATATTTGTATGTTACAGACTCAAGCTTTGCAGGTTGTTGACATCTACCCAGTAAAGGCATTTTCCGATTTGTGAACCTTGTATTTGAACCTCAAATTTGATGATTAACCCCCGGGACTTGATATCGGCTCCCTTCCTCCGGCACATCCCTCCACAAAAATTCTTTTGCTCTTGCATTCACTTTGTGAGGTAATCAAAAGTCCGTCGGAACCTAGATGGCATTTGCATCATTCTTCTCCCAGTGACTTACTCCGGTTCCTGAATCGCTTATTTCTCATGTACTCACTGTCAAGATGAATACACTGGCGTACAATAGAGCCATATGCGTGGACTTGGTGATAAGACTGGAATCAACATCGTTAAGTACTTGCTCTTTGCAGGATACATATACCGTGGACTTTCCTTGTGTGCTTCATGATAAATGCAGCCTCTCCATTGGCAGGTCTCCATAATGTTATTCCGCACCAGGTTAAGCAAGGTTCGGGGGAAGGATTTTACTAATCGAACACCATTTGCCGCTTTCGAACCTGCAATTTCAACGGGGTTCCTGACTGAAACACACACATGGCAGAGAGTTCACGTTTTTTCACAACAGCTTGCAACACATCACGAGACATCCTCACCAACTTCAATGGAGACCCATTGCCATTTATAGACTATACACAGTCTTCATGGTAAGAGCTTCACATCTTCTCTAATGACTAAAAATGGGGACAGAATATCCCGGTAGTCGCGAGAATGATGCGGATGGTTGATTCTTATTGAAAAATGAAAGGGGTCGGCAATGGAGCCCCAGGCAATATCTTTAATTATGGGCAACTTTGGAGAGATTTTAATCATGTATATCATTTTTTCCTGTCCTCACTGACGCGGGAGTTGAAGCATCAGGAGATGACAGATCGCCAAAACCAACTCCACTTCTATTCGTGGCTGCGACATCACCCCCTTCTAAAGAGCTCCCACCCCTTTCTAAACCACCTTCCACTTTCTTTCGTGCCTCGGCACTACCATTAGGTATGTTGCTCTGCACATCAACGCGCCTGTCACTCCCGCTTTCTGTCTCCAAAAATCTTTCTCCTACTTCACCTGTGTCAATTCTCCTATTTCCTAGCAACCAAGAGTCAAATTTATTGCTCTCCGCTTCTGGCAAAATGAGTTTACTCCCATCCGTCGACTGTCGCCCCGAGGTCTCTGCACTTTCTTCCCGGAGGCTAAATTGGCGTGGAAGTACCCCAGGCTCGGCTTCATCTTCTACCAACTGAACGGCCATACCAGCGGGATAGTGATCAAGAATTGCCTCCAGCTCCTCCCCGAACAGCTCTTCTTTCTCCATAACAACCTATTTCAATTCAAAGCGATGGTACAGCAACGAAATGAGAAAGAAGAGAAGTTTCTATTAGCACATGACTTGCATTGACGTTACAGACGAGATAGAACATGATCAGCATCTGGGCTGCGGGGTTATGCGCAAAATCGACTTCAGAATCTTTTCAAGGTGCTCCATGTACCAGATCACCGACGGTCATTTTGTCATGAATACAGTGTGCAAGGTGGGCTAGTTCCCCATCTTGCTCCTTCGAAGTTAAGAGAGATAAGTCCATGATTAGATGGCTAAAAGTTTGGAACACACGAAGTGCTTCGGCATATCGACAGTCGATAATAAAGAAGTTAGTTCAAAAATTTGAGCCTGTTGTCCGCCTCATCTTGAGTAGCAGTCAATATGCGTCTACATAAGCCCTGAATAAGCAGTGATGAGTAAGAAACGTACATTTACAGCCTTTGTCAGAGCAGCTTGGTGCTGCTTCAACATCGTCAGCGTTTGCCAGTACGTTTTATCGAGAAGTGCCTTCGTCCGATCCGCCACGTCGTCAACAAGATCATAATTTAGAATTTTTTCTTGGAAACCATAATTGTCGTAGAGTCCACCTTCAAATCCTAAAGGAGGTCCCGAGAAACTCGAATCTTGTTCCCACGGATTGAAATCCCCAGTAATCGTGATACCTCCTTCGAGATTCCATCTGTACATTTGACAACAATCAATGAGCCCAAGTGTTCCTCCTCCAGTGGACGATGGTACATATATTTCTTATCTCAGCCTACTGCTCCCCATCACATGACGTAATATACAAAACATTGCTATTGAGCTGTACTTCGAGGGTCACTGGAACGTACACAGAAACCATCTTTCGAGCGAGCCAAGATGCATCTGGGAGATGCTGTGCTGAAAAAGACGAAGTATCTCGTCCATACAACACCTCTTCTGCCGCCCTACCTCCAAGCATCACCTGCCATTACAAGGAAACAATGAAATACTCTACATAGGAGACACTGGTTATGGATGTACAAAAATCGTGGCAGTATCAGCGAGCTATTACTAAATCAGGAATATAGCTTTGTCTAAGATGTAGATCACAGATAGAAAAATGTTGAAACCATAACAAATAAAAGTCCTTACTTTGCATTGAATAAGACACACTCCTCACGAAGACGTCGAGTAGAGATTCATCAAACAAGTGGTTCCTCTACTGATACCCAGAAATCAACCTTGCCTTAGAATGTTATTGTCAGAAAGAAGATCGTACACGAGATGGAGATACAGGCCACAACTTTTTTATTTACCTGCATTCGGTGTATAAGGGTTGGTCTCCGTTCAAACAAATAGGCTTCATCATCAAGCCTGTCAAATATCGTGCGTGCGAGCGTCTGCAAGAAAAACGTACAACACACAGGTTCATAGAAGTCTCAACAACAAGAACAAAAACCATGGCAGCAAACCCCGATGTTCTACGAGCTCTCTGACGTTCACAAGAGCCGAGAGACATACCTCGCCGCGTGGAACTATAGAAACACGGTCACAGAACTCAAGTTGAGCGCTTTCCAGGCGGCGCAGAAGGTGTGAAGTCATAGCCAGTCCTACTTCATGAGTCGCCATTCTGCGATGAACAGGCTGTCGGCGCTCTAGTCCCAAACGCTCGGGCCCCATGGTCAGCCGATCAAGCGCTTGATCCATATCATGACGCCTTATGATAGTGCCTCCATGTCTCACGGCAACTAACGCGGCTTCTTGCAAAAGCTGAGCAAGCTCGGCTCCGGACCAACCTATGTTTGACGAAGTAAATCCACGATTAATTAGTCAAATGAGAAAAAAAGGCTCAAACAATACTTCAAAGGTTTTCAAATTTCAAAAAAAAACAGAGACAATCAGCACTGATAGCAACCTAAGGCTCTAGAAGGGTAAAGGGTACGACTCGCACCAGGTAGATTCTTGGCATAAACCCAAAGATCGACTGAAGGATCAAGCTTAACGCTGTTTGCATGTACCTTCAGGATCTCGTATCTTCCTTTCGCCTTAGGTGGCCTGATAGCGATCTGCAAGCAAACAGCAAATCTCATGAATCACAAGGGTTTCCTCCAACTAAAGAAGTTCCATATGATTCAAGGAAGCGGAGGGGTTGAAAGTTGGCATTCACGATAACGTACTTTTCGATCAAACCGGCCGGGCCGCAGCAGCGCTGGATCAAGCATATCCATTCTGTTGGTAGCACCCAGAAAAACAACACCCTTTCCCGTGTCGAATCCATCCAGTTCTATGAGCAGCTGATTCAAAGTTGTTTCTCGTTCCTGCGCCCCAGCGTTGTAACTTTCCATCCCCTCTTCACCTGCCGCTCCATGACGACTGGAAAACCCACAAAATTTTGAGTTCTTAAAGATCACTCACGACGATGATTGTGGTTGTCTGAGAAGGTGAGCTTGATCTGATGGTACTTACTGCTAATTTTTTTAAGTCAATCCATGTCAAAGAAGTTGAACCTCTAAGGATGTCGACTAACAAAGTCAGGCGATGTCAGACATGCGTAAGAAAGGAGGGATGAAACATGACCGCCCTTTACATAAACGATAAAAAACCAGACCCAAAGCTAGGTAGATGCATCAAATGGAATTCCGAGACCACTGAGAGACCTTACATTGCTCCAAGGGCATCAATCTCATCAATAAAAACGACTGACGGCCGGTTGACCTGCACAAATATGGTCACAAAATTAGACCCTCAAAAAAGCTTCGAGGCTTTGGAAGATGATATTTGTCGGAAGGCGAGATTGTAGTAACGAAAAAGTGTTATAAACCTTGGCCCGTTTGAGAAGATCACGAGTTCACCTTGGCCCTTTTGAAAAGATCACGGATTCGGGCAGCACCGACACCAACAAGAACCTCCACAAATTCCGATCCAGCCATCTGGTAAAAGGGCACACCTGCCTCTCCGGCAATTGCCTTCGCTAGTAATGTCTGGCAGCATGATAAATCTAATGTTAGGATGTCGCAAGTTTAATCTCTAGCTAGGTACACCAGTCGGAAGCAGGGTCAACACCTTGGAAGACGCTAGACGTAACACACGATGCAGTCCATGACGAAAACTATGAACCTCCGTATGTGGATATCCATCAACAAGATCGGCAATATATGAAAGCCAAGTATTTCAAGTGCCATACGAAGCTGAAAACAGGTGTACAAGGAATCGGAAAGCGAAGTGATGGTAAGAGGCTAGATAAACAACAACAACAACAATAGCACCATTCAAACGTTGAGGAACTGGTGGCTAAATCGGAAGACTTAAACAACTTTCAGATCAAGCCATAAGGCGTACCTTTCCGCACCCAGGGGGACCCTCCAAAAGCACTCCATGCGGTGGCTTAGTTCCCATGCGGTTGAAACGCTCAGGATCCTTCAAGTAACTAACCAACTGAAAAACGGCAACTGGCACTGACTCAGTAACAGCCATATTACGATAAGGCACCCCGGGTCATCAAAGCTCGAAACTGAAATCGACCAATATGATACGGAAGCTACATTAAGTGATGCAGTTATAAGTACCTCTTGCAGTTCTTTCACGACGTCGTCAATACCGGCCACATCTGCGAAAGCAACGCCCGTCGTTCCCTTAAAAAAGCAAAAGCACTTCAGTATCAGAAGAAAATCTATTACGTAGCCAAAAGGTTGACACAGTGACCTCACTTTGACCTATGTGAATGGATCGAGGTAGTGTCATCGCAACAAGTCCTATTTAGCCCTGCAAGGACAAGTATATTAGCAGCACTCTCACGTGACTGTGTGAAAAATCACCGACATGAGAATGTTATTTGAAGAGTTAACCGGCCACATTTGTCCTTCATGTTCTAAGCGAATCTAGATCCACCAAGACCTGAAGCCCCACTACTAGAAAGTTCACTCACTTCGACTCGCGCTTGAGGTTTAGAGTGTCCAAACTCAATAGCTTGCCAGAGATCCTGCACACATAAACAGAGGATTTAGCAAAACTGAAGCCTACGTTTAATACGAGACATTGGCAGAGAAATATAAACACCCAGCAAGCTTCTCAAATGAGAATGAACTGAGGCGATTGTCACAATTCCTGACCCGTTGTATAACAGCCAGAAATGATCTATTACATATCTCCTTGTTAAGTTAGACAACACAACAAGATGGCAATCGAGGGAAATGAAAGATTTACAAACTCACCCATTTTGTAAAATCTTTGGGTCTTCGAGTGAGGGTAAATTTGGCAAGAGCAGCCATTGCGATAAGCACAAAGAAAATCGCTCCCAAGGTACGGGCAGATGACAAGAGTACTCCAGATTTCCACATCCGATAGGCTTCAGCAACTACCCAGCCTGGTCCTTTTTGCCCTGAGAATACAGCTACCAGAATTCCCCACATTCCTCCGGCAATACCCACAGAGACTGTGTACACGGGTCTCAAAACAGGAAGTGCTAATGGCCAAACTATACTAACAACCACATAGCGTGTGGCACCCAGCGCTGCAATACCCAGCCTAGCTATGACACCTCCCAAAGCAGCTCCGGTGGCGGTGAGGATAGTAACAACAACACCCAACTCCATCACAAGTCTTGCAGATATAGAAGACGCTGCTGGATGAGGTACACTAGATGGACGCAGAACATAAGGCTGCAAATAAGACACAGCCAGCATAATTTGCAGTCTTAGAAATTGGCCTGGTCGATCTACAAAATATGGTGAACATTTGAGGACGTCTGAAAAAACTTGAAGGATCTTAGACTCAAACACTGAACGAAGAAGGTACGTCATGCTCACAGTAAAAATTGTTTCGACTTCCCGTTGACGCCCGTTGTAGTCCTGTAAAACAACTTGGGCTTCATCATCATTTAAGTGCATGGCCCTACACAATGCCACGAGTCTTTGTTAACAGCTTCCTCTCCTTGTCTTACAACATGGGCTTACACCAATCGCCCGCGGACATGCTTCGTCATTAGTTTCTTTCCTTTGTCAGCTTGTTGCTGAGTTGGTCCGGCTATACTTTTGTACGTTATACCAGAGTAACCTGACCGTATGGATCGAAGCTCAGACCTTAGGGAGAAAATTTACACTCCAACACTCAGAAAGTCTCCCCTAAATGGACCAGAAAAGGACAACAAGTGGCATGTGAACCAAGACTTTCGACTTCATACCCAGATATATATAGCAGACACACATCCTTTGAAGTCTTCGTCGAAAGACTTCGAAAGAATGTGTATTTGCTTACCGAAAATTGTTTCGAATCGACTGTCTACAAGCAAGCAAGGATGATGAGAGGAGAGGTTTGAAAAGAAAGCTGTGCACGGCGGGATAAGAAAATCCAGAACACCTTCAGTATTGATAACACCTAAGTGGGTAACGTCCGGAAGTTAATCATTTTATCTGTCTATCCAACCAGAACGAGGAACAGACAGCAATTGCCACCTACGTAATCTGAACCATCACGAAATCTGACAAACACCCGACACCGGCCACGGCAAACACTACGCTGAGTAGAAAAGGGTAAGGCGACCACCCATATTGACTTACTCGTTCAAAACTGGAATTCATGGAAAACTATCCAAAAGAAAGTCTCACTGGCTTGAAAGCGTGCGTAGGCTTATGAGTATTCACTAACTCTCCCTTTTCTGCAATGCACTAGGAGTGCAATAGAATTTTGCAGCTCCTGACGTGCTGCTTAAATGCCTGAAACAACGATTCGATCGCAGAAACGCTAATAAACGTTCAAATGTCCGGAAAACCCACCACTTCGTTTGATGCAAACTCGTTTCTCCAGGAATGTCTTTCAGCTCGACAACGAAGTCCCAATAAACATAACCACCCCTGGGTGTAGCCATTCCTCTGGACGTCAGCAATTCAACCTGATTGGCCTTCATGGCCTTCCAAAAGTCTTCAAAGGTCATCTCGGGTAGGGTATCCAGCTTCTTGTTGAACAATTGCAATTCAGATATCCGCTCTTCGAAAGCTTCCTCGGGTACATAGAGATTCCCCTTGTACTGTCTAAGGAGGTCTGAAAGGTAGACAGGATTCGCATTATCACCAGAATCCTGTTCACTTTTGATCGGGTCAGTTTCTAGAGGTGGTTCGGCTTCAGCTGCTTCTTCTTCTTCTTCGAACACTTTTGTAGTTGACTCGTCGAGCTCACTTCCAAGTTTACTAGCCTTCCTAGATTCAGAGCTGATATTTGCAGAGGCAATGGTTGACAGCAATTTCCGCCAAAAGGGCGTCTGTAGTTGCATCTTCTGTTTTAAAGTGTAGAATTCATCGCCGACCTTGTACTTCTGTTCCACCTGACTTGGCTTTTCCTTCAGAATCCGAGTTATAAAGTCATGTCCGGATTCATCAATATTAGTTTCTGAATAATTTTCGTCGGAGTTTAGGGCGGAAGAGGAGGACTTCGATGCGTGGACGTATTGAGGACGCCCATGAAACCTTCTCCTCACTCTGTGCTGGATAGTGCTGCTTACACCCAACGCCTTTACGTTCAATGCCCATTTCGCCAGTCCACCCGAGCACGAATGACTAATTGTCCTGATCCTGGTTTGACTAGTAGTGCCTATCCTTGCACGAGAACTACAGCTGATTCCAGGGAATGCTTGCCGTTTGGTTCTAAATTCCAGAACTCCTGGCCTGCCACTAGCAGCTGCTGAAGTCATAATTCCATTCATCACATGCGTCACAGTCAGTATTTAAGAAGCGATAACTCTCGACGCATTCGGAAAGGAACATAATTGCACTCATCCGCATAGTGGACTCCGCACGGAAACAATTCACGAGCTCGGGCATGCTCAAAGCACAATCTCTTACCGGAGCGTCGCCAACCGTTGGTCACCTCTCTCCCACTGGGCAACTCCCAAAGAGAGAGAGAACGGCATTGAAGTTCCATAGCCCGCCCTACGGCAGCGAGAGCGCGATTTCACATACAAACACACGCGGTCTCCTCACTCAATTAACAAATTTGTATCTGCCTCGCTCTCGGCCAGCAGCTTCCCATGGGCATGGAATCTCCCAACGCTCCGGCAGCACCAGCTCTGAAGCTCCATCAGCCCAAACCCACCATCTTAACCCAACCCCCCTCACCCCATCCCATAGCCCTGCCGGATTAATGCTGCTCCTGTCGCCAACCTCCCCGCCCACGTCGGTCCACCGCACCCTCCCCCTCCCATTCCCTCAATCCTCCCTCCCCCCTCTTCTCCCCGTAATACACTCTCCCCTCCTCTCGTCTTCTGCCAGCAAACTCCTCCTCCTCCTCCTCCTCCTCTCCTCAACCTCCTCAAGCATCACCTTCCCAAAACCACAGGGAGGGGACGAACGATGGAGGGAGGGAGGGATGGAGTGAGCGAGTGAGTGATTGTGCAGGGATGGTGGGGAAAGCCAAAGGAAGGGGAAGAAGATCAAAGCCCGGCAACGAAAGCAAAAGCACTGCTCTGCTAAGAGATTAGGGTTTTACAAAGATTGGAAGAAGTGGCAGAATGGAGAGTGGAGGAGCAATAGGAGCAAGGGGAGATTCCTTCTATCATCCATCCGCGGATGTGCCTGCCCTTCCCTGCCCTGCACCCTGCCCCCTGCCGCTATCATGTCATCCCGTTCTGTTTCCTGCATGGCACTGGCAATGAAAGCGGATATGGCTAGCCCTGCCCGGCCATCTCATCTGCATGTGCATGCGCGAGCTCACCCATCTCTGCATACGTGGACGCTTATGGATACGGTGCTGCTGCTGCCTCCGTTTGACCTTCCGGTCCGTCCGTCCCTTTCAGCTCCGGGATAAAGTATCGACCTCCGACGAACGAACGTCTCGGGCGGGCTCTCGTATGATTAGGTTCGTCATCAGCTGGCCTGTCGGCAACTCACTCTCCGGATTTATATAGTATTTAAAGGTTTAGCCGGGTGCACGGATTTTCATTCGAGGTCGAGTCTGGCATGGTCCAATTCTGCCGTTTTCGTCGTGTTCTCCAACATTTAAGGCAGGTTTATCCTCAAAGCTTTCCAAAATAAGGTAAGTGTAGGTGAGCGTGCAACCTCCCATAGCAACTGCAGCCCACATGCAAAGAGCAACTTCGAAGAGCGCTTGAAGTATTTTCCCATCGTCTCGCTTTTTTTTTGGTCTGTATGTGGAGAGAAACTACACATAGTGATTGAAGTTTCGCCCAACCCATCCTTTTCGCAGTATGGGTTGGTACTTATATGATGAAAAAATGGAGTAGGATGGGGCTAGCCCCAATGGCAACTCAATGGGACATTTAGTTTACTACACAGAAAATAACCAACTTATTTTTAACAAACCGTCTGCATACTAGTTTAGTATTTGAATGAGAATCACCGCATGCTTGTGCATATAAATGGAAACTTGTTGATCGATTAAACACACTTAGAGTTGACGTAGTTCGAATAAATTAAGTTTTGTGTCAAGTGTTATGATATGTTATCCTGCACTGATTACATATCGTAGTCCATAGATTTTCGAGTATAAAGGTACAATATAGTGACCTATGTGCATGCCTTATGCGACTAGCCTCATCCGATATTATCTCCATATGTAAGATCTGTGATCATCATTTCTGAAACTTGGATATTTCTTCGGTAAGTGAAGAAACCACTAGCATGAGCCAACTTCAAAAGATACAAAGAGTTTATTTCTCATGCGATAGAAAACATTATTTACTAAATGATATAGGGATACTCATCCTCATTACTCAAAATATTCACTACAAATCACATGGACTCCACTACAACTCGATCAGTTTTCACCATTCATTGGCTTCCTATGTAGTTTAATGTTTGTTATTAAAATTACAATGATTATAGGGTATTGTGCATCTAGCTGGGTTGACACTCAAATTCTTTAGTGGATCATAGGTGAAAGTATGACAACAAGCTCTCAGAGGATGATGTTAAAATTATGTTTTTTTACAGTAATTGTAACAATTGAAAGTGGTATCACGATGAAGAGTATCTGATGCATAAGCAAAATCTTTGTTACCACAAAGTGGATGTGACTAGACCGTAAATCTTATTTATGATATGATGATGAGTGTATTATTTTTCCAGAAAAGTATGATAATCTATTATGAGCAATTAAATCAAGGTAAATGGTGAAAAGTGTATTTTAGATTCAAAATATACTTTTGCAAGTTGTGATCAATTTCAAAATTAATAAACATATTGTAAATTAAGGAAACTCAATCTAATAAAAAAATTTAAAGTTGAATAATTCTTATTATTGGAATATAAATTCAAATTCATCGAGACTTAAAGTTTCAAATTTATATATTTTTAATGTTTTTATGAAGCTATATCATTCAAAAAAATTGCTTATGGTTTCAATAAATATTTTTTTAATGACATGTCTTCTCATATGACGTTTCACATGATTATTTTATATATATGTACTTATTCATTTTATTTATGTTTTTTTTATCAATATTTTGTTGAGATATTATTCCTTTAAGGAATAACCTCATGTCTAGCTATTTATAGCTGACTTTGATCCTTTATGTTGAGTATATATATCAATGATGCTTCTGTGGGTACTGTTATGTTTTCATCAAAAGTAGTATCATCTCAAAAATACTTCTCTGTGGACGCTGTCTTTGAGGGTGAATCATGTTATATGTTTATCTCTTGTGTTGTTGGCTTGCTTAGTGTCATCTTGAGTTTTACCGGTAGTTTTACTGTTATAATTGGTATTAGATATGGTTTTGATTCGAAGCGTGTATGATACTTGTGTTCACATGAAAAAAGTGAATGATGAGACGTTTAATCTCATCATTTTAGTACTCTACATTGGCAACATGCTCATCTTGGCAAAAAACCAATCTTAGTCCATGAATGCAAGAATCAGCTGAAGTTTGCATTTGAGATGAAGGATATGGAGGTGTCAAAGAGTATATTAGGCATGAATATTTGTAGGGATTTTGAACAAAAGAAGCTATGCTTGACTCAAGTCAAGAATGTTCGCCGTATATTTGACAGGTTCAACATGAATGATTTGAAAGTAGTATGGACTCCTTTGCTAGACACGATTGCAATCTGTTTAATTATTAAGTATATACGCCAAATCAAAAAATCACTAGGAGTGGATTGGATGATGGGGATGAGTTCTTATCTCCTTGTACTTGTTGGTAAGAGCTATACAAAGCAGAGTAAAACCATTGTTGGTAGCTTTCATCTTTAGAGTTTATGTTTCCATATTTGAGTGAAATTTTCTCTAAATCCTAGTGTTACAATGGTATCAGAGCGACCTTGCTATTTCTTTAAGTGTGGATTATACTTCATGGAACATGAAAGAGCAAGTGATGAGAGTGTATAGAGGCTAGAAGAGGTCATTGATCTACATGTAGAGAAAGGAGGAAAGGGAAACATTGTTGTTTAATAGATGTGGATATACTTGACCAGTACTACAATAGCTTAATCTTAATCTATTCGATAATCATCTTCGTTGCATGAGTAACCATCATTCTTTGATGTACCTCGTGGTTTGTTGGAATGCAAATTTTATGATTAGAGTAATGGAGTCGAGAGTGCAACTTGATGTTATATCATATACGTTATATATTGAATATTTCATGGATTTGAATCACGAACCACCCGCTCCGATTTGATTCAACAAAATATTATAACATTATATCAACAAAAGAGATTGTGGAGAAACTTTTTTTTGATGAATTATGGAGAAGAGTATCTTAGAGCTGTGATAGAATCATATATACCTTTTGTGACTACTTTGTTGAAAGATGAGATAGTGATTATATTTACTTTGTATTAGAGTGAGAGTGAGAAAGCATGGAGACATCAATCTACGTGAATGAGGATATCTACGTGACTGAGGATTTCAACGCAATCATGACGGAGATGAAAGAGTTGAGAATAGCGATAATAGATTTCCTATCCTACCATACCAAGCAGCAAGTCATGAAAGATAAAATCTTTGTATTGGGAAGGAAAAAATAGAAAAAGAAAGAATTTGAATGATGGAAGTTGAACCTCAAATTCACTAGGATTCTTCTAGTACCAAACATACTCTCACATAATTTCTCAATGTATCAATCCAGCTCACACAATCTCTCAATGTATCACATATCCTCACTCCAAGATACTTAAAATCATCACTCTTTTGTATATGAAACAAGTCTCTACACATGAACTCTCCAAACTTTCTAGAGAATATTTTTCCTACCTCTCTATATATACCACTTGAGAATTTAGCATAGTAACAAATGATCATTCTTCTTTAACTTACTATTACAAAGATAATAAGTTTGACTAGTTATCACTACGTGACAACATATCATTGTACTTCTCAACCTTCTAGATGTTTATTAATCCCTAGATTGAGATGACAACTTTTCATTTATGCCATTCTAACTTCTAAATCTCCACTTGCCACTAAGTCAAGATTTGATTTAGTATGACCAATGAAATCCTCATTACTAAATGAAACAAATCAAAACTAAAAATGAAGTCAAAAGAATTTTCTCTTGAAATCTAGACTTTTGTATAAGACACAATAGAAATGCTCACCCAAATCTTTTAGAATCACACTAGTTATTCCACCAAGTATAAACATTGCAGCTAAACATAGTCATAACTTGATAAATTTGGTTATAACCCGCCAAACCTTAGTCATAATTAAGCTAACCATGATTAACTCCTTGGCTACTTTCACTTCTATTTCACACATACAACATCCGGTTTTATAAACCCTACACCACTGGAGTTGAAGGTATTGCATCCACAAGAGTTTCACCCCCAAGATTTGGAGGTGAAAATCAATGATCAAATAATTCAATGATCAATGAAATTGTTTGAAGAAGAGCGAGAGTTTGTGACAATTGTCAATGCTATGCATGTGGACGAATGGATCACATTGCCAAGATTTGCAAAATTTGACCGACATCCAAAAAAATATGATTCATACAACAACGATCGTTCAACAACATGAAGGGTATAGAGTATGAAGAGGTTGAGGAACAATTTTTGAAAAACAAAGATCATCAACAAACTTGCATCATGGCCTTACTAGTTCCACATAGCGAAGAAAAGCTAAGGTTGGAAGAAGTAAGTGCTTGAACGCTCAGGAAAATAGTAAGAAACAAGCTCAACTCATTTTCAAATATGGTTTGATGGAAGTACACAAGATGAGAGTTCTGATTGATCATAGAGCAACAAAGAATTTTCTATCAAGAAGTGATACTATGAAGTTAGATTTGATGTTGATGAAGGAAGTGAGTGAGGAAATTGAATTGACAAATAGGCAAACTAAATCGATAGAAACACTACCATGGAGTATAAAATTATCCATAAATAGATATAATGAGAGCATTGAATGAAGAATAATTCGCTTAGAGTGATATGATGTCATACTTTGAATGTCATGGATGGAGCAATATAAATCAAAGATAGATTGGATAAAAAAAGTGATAACAAATAGTGGTTGGAAGATCTATGGATGTCAGAATATAAATTTATCTCTATTTGTGATGGTAAAACAACCTCTGAAGATGATGTATATTTCCTTTGACTTATAAGAAATATTGGAT